GTAAACCTCGGGTGCAATCAATGGCATGACAAGGTCTTGGGAACTAACTCACAGGTGAGATTATATCCTTCTCTTTTGTAATTGAGTAGGATATATAGGTTTTCTTTCAGGAGAATGCGGATGCAATTCAAGAAAATGCAATAGCGATTTGGACTGACAAAGCGCCGAGAATCAAAAAAGAAAGATACAGGGGCTCAAAGAGAGGAGCCACCTGAAAAGAAAGGGAGAAAGTGAGGTGGGAGAGAGAGGGAAGAGGAGAGGTGACAGGTGAGAGAAGAGTCGAGAACCCCGGACAATCCAGAAAGTAAGTTCACAGTGGAAAAGGCCAGCTCGAATCTCCGGGGGAGTTTTCTCCGAGTCCGTGACTACACTTTGCACTTTGGACACTTTCGACTTCTTTTTTTTTCTTCTGAAATTTAACGTAATTAATAGTAATTGAGCCTGAACTTATCCAGGTGAATTTGAGATGCAATAATATAGCTGTAATAGCTGTAATAGCTGTTCTTCGCTCTCATTCAGATACGTGTTACAACGCAATTCCAATCAAGTCCAATCGCAAAGCATTGTATAAGCAACCTCAAATAAATGAATGAATATCACAACTTATAATTTATACCTAGGTACTATTTTATATTCCCAGGATTGGATTCCGCACGTGGCCACATTGCGGCAAGTGGCCAATTGAGGATGCACGTCACTGTGGCTACAACTTAGAGTATATATTCTTCAGGGATTGTGATGTCAAATGTAATCACACTCAACTAAACTTTTTATGTGTAAATAAACATTTGATTTGCTTTTTACAGCCCCACCAAAAGGACAATTTTCTCCCATAAAGCTTAACTTGGATTTCGGATGGGATATTTGATATGTCTCCCTTCAATCTTCTGGATATTCATTTGGATTCTAGGACGGTGCTATAGTTGCGCCATTTTCTTAAAATTGTCTTTCTCCGAATATATCAGATCGAACCAGTCCGGAAATGTTTCGAGTTCAATCAGTGTTTGTCTGGAGTTCCAGTGTCTCGGGTTTCGACCTTCGGCTGTTTTGTTGGGATCATTTTTACCCAAAGAGTGTGTCGCCCTATGATGATGATATGATTTATAATATCTCGGCTTCTAGGTTATGTATCGGGCGAAATAGCTATGGAGAGTAGGGTATTATATAGATGAAAGACATCTCCCGGCAATAATGTCTGGAAGTATATAGTGCTCATTCTCACCAACACCACCAATGAGCATCAATGTTATCATCGTCTATTTGAGCGCACTCTCAGCCCAACTATTTTCATCCCCGTTTGCCAAGGTCCGACAAGTAGTCCAGTTACCCCTGTCTGGCATTGCGCTAGGCTTTACGAGCTAGAACTGGCTGCTTGCAGTCTGTATAGAGACTTTTCTCTTGTTGTTTGGATACTAATAAACACCATTCTTTGCCAATCTTCAGAAAGGCAAGCCTCACTAGCTGCAATATAGTGCCTAAAATGATTCTTCTGGGAGGCTTGCTATGTATACGGACCTACCCGCATTCCTGTGCGGCCTCGCCGGTTGGATTGTGGGTATGGTGGAGACATACTATGTTGACGCACTTGCCAAGATAATTGAGGAGAATTGCCCTGGCATGCATAACCAGGCTCGCTTCTATCTTGTACTTGGCGCTCTCAATCTTGGAGTTGGGGTATGTGAGACGCCGAATGGAACTGGGAGGTGAGGTGCTCATAGCGCGACCCACGAGGGGCAATGTAGGTAGTCTGGAGCCGTTACCCAACGACCCTCCATGGTTTAAAAAAAAGCGAAACCTTGCAGATATTCAAGTAGTAAATTGACCCAGATATGAACATAAGGGCCATATTATATAATTAAGTGGCAGACACAAAAAGAAGCGCATCATGACAGAGGCCAAGATGGCAGGGGTATCGAACACACGAGTGCAATACCTTCAAAAGTATATGAGCCCAACCATTGACAATAGAAGAAGAAAAGAATGTAAAAAAGTTATGTATCGGCCTCGCGGGCCCGCCACGAGAATTATGTGCATTAAGTGGCCTTCACGAAAGGCCAGTCGTTCTCCCAGCCGAGGACGTTCCACGCGTACCTGTAGTTCGCGTTGTCGGGTTCTGTGGTGCTCTGCTTGGTGGCAAGTGGGTAGTAGTGGTAGTACATGACCACACCGAGGTCTTTGTCATTGACAACACCGGGGCCACCAGGTCCAAATACCTGGCCGTGGCTGGAGAGGAGCATAGTGCCACCAGTCTCCTTGCATGATTTTCCATCGGCGTCAACCTGTGAGATAAATGTTAGAACTGGTATCTTTGCAAATGGACAAGAAGATTGGGAAACATACAAAGTCACCAAGGCCGGTCTTGGATCGGCAAACACGAATGTGGTACTCAGCACCCTCAGCCGGGAATGTCTTTGTGTACTGGCCCGCAATACCAGCAGAGTAGAGGATGTAGTAGTAGTCGCCGTGCTTGAACTCGTAGGAGCCCTCCTCGCGGTGGTTGAGGGTAGCGTTCCAGGAGATTTGGTAGGGAGTTGCGCCGCCAACTTGCAGGGGAGTTTCCATCTGGACCTGGTAGATATCGCCCCAGAAGGAGCCAAAGTTCATATAGTTCTTGTTACCGATGCTGATCCAGGCGGGATCAATACGGTTGTAGTTGTCGTTTGCAGGGAGACCAACGGGGCCATGGTCTGTCCAGCTACCGGGCTCCATGGTCTTTGATGTTGCGACACCGATCTGTGAGTTCCTGGTGCCGATCTGTGACAGGACGTAGTACATATAGTACTGATCGTTCTGGTAGTGGACATCAGGGGCCTATAAGGTGGATCATGTTAGTTATATAATACTTTGATATTATCTTCCTGGGCTTTTTCGGGTCTTTCTTACCCAGATATTCGTGCTGTCCACGCTATCGAGCTTAATCTTAGACCCATCTGGCAACGCCGACCCAAGGTCCGTCCACGGACCCTTCACCGACGGCGAGCTATGAGTGCTGACACCAGTGCCCGTCGAAAAGCGGTAGTATTTTCCGTCAGACACACGCTGGATCATAGCAGGGTCATGGGCCCAGCAGTTGCCAGTGCAAGGACCCCGGCTGGGGTATGCGCTGGCGAGCGCAGTAAAGAGAAGCGGGATGAGTTTAAACATTATGGGTATAGACAGAAGGGAAAATCGGGCTGTGAATAGAAAACACTCTGGAAGAAAGGAATCACGTCCAATTTATGTTGATTCGGTCTACCCCATTCGCAGCTCCCCCAAGTTGGGTCCCGAAGTATGACCATTTCGCATATCAACAGCTGATCCAATCATAGGCTATTAACCCCTGCACATCGTATCTAGGCGATGTAAGGCGCATGTCGGTATTGAGCCCAGTCTAACTGGAGTCGGCGCGGAAAGGGATGAGTTCATTACCGAGCTCCAAGGACTCCTGCTCCCTGTGGATCATTAAATCAAAAACAAGTGTTTTCTGCATAAACAAAGGGCTGTCTTGGTGTTTACACTTACTGTAGGGATATCGTTTTTAATCTATGTGGTGCATCCCATTCAAGGCACAGTCAGTACAAGTTGTGTTTAGCTCCACTGCATTTGATCTTCTGCATATCCATCCCCACATGAGTTACACCGATGACCTTATGACCTGAAAGTCTAGAAGCTAAAATTCTCGGCAGCAGGAACGGGATAGAAGATGTGTTGTTCGCTGCAAGTGTGTGTTGGTTCCACATTCCCATCAGCAAGGGCGAGAGCATCTACCCTAACACTAGTGAATTCTATTCGAGAGCTTCAAGAGGCCAAGTCGATTTTGCAATTTTAATTTCACCTGCTGTTCTCGGTATCTCCAGGCAAAGGAAAGTGTGGAATACATCATATCCCACTGACTTGCATGGCTTGATTCTTGTTTACGCCGTGTGGATGATCTGCACCTATGTGGACCGACTGCGGACGACACTAAGCCAATCATCCGGGAAGCCCTGTGCGTGAGATCGGACAACTAGCTCAACTAGTATTTGAGATTGAAAGCAGCTAAAGAGTGTGTGTCATGTGGATTCGTCACTGTGCAGATATGGTCAACTCTCTCTTCACCAAAAGCGGGGGTGAGGACTCGGTTCGCGATATCGATGGTAAAGCACATCAGCTGCTAAACCCGAGGAAATCGTTGATTCAGTCTGCACAACGAAAACAAATTCTCCGATATAATACGTCATCGGCGTTATAATGGCAGGATCAGACAACTGTGCTATTCAGCCTCTTGGGCCTCGCTTGGGGCCCAACACCTGATGTAGGTATATTAGTTCTAATATCAGCCCTGAACTAGGGTTTCTCTCAAGTAATCTTACTGCCAAGCACATTCAGCTGGGCTGAGCCTCAGTCTATAGTGATTGGACTTACGCTATATTGTAGATCGGGGTCAAAGTGAGGTGGGGTTGGTGATCTGGCGCCAGACTGGGGTCACTTGGGGTGGCTTGTGGGGGCCTCTTGGGATAAGGCCTGATAAATCGATATTGCACTGCGGGGGACAGCTGAGTTCTAAGGTTTCTTGTTTCCTAATCGCGTTTTCTTCTTTCTGTCAGACAATAGCAAGCACCCATGATTTAATATGTATCTATCAAATGCAAAACTTACGACTCCTAATTCACCGTCATTCTATAAAATTTAGGTCAGACTTGATAAAGTGATTATGCCCCTCTACAGCCATAGTATGTAGACATACTATACCAAACCTATTATATAAAAATGTTAACATACGTCCAGCAATAGAGCGAAATTGAGTTCAATTCGAAAAATCTAACAGACAGGTCCTTCCGATATTGTATGACACCAAGACGATACTGCGAGGGACAGCTGTAATCCTCAACATTCAACATAAAACACAGCCACAGCTGCCCATCCACATATCATCTTTTCATCACCTTCACCCCCGATTCTCTGTGTATTTCAGCATTTGGGCCAAAGGCCCCCACCAAATCGTACATGAATGTCGCCCCTTTTCTTGGTTATGGGCAGGCTTAGAGACGAGGAGCTGAATCAGATCCCGTGCCTGGCATGGTAGCCGGGCCTTGGTACTGTGAGTTCCAGCGTTGCCAATCTGACTCGAGTACGGGCGACTGATATTGAGCACCGACGAATGGACCCTGTTGCGGCACGAGATAGTTTGGTTGCATTCCTTGAGGAACGGGAGGATAGCCCTGTGGCCAAGATTCATGCAACAGATTTCCTGTAATCTCGAGCTCTTGCTTCCTTTCGATATTCTGGCTGATCATGTTCTTCAATTCTTTGATTTCCGTGAGTATCTCTCGGAGCAATTCAGTTTGCTCACTATTGGTGACATTGGGACTGGATTCAAACGGATAATGACGACCCACATTCATGGTGCGAAGGCGAGAATAGGTTTCCGGAGTCTTGGGGCTTATAAAATTGGGCTTCGGGGCCGAAGGGACAGCATCGACAGGGGTATCGGGCCAAGGTTTGCCGAGATCACAGGCCTTTTTCTCCTCGCTAGCCAGCCACGAACGAAAGGAATCGACAACACCATATTTCGGGGTTGGTATCGTCTCCCCGGTGAGAATTTGTCTCCATTTGGGAAGAACTCGATCCAAAACTTCATCCGAGAGAATTCGATTACCTTCATCATCGGTGGCCAAGGCCACATTCCAGTAAGGAGATCGAACGGTCCAGGCAACGGAGCCGGTCACGTAAAAGACATCTTGATGCTGTCTCATTGCGTCTTTGTCACCACGGGTCATGACATCCCGCATGTCGAAGTCAAATTGTAGGGTTCGTTTGGGATCAACGACGAGGTAATCATCCACACTATCTTCTTGAGCTTTCCGTGATGTTAGTATCGTTTACCGAAGCTCGGATAGAACAGTGTCTTTACCGTTCCCTTGCTCACACAGATCTTTGAATGATAGCTGTTGATCCGGCATAGACTCCAACTTATGCAACATCCTTTCATGTGCTTTGTTATCCATGAGGACATGGAGCTTTACCATCCACCTTTGTCTATCGGTAAAAGAGTCGGGGATTTCGAGCCTCTCGAGGTGTTCCAGTACAGCAGGTGTGCCAAATGGGAGTAGAAGATGAGCTAGTAGCTCTGGGAGATTCGGAGAAATTGGGTTACGCTCTTTGACGTCGCTAAGCCACCGAGGAAGGCATGCGGCAAGTTCCGTTGCCCTGCATATTTTCTCACCGGACAAGACCCGGCACAACAAATAGCTGACTGTGGCATCCTCGGCTGCAGTAAGGAGAGGAGGAGATGTCGTGTCTTCCGTCATAATTCCGTGTTGTGAGGAAGTAAAGCCCCTGAAGAAACACGAGAGTCAAGAAATGTGATTAAAGAGAAGTTAATGTTAAGACGAACAGACCAGTTAAAAGAGTAGACCTGGGCAAGTGGACGAATAAGCGACCTGAAGTATTGATGGAGACGTGTGACAAGACAGACAAGAGAACTTGGAAGACACGAACTGCTTAAAGAGACAAGTCGCCAAGCTAGCTGTTGCTCATAGAATCATTAGAGTCCAGATAAAAGCGAGTGGGGGTGTAAGAAAAAGGATTGAATACGAGACAACAATAGAAGGAAGCCTGATAACAGGAGAAGACCTACCACCTACGAAGGGACAGAACCCAAGCAGATGAGGTGTAAACTAGCCCGTGTTTGTAATACAGAGGGGGTAGAAGGGTGGATGGAAGGAGAGAAAGGTGGAGGAGATAAGTGTGGGAGAAGAGTAGTCGGGGTAAACAAAAGGAAAACCCACAGGTTTACAAGTGGTTGCTATGTGAGCAATCCCCATACCCTGATGATTTTCAAGTTATATCCGAGGACAGTCTTTGTCAAGTCAAGTATTACCACCATGTTAACAGAATTTCCATTTCTAATTCACTTATACGGAAATAGGACACAAGAAACAAACCTGGTTGGGAGTAAATGGTAGCTGTGTGCGTACTATGTAGTTTAAGTGGGAGCTTCCTCCTAAAGTTCCGTATTTTGCTGGTCACCTTTACATAGTCTTCCCTCTGGTGAAGTCTTCGAGGTATTCTATTCATCCCACTTTGAAAATACCATCGCATTTGCTTCAATTATCAGCAGCGCTTCTCTTTAACGCACTGCCCATTGAGCAACGAATAGACCTTTGGCCACAACTAGTGAAGACACAGGGTTGCTAGGATATAATTGAAAATAGGAAGGGATAAAGGAGGAGACGAAAGGAAATCGTCCAGATGAACGAGATTAAGTGAAGAATATGGTTGCACTTTGCATCTTGGTCTCATATTAGCATCAAGATATTCCGACGAATATCACGTCCGAGAAGCCTCCTGTACATTATCCGGTATTCATGATTTGACTAGGATACCGTGAATCTTACTTATGGTTCAACTGCACTGAGTAAAGCTTGTTCTGGTTGAGGATATAAATGCGATCACCGCGACCAAATGAGAACTCGGAAGTCCCATTCTTAACAATAATATTTCCGAGGAGAGCACCGCCAGGTGACCACATGTTCACGCCATCACCATAGCCAGAATACACATTGCCTTTGGTGTGAAACTAGATTCTATCAGCGAGTCTATCATTGGGCATTGTAGGAGATACGTTGGTTCTACAAGAATGGCTGAGATGTGATCACTTCAAATGCATAGTTGAAGAAACAAAAATCAGAACCAAACATATAGACGGAATTTCTAGAGTTCGAATCAACATACAAGTTGCAGGCAAGTTATCTTCCTTAGAGCCCTCACCATTGGTCTCTGTACTACCAGTGATATAGACTTCTGATCAGACGAGAAGGTAATGCCATTAGGGTGACCAAATCCATCAGCAATAACACGCACATCCTTGGTTGCAGGATCAAAGCTATAAACCTGGTTAGGTAGCTTCGGCTTGGGGCGAATCCTTTGGCGCCACCTGTCGTCATGGACGGCAATATCATTGAGAGTATTGACCTGAAGGCCGTAGAAGGTACTGATCAGAAGGTACTGAGTAGCAGCGAATTGTTATACGGCGGAGTCACGAACATTTGGACCGCCAGTGTTGTTTATACCGCTCTGCACCGCCCAGGCGATGCTATTGTGGCGGTTGACGCCGCCATTATCCAATGATTTTGCCTAAAGCTGTTTAAGGATGGGCATTGTTAATTAGGGGCTATATTCAAGCATATTCAAGCTTAAAACAAGCTTCTTTAAGTGATGTCAATACACCCACTTTGCTTCCAAACTCTACGATGTGCAGCCAGATCGGGTGAGATCTAAACTTCACGTGCTGACATTCTCCAAGGTTGTGACTCTAAATGACACGTTTGAAAAACTGGCTCATTTCTGTGGTCTCGGAGTTGAATGTGTTAAGATCGCTTTTGCTGTCTCGTCTTAAGATTTAGGTTGCCCGATAATTCAGGCAACAACAATCTCCGACTTTCGGTCGATTTGCCCCTTTTTCTCTTGTCTCTTCCCGAATACTGTGGATCTCTCTGATTGTATCGCCAAGGGCGGATATCGAGGCTAACCTATTAAAGTGAGATAAGAATACTCAGAAAGCTCCGTGGAAGTCATGGCATCAACATTTGCCAACACCATTTGCATGGTTCGGTTTCAGGCCAAATCTCCTCGCTTGACTGGACCAACGACAGTGAGGTGAAGAGGATGTTCAGATAACGCTCAATTTTTGAATGGAAGTTGGCCAGTCGAAAAAGGTCTTTAGAGCCTGGACCACGTCTCATTCGATCTCACTACTTGGTAATATCTGAAATCAATAGGCGTAAACGCCAAAGCCATATAATAGAAAGTGCTATATACGTATCCGAGTCAAAATGGAAGGAGGGAATAGAGAAGCATAGTAGAATCAGTGTAAACAGATTCATCAACTTTTATAACTAGTGTTTGCAGCCCAATATTTGAGGTGTAGCAAACGGCGGAGATATTGAAGGCAACCAACGGTGGCGCATATGGAAGAAAAATGACCCGAAGCCCGCGGCTCAGCAAATCGGTTACAATGGCCGTAATTCAGGAGGGATCTGTGCGACGGGCACTGTGTTTTTTTGTCCAGGGCTCAAGGGTCTAAAGGCTTTAAGAGCCCAATGCCCAAGAATTTCAATGTGCCGACGTTGGCTCCGTCACACTTGACCCGTCCAACCCTGTTCGGTTTAACCTTTTTGGGACGTGTTCGGCTACCTGCCAGGGGCAAAAAAGGGGCCTGAACGGGGTGAGTACTTCTGCTCTGTTTGCTTTAGATTGTGGAGGGATTGGAGGACCTTGACACCCTCACGAAAAAAAAAGTAGAATTTGATATTTTAAAGTGGATCTCGTATAGCCGTTAATTGTGATAGAGAAATATTAAACGGGGTAGAAGTCTTGAGACTAGTTCTATTCTTAGGATAACATCTGGGCTAAATGATGAAGAATATATTCCTTTATACGTAGAGAGTGTCTCTGACTCGATTCTAAGTGTATAATATAGTAAACTTGTTACTCTTGTATAGTATTATGAAATTTTTGAAGTTGTTTATGAGGTTAAGATATCGATATTCATCCCATCTACCCCCCAACCTGTCAAACCGCCCCAGCCACCCGACTCCTTTTCTCAAGACTCCACGTGCTAAACAACCTCCTCTCTTCTCCATATTTCCTTCCAATCTTCCATTCCATCCATCTTTAAGAACCTTCGGGGACCCGGTTATTCTCCGCGGCCATAAATCCCCTCAGGTCGTGAACTTAAGTTGGTCCAAAAAAAAATCAAAAAATACTCCTGCATCTGACCCCTCCTCGGCCCAATTTCAATCTGTCTCGTGTAGAGACAGAAATCTGCCCACCATGAATCAGGACAATTTCCCATTGAAATTCCGTCGAGCATCTAGCAAACTTCACAAGGACCCCCCTAGCTTCAGTTCGCGCATTCTTCGGAGTCATCAGAGCACCACATCGTTGAAACGCACCCCCTCCGCCCCCGTCTATCCACGTTCCTCTCCCAGCGGCAGTCGCGAGCATAATCGATCGCGATCCAACGCCCAATTCCCAGGGTCTTCCTCGTCATCCCTGGATCAGAACAGTGGCGGTCCATCGCCTTCCAACGACGAGTCAAGTGGCTTCTTCTCCAGTTTGACTTCCCGATCTCGCACCCGCAGTTCCAACCGTTTTTCCTACAACGAGCAGAGCTCGGATGAATTGAACAGCCCTTTCGAAACGCGGGGCATGCTTAGTGCATTGGATGAGAATACCGCCGAGACTGATCCTCACTCCCAGCAAAAGCCCGGACTCCGCTCTCACCACACCAGCCCCGATAACCGCGGACGCCACTCACTCCGCCAGTCAGCTAGTTTCACCACTCTAACGCAACGAATGGATTCCTTTGCTCATCGTGAGACTGAAAGGCCTCCAAACGCCGCCAAGCGATATTCCGACGATGGCAATCCTCCGGCCGCTCCCCGAACGAGACAGAGCAAAAAGGCCAGCTTCTCCAGATTCGTGGACAGTATGCTTGGAACCCCCGGTCGCAATATGAAAATTTCAGCTCCAGAGAATCCGGTCCATGTCACCCACGTCGGTTACGACAACCAGACTGGCCAGTTCACTGGCCTCCCCAAAGAATGGCAGCGACTACTACAGGAGAACGGTATCTCGAAGAAGGAACAGGAGGAGCACCCACAGACTATGATGGATATCATGCGATTCTATGAAAAGAACACCCGTGGCGACAGCGACGATGAAGTCTGGCACAAGTTCGACAATGCGCAAGCTGCTCAAGCTGCGCTAGCCACCAGCCCAAGAGAACAAACATCGCCACCAGGAAGTCCACGATTCCCGCAAAATCACGAAAGCAGCTTCGAGAATCCGCGATCGCCCCCACCAATTCCTCGCGGGCCTCCGGCAGGCCCACCGGTCATGTCTCCTGTACTGGGCGGTATGGTCCCCCACCGTGCTCCCCCGAAACCGCCGACTGGGATGACCCCCTCCCGCCCTCCTCCTCAACCCCCGGTCTCGAATTCGTATGGAGTCCCGCAGCGAACTCCGCAGGAGAATTATGCTCCTACATTTGGTACTCCGACTATCCCAGAATCCGAGCCATTGCCAGCATCGCCTCACCGCAGTCGCTCCAGCTCCCGAAATGGCACCCCTGCGCCCAGCGTCCCCAACGTTTCCAATGTCATCACATCCCCTACACAGTACCAGCGGCAACAGGAGCAGGTCATGGCCGCGGCCCAGCAGACTTTGGAACGGAATCGGACCCAACGCCAGCAAGCACAGCAGCCTCCGGCAATCTCCACATCAACCACTGCTCCAGCACCCGATCTTTCATCTGGGGTGTCACCTACCGCGCGTGCTCCACCCGCTGCTCGACCTAGACAGCGCCAGCAACGACAGAGCAGCTCTTTGGATATTCGGGCGCGCTTGATGTCAATCTGCCACCCTGGCGACCCCACGCAGATCTACTACAACTTCAACAAAATCGGCCAAGGTGCTTCGGGTGGTGTGTACACAGCGTACGAGCATCCTCACAACAACTGTGTTGCTATCAAGCAGATGAATTTAGACCTGCAACCCAAGAAGGACTTGATTATCAACGAGATATTGGTCATGAAAGATAGCAAGCACAAGAACATCGTGAACTTCTTAGAGAGCTTCTTACATGGGCTGGATCTTTGGGTTGTGATGGAATACATGGAAGGTGGCAGTTTGACAGACGTGGTTACCTTCAACATTATGAGCGAAGGACAGATCGCAGCTGTTTGCCGAGAGGTGAGTACAGAATCGTTAACCCCCTATCAAGATAACTATAAGATGCTAACTATTTCGACTAGACTCTGAGCGGTCTCCAGCATTTGCATTCCAAGGGTGTCATTCATCGAGATATCAAATCTGACAACATCCTGTTGGCAATGGATGGTAACATCAAGCTGAGTAAGTTTTCGCCCTGTGTTGTGTCAAAATCATACTAACAATCTCTAGCCGATTTCGGTTTCTGTGCTCAAATCAATGACTCGCAGAACAAGCGGAACACTATGGTTGGTACCCCGTACTGGATGGCTCCCGAAGTTGTCACCCGCAAAGAGTATGGCCGCAAGGTCGACATCTGGAGTTTAGGCATCATGGCCATCGAGATGATCGAGGGCGAGCCGCCGTACCTGACAGAGTCCCCGTTGCGAGCACTCTATCTAATTGCTACGAACGGAACTCCCACAATCAAAGATGAGCATAATCTATCCCCAATCTTCCGCGAATTCCTTCACTTTGCCCTGAAGGTTGACCCGGAGAAGCGGGCGTCAGCGCATGACCTACTGAAGGTACTTACTTGTCCCTGATTCCCATTTGCTTTCGCAACGATAACTGACATCTTGCCCTTTAGCACCCATTCATGTCTCTCTGCGCACCACTATCGCACCTCGCCCCCTTGGTCAAGGCTGCTCGTCTCAGCCGTGCCCAAGAAAAAGCCCAAAAAGGCGCTTGAAGAGCATGCTGATGAATGACCCCCCTCTTTTTTTCCTATGTTTCGGTTTTATTTCGTCGTACTTGATATCTCTTGACGTCTTGCTCAGATACCCCGTCACTCCCGATGTTTCTTCTAGATCCCGACGTGCACTACAGTACGTTGTTGGAATCCGTTTATGTACCCAGTCTACTTTTTTATTGACTTCTTCGCATCGATTGTCGATGAAAATGACTCCATTCTATGAGCACGTTGCCTGTGATGTCTGCTTTACCGCATACTGTGTATTGATCTTGGTGTCTATGTAATTTCTTGTAGTTCTATTCTCCCATTCTGTTGTCGTTAGCTTATGATGAATACAAGCAGCTAATGAGCTTCGAACTCCACAATATTCATTCCACAGTTAGGAAGTATGTGCCTAAAGTAGTGGAGATAAGTTCAGCCATAGCCGGTAAGCAAATATGGGAAGAAACGCAGCAGCCTACATACGGTAGGGCGAAGTTCTAACTAGCGTGAACAAAAAAAAAAAAAAAGAAAAAGCAGAGAAGAAATAGAAATTAGAAGCTCAATTCCCAGGCAGACATAATATAAAAAACTCCGTTCAACTTGGACAATCCAAGCTAATAATAACTTAGCAGTCCGCGGGTCTTCCAAGCTGGGGCACCGTCGTCATATGCTGACTCAGGTGACGAGTTCCGCCCGTACACAATAGGTACCCCCAACTCTGTCCCTGACCATCCCCAAGGACCGGATTAACAGATACCCAGCGCTGCAATACCAGTCGCTTGCTATACCACTCCTTGCCAAGGCCCTGTCTCTGTGATATTCACACCGCCTGCATCAACCCGCAGCCTAGCCGCATCCTTTGCTGTCGTCGACTCCCCGCATTCGGAGCTGGAGGACCATCTCTACGAGCTACAAACCAGTCTTTGAAAGACAGCCTGGTCTTAAACACCCAAGTTAATTGGAATCTGTCGCCGAACTTTCGCGACGGGAAAACAAGGCAACCCGCTTGTCAGAAGCTCAGCAGTGCTGCCCGACACCGATATTCCACATACCACCCGGTGATTACCTGCGACGGTTAGAGGACATACATTCGCGATGTTTCGCGCGCAGCAGAACCACTTCGACGACGCCGTCGGTAAGTTACACCAATCTCTGCTACGTCAGATACACTGTGCACTCCTGGAGCTGGCTATCTTAAAAAGAAGCTCCCAGGATTGAATCTGCTTGTGTGATGTGTTTACTGACAATATTTATTCCTGTATAGCCAAGGCGACGGATGAGAATTTGACCTCCGAGAACTGGGAATATATTCTGGTGCGTTATGCATGAAACTATATTGAATCGCCGGAATCACCACGGCCTTGGGACATAACTGATTCGGCTTTTGTGGTTTAGGATGTCTGTGATAAAGTTGGTTCAGAGGAATCAGGGTACGTGACTAGCTTCGAACTTCAAGCTCGGCTAAGTTCACCCAAAGACTCGTTGCTGATTTTTGCCGTGATATAGTGCGAAGGAGGCCGTGGCCGCGATGATCAAAAGGCTGGCTCACCGAAATGCCAACGTCCAGCTCTATACATTGGAGGTTTGTGACCGGATACCGTGCTCCCGGAAGCGTGGAAACTCCCTAGTCTATGAATATAGCTGACTGGTTTCTAGCTTGGAAATTCGTTGTCGCAAAACTGCGGGCTGAAGATCCATCGCGAATTGGCTTCGAGAAGCTTTACTGACGCGCTACTACGCTTGGCGAACGATCGTGTAAGCATGTCTCAAACCTTCAGTTTTCCTCAAATGACTGATGTTAATCATGGATTTGTCTAGAATACGCATCAACAAGTCAAGTCTAAGATTCTGGAGCGCATGGAAGAATGGACTGAGATGTTCGCATCCAACCCGGATTTTGGCATCATGGAACAGGCATACATGAAATTAAAAACTACGAGTAAGTATCTGTGCTACGCCCTGAATATCGGGCTCGGCTGATTATATTCCAGACCCGAATCTGCAGCCACCGTCAAAACCTGGAAAGCGTGAGATCACCGATGTTGATCGTCAGATGGAGGAAGAGGAATTGCAGATGGCTCTAGCCCTCTCGATTAAGGATAAAGCCACCCCGGCGGCGGCTGCTGCGGCAGCACCTCGAGCTGAGGCTTCGTCTGCTGCTGTTGCATCGGCATCGGCTCCCACAAATCAAGGAGAGCCCGCTGAGACCCAACCTGCTCTCTCAGGTACATCGGTGGCTACCGTGTCGCGTGTGAGAGCGTTGTTTGACTTCCAACCGTCTGAGCCAGGAGAGCTTCAATTCCGCAAAGGCGATACGATTGCAGTCCTGGAGTCTGTTTACAAGGATTGGTGGAAGGGCTCCCTGAGAGGCCAGACCGGCATTTTCCCTCTCAACTATGTGGAGAAACTCCCAGACCCCACTGCCGATGAGCTGCAGCGGGAGGCTCAAATGGAGGCGGACGTATTTGGCCAGATCAAGAGCGTTGAGAAGCTCCTGACTCTACTGAGCACCCGCAATACAGACCTCAATGTCCAAGAAAACGAAGAGATTACTACACTCTATCAAGCTACGCTTGCTATTCGCCCAAAACTCATCGAATTGATTGGGAAATATTCGCAAAAGAAAGGTAAACAGCCAGTCGTTTGTTTTGCCATGGATGTCCCGCTTACACGTGTCTAGATGAATTCACCCAGCTCAATGAGAAGTTCATCAAAGCTCGTCGGGACTATGAGTCCCTGCTTGAGGCATCGCTAGCCCATCCGGCACAGCCTCAATATGGACGACCTGCCCAGCCACAGTACGGTTATCCTAGTGCTGCTCCTGCCGGGTACCCCTCTGCTCCTCAGGCAGATCCTCGATACTTCACTCCCCGGCCTCAAGGTCAGTAGACCCTAGAAATTACCCACCGTCTCCCAGTTCTAACTTGACTTGTCCAGACACCACGCCAACCCAGGCAAATGCATATGCACCATACCCCACCAGCGAGCAGACTATGCCGTACCGCCCAGCCTCTCACTCCCCTGATCCTCGCAACCAGGCTCAGGCCGGCGCACCGCAGCAGCCACCCCACGCCGACCCTTACCAACCTGTTAGCCACCGTCCGCAATCTACATACGATCACCCCCAAGAATTGGGGACCTCTGTCTATGATTCACCTGTCGATCACCCTGCTCCTGGTTCTGCCCAGCGCATGCCGTACCCCCCAACTGCTCAAGCCCCGCCTGCTGGCCACCAGCAATTCCAGCAGCAACAGCAGCAGCAGCAGTCGCAGCAAGACTACTCGCCCTCGGTCTACTCCGCTGATGAGACACCTCAGATCCCGCCTGCCTCCACTATGCCCCAAATCCCGCACCAGTTCCAGCAACAACAGCAACAGCCCCCGTATCCCAACTCTCCCGGTGCCCATCAACCTCCTCCATCGCACCAGCCTCCGCCGGTACCCGGGGCGGCGCAGCAGCCACAGTATACCACCTACAGCCCGGCACCTCCCGCTGTAAGCACGGGCGAGTACCAGGCGTACCAGCCTCCACAGGGTGGAGCTGGCTCGAATCCAGCTTCCTTTTATCGGTAATTGATAGTTAGTTACGACGACCCTCATTCGGTTAATAGGAATAAATGCCTCGACTGTGTTTAATGTTGGGTTTGTAGTGTGGCATTTCAAGCAGTATTCTTCGTTTCATTACCCCTCCTTTGCTGGATGTCTCTCTGTCATGTATTTAGCCAACGGTTTAAATATGTCGTCAATGGTATGTTAGTACATATGGGCTTTTGATCTCCATATTTCCGTACGATAGTGTATGATGCATGTGCTTTATCAATGTCTCTCTTGGGGCCCTATACTTCCTAATATGGACAAGGATGCCTAGGTAAACCAATGAGAAACATCTAAAAAGTAGACCAGCGAGGACGCAAAAGAAGAGCTACGAAGTACGTAGGTGATCACCGTCTTCACACCATGATAGATTCCCTGTCTACTGAACTTCGGTTGGCCATTCTAGAATGTCTGTCCCCGCTTGATCTTCTCTCCGCTGTCAGAGCCTCGCCAATCTTATATCGCACTTTCGTCGCCTACAAACAATATCTTCTCAGACATACTCTCCGTCAGGCCATCCACCCGACATGGGGAGCGGACGTATCTACCGCGCTGGACGCCCATAATGTCCCCAAGCTGATCAAGTCCGGCAAAAGCATTGCCAAAGTTAAGGCTGAATGTTTCTCGCTCTTTGCCACCGACCGCACTCGTCGGCGTCAGAATATTGACCAGTTTACCGTGGATAATGCGAACCTCGATACGTTGTTTTACCTCCATGTCAATATTGAACGCCTGATCGATATCTATTGCCACTGGTCACTGGGAAATCTAATCTCGCACTATGAAAAACCAAAACCGTTCCAAATGACAACCATCCACCCAAGAGCGAATCTGTCATCTACTGAACAGGCCCATCTTCAGCGGGCGTTCTACCGATGCGAAATTTATGCGAGATTCCAGAGCGTGTTACATCTCCTCACCGACAAAAGTGCAGCCCTGAATTTCTCTCAGATTGGTTTGCGCTTCGTCTCGCAATTCACGCTCTATGAGTTTGAAGAGGTTATCAGCGTGCAACAATTCCTCGCTCAGTTGATTAGATTGCTCTGCGAAAGAGTCGAGGATGGGGTTATGGCTTCTTTGTTCCCTCGCTGGTTCTGTCAGCGCAGGCATCGAGAAAGAAGCTTCGGGAAATGCAGTATCAACCAAAGATCAAGATCTTGGTGAGCTTTCGTTCCTCACAGAGTCATATCGAGACACCCACCATTCGGGCCATGTGAAATTCCTTGTATCATGTGGCTTGCCATACATCCTACATCTGAGTCTCATGGAACCGCAAAGCCTCAAACATGCCATGCTCAAATCATACCTGGAATCGCGCGAGAACACCGTCACAAACTTCTTTCCCCAGGGTGGACTAGACATCAGCTCGTGCGACGAGAAACAGAGAAATATCGTCCTTCGGGGTAAACTGGTTTCCATCCCCCGTGATGAAGTTAGCAGTTCCAATCTAGGCTGGAAATGGGGTACGAGTTTCCACGACTTTGTCAAACCTGATAGTCCCGCTATGTTCGATTTGCGGAATCAGGGCTATGTTTTCTGGGATCAGGACCGACTGCAGGAATCGGGTCTTGTGAATGAGCCATATCTGGTTTGCGTCGGGGCAAATTATTTCCCGCCTGGTCACAGAGGTCCGTTTCTGAGGCCGAGTGTTGAGGAGAGGCTTGGTGGCCTATGGGTGGATTTTAAGGCCTCGAGGAAAGTGAAAGTGAAAGATGAATAGATGTGCATTTATTGCGTAAATCTTAGTCGTGGACCTTTGAAGACCGAATGTACAGTTAATGACAGAGGCCCCGTTAGCTGTTCTCCTTGGCATCGTTTCCATCCTGGATACCCTTATCCTTCTGACCCTGCTTCTCGGCCTCTGTATCATTCTCATGGCTACTTATTTGCGCCTTCAGCCGATAGAAGCGCCGTCGGGCCTGTTTCTCCGAGATGCCCTCACATTCGCCAACGGCAGCATAGTCGATCTGTGACACAATGAGCAAATTTCTGGGGAGTATGGAGTTACCTAGGACTAATATGACTAACTCGGACATTTGACTGAGTAATGCAGTGCAGTAGGAACTCGTGGTTTCTGTCAAAGACTGCCGCAGCCCGTCCACGCTTGGCAGGGGCCTTCTTGGGTTGAGTCGTACTGCTTGGAGTCATGGCCGATGGTTGAGAGATGATTTTGTTTATGTGTAGATGAAGTGGGTGAAGATAGTGGTTCTTCTTTGTGACCCTAGGAGAGATTGGGGAGATACATGAACTACAAGTGATAAACAGAAAATTTCTCTTCGTTTGCCCAGATTCAACTAACAGCATACTCATCTGATGTAAATAAGCTTCCCTCACTACGTTTGTCTACGTGTATTCCGAGTCTAGTGGCAGCCGCATTTCGTTTGACATCGCCTTTATTTAGAGCATTAATCAGACAAGAATAGTCGGCCGCTTATGCGGCCTTGTCAAGTATTTTTTTAGTTGTCTTCTCAGGTAGTCTTCCGAGATAGTCTTTTCAGATGTCTTTTTTGTGGTCTGTTTTTGTAGTCTTCTCAGATTATTCTCAGTGAGGCTTTGGTACCCCTTCTCAGTTTGTTAACTAGACGGCAGAAAAAGGGAAAAAAGGCATACTTGGTGCAAGAGGCTTTTCTATGTATAACCTTTGATCTTCATTGCACTACTCACTTGGGTTTTGTAAGAAGCACCCCCGATTACTCGTTGTACTGCTAACCTCATAGTACCGAGGCCGTTCTTCTTAATATTGCCGCATCGGCTCCAATCTTGCGCCCATTGCACAAGAGAATTCTCGGCAAGAAACATTTGGAGTCTTCATATGAGATGCGGCACAGGTATGCTACAGAGACTCAAGGCTGCCATTCTAACTAATGATTCACAACTGGGGACAATTACTACCATATCACGGTAAATCAGTCTTAATCGCTGGCTGTGGGCGATGCACATCATATGTGATGACTGAGGTATACCATAAATGCAATTCATATAAAGCCCTGGAGGGTGGCTACTTAATATAGTCAATATACGAGAACAGTCTGTAGTGGAAATGCTAATGCCCTTTCACCTTTCCTTCCCGAGGTCCTGCCTAGGGTCAGTCCATGGGTTAAGTCAGTGTGTTCGTATTGATGCAGGGATTCTTTGTTGGCCTCAGGCCTGACCGGGTATTCGCTGCTTCCCCTCTTGAGGCCTCACTTCTCTTCTGTCTTTGTTCACCTTCTTGGTAATACTTCGGTTACTCAGTCCTTCTGCTTGATCCTTTAGATCGGCCAAGGCCGAGTAGCTCAGAAGCCGGTTGGCCTCACGCCATATACTTCCCAGCCTACATTCCAGTCCTCTCCAATATCAATCAATCCAACCAACTCTCCTTGAAAATATACGCACTTACTATTACCATGGCACCACAAATAACTAGCTGGGATGATCTCACTGAAGTATGGGAGCAACGCGATGGTGAAACAGGAGAAATCCAACAAACATCCTTTGCATTGTTCGACAGCAACGGAAGCTTCTATTACGGCACGCTTGAAACTCCCAAAGCCGACATTACTTTTGACCAGGTCACCAACACCCTCAAGAGTGTTCCCGATGAAGAGATATTCACTCGGTGGCCGGCTCCCGGGGTTGAGTTGGTGGAAGCCCCAGCGAACCTTATCGAAGATTTCTATATCAAGCGACCGAGTCCACAAATGTACACAGTGATGAAGGAACACGATGCATTGCCCCAACTCTCGGCAGCATTGCTAGCAGAGGCTGAAGTCCTAGAGTCGCTGTCCCAGCACCCGCACCCGAATATAATCCGCTATTACGGCTGTCGAGTTCTCCGTGGGTACTTTATGGGAGTTGTCATCGACAAACACCCATACGATCTGTACACCTATCTCAAGAACAGAATCGGGATAATTGAGAAACACTCTTTCATTTCTGCCCTCGAGTCCTCTCTCCGTCATCTTCATACACATGGATTGGCCCACAACGACCTGACTCCCCACAACATCATGGTGAGCAAAGAAGGCATGCCTGTTTTGATTGATTTTGGCGGGTGTCAGCCTATCGGGACTTATTTGAAGCATGTAAGAGGTACTCGAGGGTGGGTAGATGGAGAGATCAAGGACCACAATACATCTAAAAAGGAGCATGATGTTTCTGCTTTAGCCAAGATCAGTGCGTGGTTGGACAGGCCAGTGTTTGATCAATGATTCATTTTGTGCCTGCGGAGAGCTGGACATGGGTTCGTTATATATCTAGCAGTATCTTGACACTTATTTATCGGTTCTATAGTCAACAGCCGCTCGAATCTTCATAAAAGTCACCCATCTCCTAGCACCTATTTTAACCTGATCCGAAGAACCAGTCAGACACAATGACCGCAATTACCGTCACCTACTATGGATTAGCTGGTATCTCTCAGGTGAAGTCGAGGCCTCATCTTACTAGTGATATATCCACACCAGGACTGACAATGAGATCTAAGGCAGGGCGATGGCCTCCTCCGCGCTTCGTTGTCCTTAAAACCAACCGCTCATTGTGGGTGATACTCTCGCGTAATTCAGCAATCCTCCTGTCCCCATCCACGATATCAAAGAAGGCCAGCGCCTCCCCATGTTTCTTAACCGTAAGCGTGAGCTGCTTATCCTCCTCGCTTTTTCTATCTTCGGCCGCGCCATTCCGAAACGAGAAGATCAAGTTGATGCTATTCCAAGCCAACTTCGGTGTCGCCTTCGCTATTATCATGTCGCTGATTTTGCTCCCAGGCAAGGTAACGACCCAACCCAAAGGATTTGAAAGCGGCTTCGTGTGGATATCGAATAACGGTAAGCCGGATGAATCACGGAGTTCTCGACAGGAGCGATCATGGTATTTCCGGCCAGTCGCTGTGAATGCGAGAGAGCCGTGTTCGTCCGAGATCTTATATGCATTATCCGACTTGGGATCGCCATGCGGCTTGAGAAGTAGCATTGTTTTCTCCGTCGCGATATGTTCTAGTCGAAAAGCGACTTGTCGCTCTGGTGCTTTCAAGGCATAGCGTGGCGCAGAGCTTTTGGGTGCGATCCCTCGGTTCATTCGCGCATTGGTGTATGTGGCTCCAGACATCGTTCCGGATGAGTGATGGCTTTTCACGGTCTTTTTGGTGCGATGTGGTGGGCTTTTATGGTGTTTGACGTTTTTCCGTTATAGTACTTTGTGGCAGGGCGCCAACGCCCGAGTATGGAACGCCCAGTATAATTCGCGCACTCTACACCGTCGATCTCTTACCTTATCTCGATATTTGCTTCATGATTATCGGTCTTTCAATTTTAGTTTAATTAAAATGTCTCGGGGTTGGCGAATAAGTGGATGCTAATGAAGCTTAGCTTTGGGGCTAACTATCATAGAAAGGAAAAGTGACAACAAGTGTTGGCGGACTTCATCCATTTCAAGCCATTACGCTGTAGGTCAACTTTAAAGACAGATAAATTGGTTGAGATCTCCTCGGAAAGGTAGGCTTGAAGTACTTGAGACTATATCTTTAGTTGTTTATCGTACTCTAGGCCGCGCAAGGTGAATAGTTATAAATTGTAGACCTACTGTCATCGTAGATAAAATACTACCAGGCCTGAATGCGTGTCAATTCCAATCAGATAGTTTTAGAAGGTCTTACTCTCATAAAGAGCTTTGGTCGAAATATTAATACGTTGTTCGATAGATCTGTCGGCCATTTGTCCCGAGTATTTCGGATCTCATCCGACAAAATGACAAATGGAAAGTTGTGCATTTGCTTAATCTGTACATTTTCTCTCCTCTTCTTTGTTTTTAACTAGCCTGTGTGATCAACATGTCTGTCCGTCCTATACATATTGCTGTCCTTGACACCGACATTCCTTGCTACCCTGTCTATGCCAAACGAGGATTGTACAGCTCACAATTCAAATCTCTTCTCACTGCCGCCGCAAATCGCATCAATGCAAGCGAATACCACCAGCACAGAAGGTCTCTAAGTGTTCAAATCACTGCATTCGACGTTGTCGGCGGGTCATTCCCACATCTCGAGTCCTTACGAGTCAGCCCTTGGTCGCCGACGGAAAATGGACCCCCTGGCTTTCCAGGTCCTGTCGATGCGATTCTGGTCACTGGAGCTGCTGCAGCAGTATATGACAAGTTGCACTGGATTTCAGGCTTGCAATCTTTTATTGAGAGGGTGTATGCCGACTATCCTATGGTCAAAATTTTCGGATCTTGCTTTGGACATCAACTTATAGCTCAAGCCCTCCTCGCAAGTGACAAAAGCTACACGTCCCAGGGCTCTTCATTTAAGATGTCAGTCGAACCTTCATCTGATGGCCACGAAATTGGCATGCATCCGATCATCTTGAACCCGGCTTTCGTCTCCAACTTCCCACCTCTAGCTCGGTTTACTCCAGAACAGCCATTTCATATTCAGATCATCCACGGCGATGCCGTGGTATCTTCACCAGAAGACACATTAGTTCCCAGGGAAAAGGGGACGATGTTGCCTGAACCGTGGCTCAATATCGGAAGCAGCCTTAAATGTCCGATTCAGGGCCTCTACAAGCCCGGCCACGTTCTCACATTACAAGGACATTTTGAATTCGATGCATTTGCGACTGCTGAGCTCTGTCATCAATTTGCCAATCAATTTCACTGGCCTGCAGATTTGCTTGCCTCGCATCTAGGAAACATCAGGCGCTCTGTGGTGCTTGGCAAAGAGGACGATGACGACTCCAAGATAGCGGCGGAGGCGGTCCTTTTGTTTTTCGCGGGGGAAGACTGAAATTCGAGTGCAGATATCAATACATCCTCATGTTGATTTCCTTTATCCAACCTTAGAGCCGTGGAGGTGTTTGATCCTCTTCGATTGCGGGGCCCTCGGAGGTCCAGGCCGACGTTCCCGCGGCCTCGGCTGGACACCCGATCCATACAAGTCGACGTTTTCACACTGACTAAACCGTGACTATCAAATCAATATCAATATCAGCTGTACGTCTTTTTGCAATTATGGCGGGCTCTAATCCACGATCTACCAACGCGTAAGTGTGCAATGGGTAATCTGCATCTCCGTCTGCGGGGGATCATGCATGATAACAACTGGACAGATGCGAAACATGTCGAAGACGCAAAGTAAAATGTTCCGGTGATAAGCCTTGTCGCGCTTGTATCAAACACAATTGGGAATGCACTTTTGGTCATTCCGGTCGCAGACGGTTTTCTGAAGCGTAGGTTCATGCGCGTCGTAGTCTCTGGCCAGTCTTGCTGATTGTCAACCAGTCAAGTGAAACATCTCTTGGAAAAAGTCCGAACCTATGAAGAGCAGCTCGGCTCTCAGTCTGTAGGGGGTCCAGTCTCTTCATTGCCTTCTCCAGTAGCACCAGATGAGACTCCAGGCCGTCAATCTGCGCAACGAAGTTCTTCAAAACCAGGGAATAAAGAGCCCCTCAATCAGAGGCAAGATGAGCTATTACATCTCGAAAACGATCCTGCTATAAGTCCGGGTAACTTGACATCTCTTTCTTCTTCCTGGTCTGCTTGCGAATATGAACTGACTCTACGTGAAGCAACGGACCTGACCTCCGGGCCTGCATTCGAGTCTCAAGTCAGATCGCTTCTTGACAGGTCGCATTCTACTGACCGCAGTTTTCATGGATCTACTTCAAATTTTCAATATCGGGCCGACCGGTTACCTCAATGGACGTCGGTAAAAGAGCTCGTTGACAACGTTGCTGGAGTATCTTTCCCGTCTTTGGAGGAATCACAGCACTTGCTTGATCAGTTCCTCTTTTATCTTGGCGTCAGCCAGCACTTTTTTGACCCACGATCTTTCTCAGACGATCTTATGTTGCTATTCCAAAGCCCAGAGACAAGGCAACAACAGATAAACTCTCCTTGGTTTACAGAATATCTTTTGGTCATGGCCATGGCAAAGCTCATGGATGTAAAACATCCGACATCACAAACGCCTGGAACTGACTTGTTCGCTGAAGCCTTGAATCGTCTTCCTCCGTTGCATCATATGGGTGGGGAAGGTGTTGTCGCTGTCGAGACACTGACACTGATTGCTACATATCTGCAGTGGTGTGACCGTAAACATGATGCATATCTCTATGTACGTTATGCAAGGTTCACAATGTTCTTGCACATTATCATTGACATGTGGTAGATTGGACTCGCACTGCGCCTTGCTATTGCTCTTGGGTGCAACCTACGGGAAATCGACCAACGCTGCCTCCCTTCCCAGAGTGCCCACAGATTAAGACTATGGTGGACAGTGTACATGCTCGACAGGTAAGCCCCCTTTTGGTAACTTTAAGGACTTGGGACGCAACTTACACTTTTAGGCGCCTCTCTTCGGGCCTTGGACTAGCTGCAGGGGCCGATGAACGACAGCTACGCACTGAACTCCCGCGGAACGCGATGGGGTTCCAGTCACCAATTGCCCTTGCCATCAATGTTCGTATCGCGCGTGTCACTGATGATATAATGTCGAGTAAGCTATACCCCGTTGAGCTCTTAACTTCATGCTAATACACCTATAACAGGTCTGTATGGCAATAAGTCAATCACTCAGCTGGAATTGGTCCAAAAGATCCAGCAAATTCTTCAAGAATTGCATGATACCGGCCGATCATTCCCTAAATCTTTAATGTTGAACTTCAATCGACCTTTGCAATCAGTAACTCGCACAGGTGCATCATTATACCTAATGCTTTTTCAGGTGAGACTGTCTCCAAGCAGAACATATTATTAGTTTTGTTCCTGATTCGTTATCAGGCTATCATCCTATGCACACGGCCAATATTGCTTCAAAGAGCTCGGTTTGAAGCTCAGAGCCAACAACAGTCACAGTCACCTGATCCAGCACCGAGTATGCTGCTGCGTCTCTGTGATACATGTGACGAGGCAGCTACCAGAAGTCTCGCAATACTTGAATCACTTCGTCGCCAGCAAACCATCCGTGAGTATTTTCAGTGCTCTAGTCCACGGACCCTTGCCCCGCACATTAGGTTTCGCATGTTTATCAAAACTCAGAGCTAACACATTACCCCAAGCCCGGTATGGCTTTTTTGATCTGGACGCAACATTCTCCGCTGCATTCGTTTTAGTAATGGTAGGCTTCTTGGACAAATCACAGAGCCAACCACCGTCAGCGCTTGATCAAGCATCCAAAGTGCTCCGGTTTCTATCACTGTCTGGCAATCTGGCTGCCGAGCGACGCCTGCAGGATATTGCACAATCTTATTCGCACGTTTGGCCGAATCATGTCTTTAATGGAAATGCCTCGCACAGCGATGCAACCTCCCGAGACAAGACCCAGACATTTGCAGAAAGTCCAGGCTCGAGACAAGATGCTTTGTTAACTTCCTCGGATCCTCCACCATATATGTCTATGGGCTCAAGTGGTCGGGGTGATCATCAAGATGAGATCAGATTACTTGAGCCATGGTCTAATATGGATGTTCCAGACGCAATGTTTGATATGCAGGGAGACTGGAATCTAGATCTTTCCGGGGAGGCAGAAGGAATTTATTCCAGTTTCCACAATCCGACATTGCCACTGACCGGGGTTGACTACATCGACTGGTTGGAGATTGAGAAAGTATTTAACGGTCCATAGAGCGGATAGAAAGAATGTCGCTTGTAAGACCCAAACATGTTTCGAGTTAACAAAATAATGTCGTGCACCTCAAATAACTTACCGCCACCTCTTACCACGGCCTAAAAAGCTCTATGTTTTCATGAAGGTCAGCTCTTACCTGTGTGGATAACTTCAAATATCCATCTTGTGTGGTTCGCTATAGCAGGATTTTTACCCGTGGCCACTGTTATAGCCGCTATAGAGCCACACCCACTTTTATAAGCAACTAGGTATGTTCACCTTCTTGATACTCTTAATCAGCGGAAGAAAAGCTCTTTGTGTTGTACAATATTGAATGTGATTCTTCGTTGGCGATCTTGGGCCAGTAGCCACATGTTTGCACCTAGGCGTCTTCAGGACTCTATGCAGGTAAATTACCTTTTTCCACCAGATGAGTTAGCTCTCATTGGAAGGTAAAGTAGGCTATATCTATAAACATCATTGCTCCAGGTGATCTTCACTCTCAAGTTCTAGATAGTATTGGTGCCCGTAGACTTGGCGATATTGTCTGTAATCACGTGATGATACGACCATCTCACCGTTCCTGTTCCTCGCCGGCAACATGCACTGCAGTTGGAGTCCGACCGTTCCCAATTTCGTCGCGTCAGGCATTTTGAGCCGAGCTTCAACTGTCGAGTTTGGTACTTTCGACTCCAAACCCCTCACGGTGTCAAAATCCCACCGCCAAATCGTCTGATAGCTTCCCCGCAATCGCGTCCCTCGCGCCGAACGATGCCCACACTCGCTGTATTCCCACGTGGGTGAAGACAGCAGTTTACACCAGGGCCCATCAGGCCGGCACATCGAGAAGAAAAGGACAGAACGCACAAGATAATCACGGCATTGGAGTTGGACCTCAGAGGTTACCGCAAGCATGGAGGCCGACTGGGATGAGCTGTCGCGTATCCCAATGCCGCCCCCGAGTCTGCATGCTATGCCCACTGTGGCAACGGCGACGGCATTTGACGACATGATGGAACTTTTATGGACAGGCAATGAATATGTGAGTGTTGATGTCGGCTGGGTGATTTCCGAGGCGGGACGCTGATGAATATGTTCGATCCGTTAGGGCAGAGTCTCTTCCTTTTACGGGCCAGAGTTGCAACGTTATACCTCGGTTCGAGCCCATCCAGTCTCCGAGGGTTCAGTACAGCAAATAATCTTCCACGAAAGAGGTGTGATTTCGCTATCATCAAAGAGTGTACACATGATTACTCGACGGGGCTTGACACAGTGGCACCTTACCCACGATGAAATGGTCGACCTCCGTTGTATGAGCTTCACCGCCCAGACCAATCGAATCCTTGTCGCAGGTTCACAGCGCGTGATGTTCACGGTAGATATTGACAAGGGCACAATCGTCGAGAAGCTGCCCACCGAGCACGGCTACACGATGATGAAAAAGAGTAGATATCTTTGTGCTGCAACAGATACTGGATCAATCAATGCCCTCAGTCTCTCAGACTTCAGCGTTGTCAAGTCATGGAAAGCTCACGGAACAGGTGTTAATGACATGGATGCGCGAAATGACCTGCTGGTCACCTGTGGCTTCTCAGTCCGCCACCTCGGAACCCCAATCGTGGACCCTCTAGCCAACGTTTATGACTTGAAAACCTTGACCCCGTTACCTCCGATCCCATTCCATGCTGGAGCAGCATACGTGCGCATGCATCCGAAACTTCACACCACCAGCATCGTGGCTTCACAAACAGGTCAACTCCAAGTGATAGATCTCATGAACCCCAATTCGGTTAACTTGAAACAAGCCAATGTGTCACTTGTGCTCGGTATTGATCTGTCACCATCAGGAGAAGCATTGGCCATTAATGATGCTGAATGCTCCATTCATCTATGGGGCTCACCAACCAAGATTCATTTTAATGAATTGAGCAAGGAGACAGAATTTGCCGATGTTCCCACGCGGCCTCCTCAGGTAGATTGGTCTCCCGAATCTCCATTGAACATGGTTGGGATGCCTTATTACCACGAACGTCTCTTTTCCGCGTGGCCAAGCCATTTGCTTTTTGAGGTCGGCAGTCCGCCGGCTCCATTGGATCAATCCATGTTGCCATATTTACGCCCCGCAGAGATGGGACATCATGCTCCAAACCCGAGAAAGACTCGTCGTTACCAAATAGAAAACACTCGCGCATTGACCACGGCAGAGCCGTCTCTTCTTGCACCAAAGTTCCTGAGTGAAAAGGCTCGAGACTATAGCAAGTCAGACAGCTTGGTTGGCGATGCCGCAGAGGCATTGGCAGGGGCGAAGATCAACGGAGAGAGCGATGATGACCCATTGCTGAAATACAGCAACGTAGAGATCAAATACAGCCGATTCGGTGTAGATGACTTCGATTTCAGGTACGTCATTCTTTTCTAATTCATTTGCTGCCTTTACTCACGTTCTCTACAGATTCTACAACAAGACCTCATTCTCCGGGCTTGAGACTCACATATCCAACTCTTTCACCAACTCCCTTCTTCAACTTTTGAAATTCATCCCACTTTTCCGAAATCTCGCCCTGAATCATGCAGCCGGATCGTGCATATTTGAACACTGTCTTTTGTGTGAACTGGGCTACTTGTTTGACATGCTTGAAAAGGCAAACGGGCAAAATTGTCAGGCCACCAACCTTCTCAAGACATTCAGCAGCTTCCGAGAAGCCTCAAATCTGGGTCTCTTGGAAGAGAATCTTACCAACAAATCTCTCTCAACTGCGATCCAAGCAGTCAATCGTTTCTTCCTGACTCAAATAGCTCAAGACTTCCGGATGATTCAGCCTAGTTCTGAAGAGCTCGATCAGCGCTTGGCCACCATTGCGTCTGAGTCTATTCGGTGCATGTTCTGCCAGAACGAAATTGTGCGCCCTGGCAATTCACTTGCCAATGAACTGATTTACCCGAATATCGACATTAAACATGCACGAAGGAATCCTCTATTCCGCTTTTCCAATATCTTACGCGCAAGCATTGAGCGAGAGACACAAAACCGCGGATGGTGCAATTATTGTCGTCGCTACCAGCAAGTGACCATTCGCAAGACCATTCACCGCATGCCTTTGATTCTCGTGCTCAATGCCGCCCTGACCAACCCTCTCTGCCGTCGGCTTTGGGCAATCCCAGGGTGGTTGCCCGACGCCGTTGGAGTTCTCGTTGATGCTAGCGGGCAGGTGATGTGCTTTGAGGGCGATGATCTTCGCCTCCGAATCCAAAATCAAACATCCGGGCTCGCGGTATATGATCTGGTTGGCTTGGTTGCGGAGATTGACATCCCGGAACATCAAAAGCCCCATTTGGTGTCTTTCGTCAATGTATCCATTTCAGGTGCCGAGTCCGAAGAACAAGGCAAATGGCACCTGTTCAATGACTTCTTGGTCACGGAAGTCGACAGAGACGAAGCACTCCGATTTACGCAGCCTTGGAAACAACCTTGCGTGCTGGCTTACCAAGTGAGAGATCCACGCCATGCCGTCGATGACTCTTGGAAGAACCTCCTCGATAAAACCTTGCTATTCCGCGAGTGGTCTTTGAAGTAAGTTTTTGAACATGATTAAGTTTGACGTTTGAATAGAAATACTAACAGTCGTCTTCCTGTAGTGGCGGCCGTCAGGTTGATTCATGTCAAACTCTCACCGAGGAGGAAATGCCACAGCCCGGGACACCTGTCGCATTGGATACCGAGTTTGTTGATCTCGAAAAAGCCGAGATTGATGTCAAGGCAGACGGATCACAGGAAATGGTACGCCCCAACAAGAGCGGGCTGGCCCGTGTTTCCGTCTTGCGCGGTGTGGGTGTCCAAGAAGGAGTTCCCTTTATTGATGACTACATCACCATCCGTGAGCCAATTGTGGACTATGTGACCCAATATTCCGGCATCAAGCCTGGTGACCTGGATCCGCGAACCAGTGAACACAATCTTGTCCCACTCAAGGTTGCCTACAAGAAGCTTTGGCTGCTTCTAAACCTCGGCTGTATATTTGTTGGTCACGGACTAGCATCTGATTTCCGCAAAATCAACATTCAAGTGCCTAAGGCACAGACGGTGGACACACAATACCTCTTCTTCCATCCCGGGAAAAACCGGCGTCTCAGTCTCAGGTACCTGGCCTGGGCTGTCTTCAAGGAGCATATCCAAGAGGAACCCGCCCCCGACACCGTACAAGGTCATGATTCGATCGAGGATGCTCGCATGGCTTTGCGTCTGTGGAAAAAATTCCAGGAATACGAGGATGCAGGCATAGTCACGCAAATGCTCGAAGAGATCTTCCGCGAAGGCTCGAAGCTAGGATTCCGCCCACCTCCTAAAAACGGAGGCACCATCACCGTTCTCTCCCGACCCGGCACCGCTGTCACCATGCAGAATGATAGCGGTCGCAACACTCCTAGCACCCCGGACACACGGTCCGTCGTGCCAGTCGCCCCAACATCGGCGGCTCCCATCGTTGGATCTCCCAGCGCCCCTACCACTCCTCGCCAGGGTTTCAGGCGATCAATTGCCTTGACCCCGAGTAATGGGAGCTTTTCTGGACCTGGTGCCAGTGACTTTTTTGGAGGTAGTCCCCTTCGATAGATGAATATTCTTATCTTTTTTTCCCACTTGGCTCTTCTACTCTTTCGGCATCATACGTGTCGCAAAGGCGTATTACGTGCATTCTCAAAACTTTAGAAGTTCTAAACTCAGATTGTGAATATGTAGGTGTATTCTGATTGTGCAGATCCTAGTCTAGATAGTATCCCTCTTTTTGGACTGGGGTTATTGGAGTCCCCTTCGTATACAATGTCCAGGTGTTCCTCGAGAATGGGGAAAGCACGAGTCTCGAGTATTTGCCTTAGTACTCCCGCCTGGACAACCTTGGAACCGCGTCAAGTAAGTTCACCCCGCAAAATCGAAAGTATAATTTTGGGGCTACTATGTACATAGATGTTGGGAATGACTCTGTATTCAGTATTGAAAAGCGTCCTATCTTAATTCAAAGTCATCCAGTTCGACTACAATCTTTCACGAGATGGCCATCCAGCTAAACTTGGTTCAGGGCAACTTTGCACATCAAACTAATGGTCTAAAGAGAAATATCAACCTGGGCCTGACCGATCTCGTTCCATGTCCTTATGACCAATTTCATTGGTGCTGGAATTATTTCCGTCCATCCCACCCTCACCGAGAAGTTCGGTGTCGAGATTCAGGACGTTAGCTACTTGACCTCAATTCACATGAGTCACACAATCTTCCTCAAGGGTCCTGCCTGTTATTTGGTTGCACTGGAAATCACAAAGCTAGAAGGTGATGAAGAAGCTGGAGAGTCGAAGACTGTATTCTACTCGTAGATTATAGACCCAGGGATAAATTAGACCGAGCTTCAAGTGCTTGACATCGATTTTGCAACTTAGATGTCAAAGCTATGTTGTGTTCAGATTGGAAATGGCTTCGCAGAGCTAATAATTGAAGGCATAAACAGATGTCATAACAGAACTTCGAAGGATGATAGAAAGGAAGGAGAAGGCGGTGAAGAAGGCGGTCAGCTCAATTGCTCCATACGTCGATTACGGTTCCTCCTCCGTCACTGACGAACCCCTCGTTTGTTACCCCACCCACCTCCTGACGCCGTAATGTCGCGACACCGTATTAAGGATGTCGACTACGACGATGATGATTTCTATGACGATGAGGACGCACCAGCTGACCCTGAGGAACAGGAGTTCTTGCAACAGTGTACTACCGCTGTTTTGCAACAGCTCGGTGCCGGGCAACCGTCAGTGACCGCCACAAAAGAAGAAGTGCAAGACGCATTATGGCACTACTACAATGATATCGAGAAGTCGGTCAATTATTTGAAGGGTATGTTCAATTGGCGCAGATACGCCGCATCAAATCGTATTTTCTATCGCGGGTTTCCGCGTTCAATTGTTTGTTGTGAAATTCAGCTAACCGAAGTTCTGCGTGCAGGAAAGAGAGAGAAGGAGGCTACGAAGCTGCAGAAATCGAAGATTCAACCAGGTAAGCAATGTTCATGGGATAATTGTTATCCTAAAGTGTCGTCGCTGGGCTCGGGGTCTGGGCCACAAGATATTCTGCGCGCCCTGATCATGACTGCTGCTGTTCCTTGCAAATGAAAATGTGTGTATCTGGTGCAAATCCCTTTCATGTGATTTCTAGATACTCGAAACTGATGCCATAAAAAGTTTGAACAATGTTCTAACAGGTCTTCCAGTACCAGCATACCCTGCTCCTCCTTCCACAGCACACTTCTCGGCTGCCGATTTCTTTCGCGATTCTCCCTGGCTCAACGTTCCCTCTCATCGGAAATCGGAAATCCTGATTGAGCCGCTTTATCCACGTTTGGGGCTCTTGGGCGGTGCACCGGAGAGTGGTGGAAAACTGTCCAAATTGGCCGCGCTAGCTGCAGCCCGGAAGAAGAAAGAGGGCGATAAGGCACCATCGCTGCCGGAGACTTCGACTCCATCAACTCCCAAACTTGAACAACCAAAGATGTCCTCGCTTGATCATTCGGGTACTTCGCGCTCTCTTCGTGACAGACTTGCAGCTAGCGGGAGGTCCACACCAAAAGCTTCAGAGAGTCCTGGGTCTCTCCGTCGTTTGGCAACGCCAAACTCCTCTTCGCATCCGTCATCGAAGCGGCCCGGATCCGAGACCAGAAATCCATCTGTGTCTGAGGTCTCGGAATCAATGCAAAGTGTGGTACTTGAAGCGAAAGAAGAACCAGAACCCCAGCAAACAGTGCCTACCATTCGAGCCTCGCCCTCACCATTTGCCAGCACTATCGTTGGCGCAGCAACCGGCCCGACAGCAGCTGAGCCCAGCCACTTACACTCCAGCTCAGACCTGTTGAGGATCTATGGACAGGATCATGCTGAACCTTTTGACTTTGCAGCGCCCAGCCCCGACGATGTCGTTCTCAATGCACAGAACACAGCGAAAGGTTTGGCGATCCGCAGGAAGGTTTAAAGGCAATTGCCTAATAATATGTAGGAATGAAGTCGAAATCGGCCGCATCGAAATCGACAGTGGCGAAGAAAGGCCAGTCTGATCTGGCAGGTGGCATGAAGGACCTATCAGTGGAAGACAAAGTGACCGTCAAGAGCAAGAATCTTGATGTTCTATCAGAGTACAAGAAGTCCACCCGCAAGCGGTCCGCAAACTTTGTGGTTATTGGTAAGTCGATCTCCACTGGCAAGAAGGTGCGGACCTGGACTGACTCATATCCAATATAGGTCATGTTGATGCTGGAAAGAGCACTCTCATGGGACGGTTGTTAGCAGATCAAGGTGCTATCGACCAACGGACTCTAGATAGGTATCGGCGAGAGGCCGAGAAGATCGGTAAGGGCTCATTCGCCCTAGCCTGGGTCCTGGACCAAGGGTCAGAGGAGAGAGCACGAGGCGTGACAATAGATATCGCCACCAATCAGTTTGAGACCGACAAGACAGCCTTTACCATTGTTGATGCACCAGGTCACCGCGATTTCGTCCCGAACATGATCGCTGGTGCCAGCCAGGCAGACTTTGCTGTTCTGGTCATCGATTCCAGTGTGGGCAATTTCGAGTCGGGGTTGAAAGGTCAGACTAAGGAGCACGCTCTGCTGGTGCGCAGCATGGGCGTTCAAAGGATTGTGGTGGCTGTGAACAAGATGGATACCGTGCAATGGGATCACGAACGATTCGAGGAGATTGAACAGCAGATCTCCGCGTTCTTGACAACCGCGGGCTTCCAGGACAGCAACATTTCGTTTGTGCCGTGCTCGGGAGTTCTAGGAGACAATATTTCTCGACGGACTGACGACCCTCACGCATCCTGGTACACAGGTCGCACATTGATTGAAGAACTGGAAACGTCGGAGCCATACACACACGCCCTCGAAAAGCCTTTACGTATGACGATTGGTGATGTCTTCCGAGGTGGCGTGCAAAATCCACTTTCCATCTCTGGCCGTATCGACGCAGGCAGCTTGCAGATGGGCGACCATATCCTGATCATGCCCAGTGGTGAAACAGCAATAGTGCGCAGTTTGGAGGTGGACAGCGAACCGAGTGACTGGGCCGTGGCAGGTCAAAACGTCGTTTTAAACATCGCCAATATCGACCCTATTCACCTCCGTTCCGGTGACGTTGTCTGCCGTCCTTCTTCTCCCATTCCTACCATCACTTCTTTCACCGCCAAAGTTCTGGCCTTCGAACACCTGATGCCCATGCAAGTGGATGTGCACCGTGGCCGTCTACATGTACCTGGCCGCATCAGCAAGCTGGTTGCCTCTCTGGACAAAGCGTCCGGAGCGGCTATCAAGAAACGCCCAAAGATTGTGGGCCCGGGTATCGTGGCGCGTATTGTGGTTGAAATGGATCAAGCTGTTCCTCTTGAGGCACCGACCAGGATTGTCCTGCGCGCGGGAGGCTCGACGGTAGCTGCTGGTTTGTTAGAATGAGCTTTCTTAATCAAAATCCATCTCATTCGTGATGTGCCACAAGTTTTCTTCGTTGGTAGAAAAATATTGTTTAACTAGAATACTGTCTTCCACTGAACTATGAAAATATATATCTATCATAGAATGGTATTCCATCTAGAGCTGGCCAGTCGGTGATTGGTTCTTGGATATGATTTCAGATATGATTTGGGGAATAAGATCAAGCCCAATTATTGAATGAACTATTGGATTGTGGTGCACAAGTAGTGCCATTAGAGTTAGACTCATAAGCTGTACACTAAATCCCAGGGCATGGTGGGTGCTCTGTGCCACGCCCCCCTACTCGGGAGATCCCCGGCCCAATTATAGGCCCGCAGTACAGAGTATGCCTCGCCATCATGGTCTCTCGATCAAGATGCCACTTGTCATGATCAATAAATCGACATCAAATTAGGCTGTTGGAATGTAGAATAGAGTGTAGCAACACGTGGTCAGTGGCAAGGACATGAGTCAACCGGCTAAACTTCAGCAATTTACTAGATCGCGCGAATTCCCCGAAGGGGCAAACATTTGGCCCCTTCTAGCAAGTTCGATAATTTGGCAGTCGTTGATTGGTGGAAGCCCTGCGTAGCCTGTGGATAGACCCCTGCCGCTAGACTATTTTGGGGAGCATAATGCCTGTTGAAGAAGGCGGTGTGGTACAGGGCTGTTTCTGAGTCAGCTACTGCCGAGCGGAAGCCAGCCAATCAGCACACGAGAAGTGACCTGAACTGGGAAAAGGCCAGCATGGCCGCTGGGCCGTATCCGCGTACAAGAAGTCCTCTTTCTTCGATTCTTCTCCTAACCATTCTCCCATTCCCTCACTTCGCCCTGGGTCCCTTTCCCACATATTATCGACTAACATAAGGGTTCATAGAGTCAAACACGCCTTGTGTTTACTCGTCTGCGCAGCTGTTTAGACCGGCACGCGCGAAGCTTCCATAACGACAGCTTCTTTGTCTTCGTGTTGAAAAAGGACTTCGATCCACCTACCTATACATACACCTCTCACAATGGCTCGCCTATCCGCACGCGATGGCGCGTCCAAGCCCTTCGCCTGGACCACCATCTTCTACCTCCTCTTCGTCCTCGTCGCGCCTCTGGCCTTCTTTGGAAACACCGCCCACGCACAGGAGGAGAACTCCCCTGAGAGCTACGGCAATGTTATTGGTATTGATTTGGGAACCACTTACTCGTACGTTGCCTCAGTCTGGAAAACATTGATGTTAGATGAGACAGCTTGCTAACTTTGAGTCCAGTTGTGTTGGTGTGATGCAGAACGGAAAGGTCGAAATTCTTGTCAACGACCAAGGAAACCGTATTACCCCGTCTTACGTTGCTTTCACCGATGAGGAGCGCCTCGTTGGTGACGCCGCCAAGAACCAATATGCCGCTAACCCCGAGCGCACCGTCTTCGACATCAAGTAAGCATCCACTACACCCCACATAGCATGAACTGAGCACTAACACATTACAGGCGTATGATTGGTCGCAAGTTTGATGACAAGGACATCCAGAAGGACATCAAGAACTACCCCTTCAAGGTCGTCAAGAAGGATGGCAAGCCCCAAGTCAAGGTCGACGTCAACCAGTCCCCCAAGACCTTCACCCCTGAGGAGATTTCCGCCATGGTCCTCGGTAAGATGAAGGAGATTGCCGAGAGCTTCTTGGGCAAGACCGTCACCCACGCCGTTGTTACCGTTCCCGCCTACTTCAGCGACGCCCAGCGTCAGGCTACCAAGGATGCCGGTACCATCGCCGGTCTCAACGTCCTCCGTGTTGTCAACGAGCCCACCGCCGCCGCTATCGCCTACGGTCTTGATAAGACAGGTGACGAGCGCCAGGTCATTGTTTACGATCTTGGTGGTGGTACCTTCGATGTGTCTCTTCTGTCTATTGACAACGGTGTTTTCGAGGTTCTGGCTACCGCTGGTGACACTCACCTTGGTGGTGAGGATTTCGACCACCGTGTTATGGATTACTTTGTCAAGCAGTACAACAAGAAGAACAACACCGATGTTAAGAAGGATCTTAAGGCTATGGGTAAGCTGAAGCGCGAGGTTGAGAAGGCCAAGCGTACTCTGTCTTCCCAGATGTCCACTCGCATTGAAATCGAGGCCTTCCACAACGGCGAGGATTTCTCTGAGACTCTGACCCGCGCTAAGTTTGAGGAACTTAACGTTGATCTGTTCAAGAAGACCCTCAAGCCTGTTGAGCAGGTTCTGAAGGACGCCAAGGTCAAGAAGTCCGAGGTTGATGATATCGTTCTTGTTGGTGGTTCTACCCGTATCCCTAAGGTCCAGGCTCTTCTCGAGGAGTTCTTCGCTGGAAAGAAGGCCAGCAAGGGCATCAACCCCGATGAGGCCGTTGCCTTCGGTGCCGCCGTCCAGGGTGGTATTCTCTCCGGCGATGACTCCATGGTCGACGTTGTTCTCATGGATGTTAACCCCCTCACTCTCGGTATCGAGACCACTGGCGGTGTTATGACCAAGCTCATTCCCCGCAACACTGTCATTCCTACCCGCAAGTCGCAGATCTTCTCGACTGCCGCCGACAACCAGCCCACCGTCTTGATCCAGGTGTTCGAGGGTGAGCGCACTATGACTAAGGATAACAATATGCTCGGCAAGTTCGAGCTGACCAACATCCCTCCCGCGCCCCGTGGCGTTCCCCAGATCGAGGTCGCCTTTGACCTCGATGCCAATGGAATCCTCAAGGTCAGCGCCTCCGATAAGGGCACCGGCAAGGCTGAGTCCATCACCATCACCAACGACAAGGGTCGTCTCTCCCAGGAGGAGATCGACCGCATGGTCCAGGAGGCCGAGCAATACGCCGAGGAGGATAAGGCCATTAAGGGCAAGATCGAGGCCCGTAACGGCCTTGAGAACTACGCCTTCAGCCTGAAGAACCAGGTCAACGACGAGAACGGTCTGGGTGGCCAGATCGATGAGGATGACAAGCAGTCCATCCTCGACGCCGTGAAGGAGGTCAACGACTGGCTCGAGGACAACGCCGCCACCGCTACCATGGAGGACTTCGAGGAGCAGAAGGAGCAGCTTTCCGGTGTGGCTTACCCCATCACCAGCAAGCTGTACGGCTCTGCTTCTCCTCCTGATGAGGATGACGAGCCCCTTGACCACGACGAACTGTAAAATTATCTTTGAGGCATTGTTCATGGAGTTCCACTTTTTTTTTCTCTTGCTTGAGTCCCCTTTTGTGTTCGAATTTACACGGGGCACTGTTTGTGTCCCATCCAACCTTTAGGCCTGGTTGAACGCCGGCTCAGAATACAATACAATGATACCTTGCATTCTTATTATGAAGATAGTGACGCAGTAACACGCCCATCTACCTCTTTTTGATTGAAGTAAATATACGTAATGTCCCCAGGCCCCCTTCGCTTTCTTCTGTAATACTCATGGAGTAAAGGTTTTCCTTGTAATTTAGATGTTCTTACAGTGGTGACTAAATACGACATCCATCTTATACTTGCTGAGCCACAAACGCCTGAATAGTCTCCGCAACAACCTGATGATCATCCTCCTGCTTCAACCCACTCACAACGATGACACCAATAACCCCATCAACACCATGCACGCGAATCGGGTAGCCACCGCCATGGATAGCATACTCATCCGCAACAGCACCCCCATTGGCACTCGGAACAGCATACTTCTTAACAAAAGCAGCCTCAATCTGGTCCGCCGAGGCACCAGCCGCGAGCCCACTAATAGTCTTCTGTCTCATAGCCCAGCTCGAGACACCCCAGCGGAGCACAGTGTTTCGCTTCCGTCGTACCCAGTTCTCGTTGTCTGGGATCGTGCCGCTCTCCGTCACAGACTGAAACACCACGTGGAGCGGGGCTCCGCCGCTGAGCGCAATGGAGATCAGAGCCGGTTTGCGCTGTCCGTTCGGGAGGCGGAGGATTCGGTCCCTTAGTGCATTTCCTAGCTGCCAAGCGGTTTCTGCGGTGAACGTGTGGAAAATTTGGTCCCTGCTTGTTTCTTGCGCGATTAGGACTTGCGGCTGTTTCTTGATTAGCTTTCGGTTTTCGGCTTGTTTGGAGCATTGGGAGACTCACGTCCGTGCTGGGTGCGGAAAGAGCCATGATTGATGTGGTTTGAGGTTTATTTTGGCACCTAGATATGTATGTAAATGGTGAAGAAAAGTTGAGGGCAACCTTTTGGGGGATCAAATGGTATTTCTATGCAGTGGGGGTGATGGGGGTGATGGGGGTGATGGCAGGGGTGGACCTTCCTTCTGGCACATCGGTGACGTCGCCGAGATCTAGACTTTGACAAGATCATTGCTACATACTTTGTATGTTTGAATTGTATCTGGCCAAGCTTTGATCTCACAACATCTATTTATGGATATCAAACTAGATCCTCACGGAAATGTTCCGACATGCAGATATCGGCAACCCTGCCGAAAATACCCCTCCTTGACGAACTCCAATGTCTCCGCATTCCCCGAAGTACATCTTTCTTCAACATGACATTTTCAGTAACTTAAGTCCCCATGCCACCCAAACGAGCCTGCGACACCTGTATCTCCCGCAAAGTGAAATGCAGTGGTTCTTGGCCCTGCGATACCTGCCGCAGTGCAGTAAAGCGGGTGCGCTGTACGTACCTGAAGCCTGCGCACAGGAGGGGCCCGAAATCTCGGCGAGTAGCAAGCCACCGAGAACCCGAACTCCCAGCGATTCAATCCACAGGGAACCCGAAAAATGATCAAGAAGATACATACATGCAGAACACTAGTGATGAGACCGGTTCTTCATCCAACCCAACATGCAGCTCCCAATGCATTCCAAAGACAGTCCTTGCGTCGGTGATCCGTCTGTATCAGCAATATTCATACAGCGTCTGGCCCGTAGTCAATGCAAAAGCTCTTTTAGGAAGGCTCGAGGATATATATCCAGAAAGAGTTGACTCCAATGCTGGGAACACATTTTGTCTCGTCATGGCCCTCTGCGCCGCCACGATGGCTCAGTTGCATCTTGATCCCTTCGTAGATGCTTCCCGGGCAGTGGATAGCACCACAATGGTCCAGGCTTGTCTGCGACTGCGTGAACGTTACAACAGCTATGGAACAAATCTGGATCTCAGAAGCGTCTTGGTGTCTTTCTTTTTGCATGTGTACCACGCCAAGGTCAACCAACGAACTTCAGCAATGATGTTCATCCAAGAGGCCATGGCCGGAGCGCGTATTCTGCGATTGAATGAAGAATTCTCACACGCGGAAGATGAGTTGATTGCAAACAAGGGCTTGGTATTTCCGTTGCTTTGGGTATCAGAGAGGTAGGCTGGAACCTCTGAATTCGCAGAGTAACTTATTAACTATCCTCAGAGGTTATTCATTGCACCTGGGTCTCTCTCCTTCATATATTGACCCCCCCGAATTAATAAATGTGGAGAGAAATATGAATGCTGATGTCCATGCTCGAGGGTTGCTAGAGCTCGTCAAGCTCTTTATTGCATTTGATCAACTCTCGGTACGGCGCAACTCGCGTCCTGGGATCATCTTGGCTACACATCTGACCGATACCGAGGCGAAGATTGCTTCACTATGCTTCACCATGGAAAATCACGTTTCGACCCGAACGGCAGACTACTATATCACACGGGAGTGGATGAGGACCATTCTCTGGCAGGAGGCACTCACTATGGGCTTGCTGTCTTCTTCAGCGTGTACATCCGTCTTGGCATTTGGATTTCCAGCGCAAGTTGGCCGTGCCTTACTGCAGGCCTTGCGGGGCTTCAGCGAGACCGATTTGCTCCCATTGGGACGAGACCAGGCTAGTAGCCTTGATATAAAGGAAATCCAGGCTATGGCTAACGTCATTTTGTAGTTACTGAAATGCTTCGAAGTCACCAACTCACTGGCGGACACGGTTCTTTTGTCCTCACACAAAATAAGTTCTCGGCTCGAACTAGGACCACAGGACTTTCTGCATGCATTATACCAGAAGATTGTTCCCTTTCTCGAGCAGGATACCATGTTGAAGTCAATCCTTCATGCTAAAACTGCTGAAGCTCTAGTCGCAGCTCCAGCTCGCCTGCTGACAACCGGGGAGGAAGATGCGGGCCTGCACTGGGGCGAAAATGGACCTGGTGGTCTGGCCCAGATTGCCGGATACATACCAAACAGCGAGCTTGAGGAACAGAACGAATTGACACCAGATTTCTTGAATTGGCTTCAACAACCGGATCTTCAGATAATCTAATATCAATCTCGATAACATTTTCATCGGATCATTCTGTCATCTGAAGGACGATCCGTCCCGAAATATCACCCTTCTCCATCTCCTCATATACCTGAGGTAAATCCTTGAACGGCCGGACCTTGACCACAGGATTAACAATACCACGTCGTACCATATCAACAGCCTCCATGCATTCCTTCAGCGAGCCCACCAAATTACCCGTGATCTTGAGCCCCTTGATCACAATCGTGCAGATAGGAGTCTCCAAGCTCGGTCTTCCCGGGGGAATACCAACACAACTCAAAGTACCACCAACCCGTAGCATATCACAAGCATGTGCAAACGCCTTTGCATTACCTGCTGTCACTACCGCAGCATGTGCACCTAAGCCAGTAATCTCTTGCACCCTCTTTACGGGGTCCTCGGTGGCAAAGTCGATAAATTCCTGCGCGCCCAGACCTTTGACAAAGTCTCCCTTGCCAGGACCAGTGTCGACGCCAATTACCAGAGCCCCTTGAGCTCTTGCATATTGAACTAATCAATGTCAGTGGATTGCAACCCGTCTCCCGGATTCCCCACCGGGGGAAAAAGAAAAAGCATACCAGCCAAATGCCCAAGGCCACCTCCGGCCCCAACAACCACCAACCAATTCCCAGGACGAACATTCGCATTCAAGACGGCCTAATCAATTACCAATCACCAATTAACCCAAAACCATATAACATAAAATACCCAACCCACCTTATAAGCCGTCAAACCCGCACAAAGCACCGGCCCCATAACCTTCGGATCAACATCATCAGGCAAAATCGTCAAGTAATCCGCATCGAGCGCGATATACTGCTGAAAAGACCCATCCTCGTGGTGAAGATGGTTCGTACTCGCAACGCAGTACTGCTCCGTACCCGCAAGACAGAACTCGCACCGTCGACAGATGCGGCTCGCGAACCGGATCCCTACCAGCCCGCCGATTTTCAGGCCCGCGGCGTGCGTGATATCCGGGCCAAGCGCGACCACCCGGCCGATACCTTCGTGGCCGCCCACGTGTGGCAGTTTGATCTTTGTTATCGGGTTGCCGTCTGGCCCGGCTGCGGTGCCGGATTTGGTGTGTAGATCTGTTAGTGTGTTAGACTGGGTCTTGTTGAGAGATAGATAACATTCTGGTGAGAGCGCCGGTTGGACTAATTGACGGTTTACATACCGCTCTGGCAGACGCCGGTGTAGAGCACTTTGGCGAGGACTTCATTGCGTCCCGGGATTGGCACGGGGTAGTCTGTTTTGAACTCGATTTGGCCGCCCAGTGAACGGACGAGAGCGACTGTTTGGGTCTGTGGAATGGTGAGGGTGTCCATTGTTATTTTGATATGTTTGCTGAGGAGATATTGGATGGAATATGGAGTATGTCTAGAAGAGACTGGATTCTGGATATTATACAGGTGAAATGGCTATATTTATATTTAACACTCGAGTCTGCGTTGTAATACCTAAGATGGATCATGTCAATTCTCCGAGTGTACATCAAGTGTACATCAAGTGGTGCGTGGGTTATCCTTGAGCGGGGAAAATTGTTCTGCATTGTCAGTTTGTTCTCCAATCCGGGCCAAATATCAGGATATAACTGGTCAATGATGTGGTTTGGTCATGAGCTGAGGTGGAACTAGACAGCCTACAGCCAACCTTTGTGCAGATGATGTGAATATCAACAAGACAGACTCGGATAAATAGAGTACGCCAAACCTGAGTACTATTTACTATTGGTAGTAGACTAGGAAAAAAGAACCTCACAGATGTGACACTGCATGAAGACATGCTAATTCTCCGAATCAATTCTCCGGGTCTTGTACATTTGCAGATCTTACCTACAGCAGCATATCTACAAATAGCAAAGAAGAGGATCTGTATGTTCCATTAACTACCTAACCTAGGGGAGGCTTTCCCATATTTTTTTTCCTTTCTTGAAATGCTACGCTTCAAATCGCTATCCTCAAGCAAATCGGGGTATGTACAATCGCACTAATTTCAGTCCATCCGGGTACGCCATAACCTCACCAGAAACGCCGAGATCAAGAAACCAGACTCAAAGCTCCGAACACCAGCTAGTCACGCGCCCTCCGCAAAGGAATGTCGGGTATTTCATTAAACATCTAAACGTTGTCCAAATGCACCGCGCGTGCGTAAGATCCCTTCGTAGGGGTAGTAGGTGAATTGGGATCGCCAGTCTCAATATCCCTGCGTGTCCTGTGCGCACGAGGGCTTGAGTTCGGAGTAGCGAGCGGGGTGACGAATAACTCGCCGTTCTTCTTGCGCATCCAGTGTACGCGCAAGTGGTCGAGTGCCGTCTTGAAGTCGTCGAGAATGACCGTGTCGCAGAGACATTTGAAAATGAAAGATAGCTGGGATGGTTAGTGCGGGAAATGGAAATCAGATAAATAGGATGGATGCGATCTTACTTTCCAGAACGGCTCAACACCTGTTGGAAGCATGCTGGAAAAGGCATTGAGCACGCTGCAGGTATCGATAATCATGAAAATAATCGACAGACACATTGCCGCCAGCATGATTCCGAAACGTGGGCTGACTATTACTAGTTCCCATAATCCGAAGTTGTATTCGCGCTTGATCGTCCAGAACAGGCTGGCCGTTGTGAAGATCCACCACGGGTCGCTGTTGAGAGACCATGTTAGAGCGAAAGGGATTCAAATATGAAAGAGCAGTACTCGATATATGGCGGGGAGGGAATGACGAACCGAAATAGTGGCTCCATTGGCCTGGTCGTCAGGAAAATCTTATTGATATTGTTGAAGTATGTGAAGTTCGCATAGATCTCCAGACCCCAATAGGGCCAGCAGAGAACAACAGTGGCAATGTAGATGATCGAGACCTTTCGCGATAGGAATGGGCGGTTCTTCATCCAGGCGATAACATTATGCAGGGCCCAGGAGATGTTGAGACCGATCGCGGTCACGGATAGATACCAGCCGTAGACGGGCTCGTGAGGGAAGATGAAAGTACCATGGGCCATAGCCAGGATGAGCTATAGTCAATCCACATATTAGCTAAGGTTTTGTTGAGTGCATACATGACTGCGCCAGTCTTTTGGCTTCCTTACCTCAGCAAAGATCAGCTTGTGCAAGAGAATATGTGACTTCATATTGGCAAGAGTGATAGCGGCCATAATGAGTAGACTTCCAACCATCAGACCCTGGCCCCATGCTTCAAGGATCAGGGCATCAGCCTCGGTAGGCTTCGAAATGTGATCGGTAGCCATCGTGGGCTGTATTCATGTCAATCGTAGGCGGTTGCTGGGGAGTTGTGGTGAAGGGTAAACAAGGGTCAGGCGAGTGAGGCGGAAGAGGCAGAATAGGTGGAAGAGTTTGTGATCGAGAGGCGTAGAGGAAAGAAATGAAGCACAATCTTCATGAAGGCATGGAAGTGACAAAAAGAGCCGGTTCTATCTCGCACATACGCGCGACATCACTAGGGTTCAAAGTGAAGATGGAACCAAGAGTTATATAATTTAATTCGTAATTTGCATAAGCACGGCAATTAGCGCCAGCTATTCCTTGTCTTATTTGGCTAATTCAACCCGCAAAAAGTTATTTGCGACGCCACTAGATGGTCTACGGTCGTTGGCTCGACAGGGGTTGTAGGCGGGGGGGAAATAGGGGATAACTCCAGAAGTTGGAGACTCAACGCGCAACATCTTTGGATGTCAATGTCACCTCAATTGTGTGCTCCCTCCCTTCCTATCCAAATCATTTTGTATTTAGCAAAAAATCTGGAAAAAAAAACCGAAAAAACCCCGGACTATCCCTGGGGTTGTCCCCGCGATGAGTCGGATGTCCATGCGGAGAAACGGGAGGTGGCGTTCCTGGGGATTCGAGCTAAACGGGCTAGCTAAACGAGCTACTGCACGGTGGTTTTGGGGTTTCTTTTACGTTTGTCTTGAATTTGGAAATAAACCACGAGATGGCAAAAAGAATGGTTTTGCTATTTACAGATCATAGAAAGATCCAGACACATGTTTCAGGAACTCAACAGCATAAAGAACATCAAACACAAAGAACACAAAGAACACAGAATACAAAGGATACAAAGAATACAAAGAATAATAATGATAAAAACTCAACGAAGTCTAACGGTCAGGCCTTTGTTTTCCCGCTATTTCTCCGTCTCGAACGTGTCTTGACCAGTCACTTAGGGTCATTCTACCCGAGCTTTTAGATAATGGAATGGACATGAATGTTTCATATTATACACACTTGTTCTCATAAACTAACCGAAAATAATATAACTCCCTGCTCGGTCCACAGGTTCATGTTGCTGATTACCCCAGCACATGCATATGCATTCCCGAGGTTCTCCAGTGCCGTGAAGTTTACGCTATTTAGCCAATAGACCGTGTACCGGGTATGCTAGACCTACCTCTTTCAAAAATATCCGGTATACAATGATCGTATAATTGGATATAGCGGAAGTCAAAAATACTCGCCATCCAATATTTGTGATCGCGTGGGGAGTGACCTAAGAAATAACATTGAAAAGTGTGAAGCCGTATCAACCACGTTCACCACGCTTAGTGCGAAGAATAATCGGAAACAAGCACCTAGTCGACCGTGGATTTATTTTGACAGCCAATACGCCGCTAGTCCTGCGATTACCCGTCTTGCATACAATATCCACCGGTGGATTTTATACCCGTTTGATATATATTCGACAAGAAAAAGCTCCTGGTGGGGGCTAGACCATTTCAGACTAGTATTTCCCGGTGAAAGTAATACATCTTCCTCGGTCCTCGTGGAAAACGTTCAGGACGCTGGCTCCGCTGCGCTCATCTACGATGATGCGGGTGACTTAGTCTACGAAGAACTTGAAGAGGTGACTGCCAACTTCATGGTGCAAAAGTTCTTCGGCAAGGATGTCATCACCTTCTGGGCCGGAGACATGATGTCCATCGGCTACGGTTATGGAACTGTGCACATCCTTGATGATTCCTACAAGGATATCTACACTGTCCAACTGACCGGCAACTTCGTCACCCCGGACGGCTCAAGCAAAGACTCATACTGTGACATGCACGAGAGCCTCATTACTTCCCGCAACACTCTCATTTGCACCGCATACAACGTCACTCAGCATGACCTGACTTACATCAACGGTACCTCCTCCGAGTGGATGCTGGACAGCCAATTCTACGAGATTGACAACCCTACCAACCAGGTTCTGCACTCATGGAGTGCCCTTGACCATGAAGCTGACCTTCCTCTGACCACCTCCCGCCAGAGTCTCGGAAAGGATGTCGGTACTCAGGATGCCCCCTATGATGCCTACCACATCAACTCCATCGCCACCACCAACCATGGCTATCTTATCTCGCTGCGCCACATGTGGCCAGGCTACTATCTGTCTCAAAAGGGGCAGCGTAATGTGGCAAGTGAGCGGCGAGGATGGTGCCGACTTCAAGCAGATTGGCAGTGTCGAATTTTCGTGGCAACATGACATGCGCGTCTACAACGAGACCGACAACGGGCTCGTCCTGAACCTGTTCAACAATGCCAACACCCCCACTGACGAAGAGTCAGAGACTACCGGCATCAGCCTGGCCATCGACCTGGACAAGAAGACAGTTACCGGTCTTCGCTCTCTGGCTGACCCCAACGACCCCGTCCACTCCGTCAGTCAGGGCAGCTACCAGCTCCTCGGTGAGGTAGGCAGCCATGCCTTCCTGGCCTACGGCTCCATTCCCAAAGTCAAGGAGTTTGATGTTGACGGTAACGTCGTTTTCAGCGCTAAATTCGGCGATGAAAATGCTGTTGCATCTTACCGCGGCTACCGCTACCAGTGGACTGCGACTCCCTTTTGGAAACCCTCCGTGTCGGTTAACAGCACCAGCTCCGGTGCTACCGTCTACATGAGCTGGAACGGCGACACCGAATATGACAACTGGGCCCTCTATGCGGCTTCTTCTGCCACCTCTACCAATAACACTCAGATCGCCACTGCTATGCGCACTGGCTTCGAGACTTCTGCTACCCTTGTCGACCCTCCTACCAACTTTGTTCAGGTTTTCGCTCGAAAGGGTACCAGCCTTCTCGGCACCTCGGAGGCTGTCTCATTCTAAGCGGTCCAAGATTCGCTTCGGGTGGTAACTTGCCCTTGCCCTTCCTATTCCCCTCCAGGATTCCTCTGCAGAGGCGGTTTGGTTACACATATTAGATCATTAATTTCTTCCTGTACATAATTGACATCATCTTTTGAACATACATTTGTTTTCTTGGCACATATTGATCTCAAGCAAAATTTCGAAGAGCCGGATGTCTGTCACACACCTAGGCAGAGTGATGATATTTGATTAGATCTAGATCTCATTCAGTCATCCATGGATGTCAATCCCTAGGTCTCCCATCTGGGCCGCCGGGCTGCTGAAACGCCGAGATAGTGATATTTCTAGGCTCTCCGGTCTGAATCATAGAATGTGTCACTTATATCAAACTTTTTAAAAATACCGCGCAGAGCCGGTAGGTCTGTCTCTAGGTCTGTCTCACGATGTTCTCCAATGGACATTGAACATGACGTCGAGGATGTCACAAATGAGCGACCGACCCTTTTGGCGTGCCACATGAACTACCCTCAGTTTGTTCTGTTGTTCTGTTCGTTAAATTCATGTTCTGTGGCAGGGCCCTCTGGGAGGGTTTATACCTCTATTATCGGCTACTGAAGTTCTCTATCTGACATTCGTCGGTGATTTCAGAACTTAAAATAATTCTCCGTATGGTCTCAGCCATAGAAAGCTCACATTCCTTAGGAACAATAAATGTCTAGAACGCCACGGTTGCCCTAGCCACGGTGTTTTACATTTAGATCAAGCCCAGGCTTTCAAATAGTAGTATCAGCTTGGTTATCCAGAGTGTGTGTCATGCCGTCCACGGGTGTAACTGACTGTAAAGGTCGTTGAAGCATAATCCTCTAGCTTAGTCTGGCCAATTACTATTGTATACGCACTTGATTCATTCTTTTTAAGGTTATACCTGGAGGTCCCAGGCTAGTCACATTCTCTAATATATTGGATCAGACACGAGTAAAATAAGCGACTGGTTGGCTCTCCTCATCCTATCCTCAACATACAATATAAAATTAAAGGCCCGCACATTCCTCACTGGATTGAGAATCCTGGAATCAATCCTGTCAACCGTCCGATCTTCCCATAGGAATACAAAGCAAACATGGTACTAAATAGGGAAATGGTGACATTCTTCATATGTTTCTGTTGGACAATCGGATATGTCCTACTTGGCTACTACATTGTGTTAGTTTTACACCCCTTCATTTTGCGCCACATCCACATTGTACAGCATGACTTGGCGTCCAATTTCCCCTGAGCCAGTATTCATAGCAACTGCCTAGAAGTATCTTGCCGTGAGGTATTAGACCCAATAGTTCTAGACCCACGGTGCAACACAGCAACAAGTGGAATGATATCAGATGCAGGAACAAAAACGCCTATATAAAGCCACCCAAATTCCCGGCTCTAACACAAGACATAACTAAAGCCAAAGTATTCCAACAGCTTTACAATCAACCAAGATGTATCTCCTAACTATCCTCCCCCTCCTCACGCTCACCACCCTCGGCCTGTCAACTCCAACAATCCACGACAACCATCTGGGCCCAAGAGACATTCATTACGGCGCCTCCCCCTCCTCTTCAAGCAATGCTCAATGGAGGAGACCAACAAATAGACCACCGCCCGTGTACCGAAAGCTGGGCCATGCGATAGTGCACAACAACTGCAATTTCCCAGTCTACCTCTGGTCCGTGGCCTCTACAGTCCTACCAGAGCGAACCCTCCTCCCAAATGAGGAGTACAACGAGGTCTTCCGCGAGAACGCAAACACTGGCGGTATCGCAATCAAGATCACCACCGACCGTGACGGGCTGTATACCAGTGCCCCGCAGATGATCTTTGCGTACAACCTTGCCTCTACACGGGAACGGGGCCAGAGACAGGATAAAGTGTGGTATGATCTCTCGGATGTCTTTGGGGATCCGTTTGTGGGCTACCCGGTGAATCTTACTCCTTCTGAGCCGTCGATTTCTTGGAAGGATGGTGTTCCCCCTGCTGGGAGTCAGGTGAGGGTTGTTGATGCTTCGACGGATTTGCGTTTGTCGCTTTGTTGAGAGGTTGGGGGTTTAGGTTGGGAATGAGATGGGGATGGGAGTATAAAAATAAATGTTCAGAGATTGTTATGGCTTTTAGATATGTGCGCGAGTTGGATATGTTAGTGCTGCTCAATTGAATTATTCGGACTTTTATGTCTCATTACTCATTATTATTGCGTATCACGGAGGATTTATATAGTTGTAGATGTCATGATCGGCGGGTTTCAACCTCGGCTGTAGGATATGGATCAATTGGATCGGGTTTCTCCATTTTGGAGAACCCTAAGAGAATATCCATGGAGCTATGAATGATTTCCCCAAATAGGTGGGGGGAGTAAGGGAGAATAAAAGAAAGCAGAAAACAGACCTCGGCCAGAAGCCCGGGGGCATTTCCCCGCATTTTCCCCAATTTGTCCCACATTTCTTCTTCCGAGTCTCTTGACCTTTCGGTACTTCAACTTGACCTCTCCCATACTCCCTTCTCATTCACTAGAGAACTAAACTACATCCAAAGAGAAATGGTTTCTCCAGCAATCAGAGTCGCCCCCTCGGCGGCCAATCGCGCCCTGAACTTGCTACGCACAGTACAATACACCCACCCACCCAACTGCCCGTGCCACAAGAACCCCAACCACCACCACAACCACCAGCAAACCCCTTCTCTGCTCAACCATGTAAAGCGCCGCATGTCCACACCCATCGACCGCTCGCGCGAGAAGGAATATGCCTTCGAGATGGCGGCGTCTAGCATTCGCTTCGGACCCGGCGCGACCAAGGAGGTCGGAATGGACTTTACCAACCTCGGCGCTAAGCGCGTGTGCATTGTCACCGATTCCAATGTGGCCAAGCTTGATGCTATGAAGCAGGCTGTCGAAGGTCTTACCCGTGAGGGCATTGAGTTTACTATCTTTGACAAAGTTCGCACTGAGCCCAAGGATAGCTCGTAAGTCGACTCCGAGCTTTACGCGTGGCTGTTGTATAGCTACTAACATGTGTTCGAATTAAGTATAAAAGAGGCTATTGCTTTCGCTAAGCCCTATAAACCCGATGCCTTCCTGGCCGTCGGTATGTCTCCCTTAACTCCCTATCTCCCTGACATACACAAGCTAACACCAAATCAGGCGGTGGGTCCGTAATCGACACGGCCAAACTGATGAACCTATACACTGTCTTCCCCGAAGCAGACTTCCTCGACTTCGTCAACGCACCCTTGGGCAAAGGCCTCCCGGTCGACAGACCCCTCCTCCCACTCGTCGCCGTGCCAACAACAGCAGGCACAGGCTCAGAGACAACAGGCACAGCAATTTTCGACCTAGTCTCCAAAAAAGCCAAAACAGGTATCGCCCACCGAAACCTGAAGCCAACGCTCGGAATCTGCGACCCGCTCAACACCCGCACCATGCCCTCAGCCGTGCACGCCGCCTCGGGCCTCGACGTCCTCTGCCACTCCCTTGAATCCTGGACCGCAATCCCATACAACGAGCGCACCCCACGCCCAACAAACCCCATCAACCGACCCGCCTATCAGGGCGCAAACCCCATCTCCGACATCTTCTCCCTCGCCGCCCTGCGCGCAACAGTCAAGTACCTGCCGCGTGCAGTCCGCGATCCAGACGACCACGAAGCACAGTCAGAAATGCTGCTCGCTGCTACGCTCGCCGGCGTCGGCTTCGGAAATGCAGGCGTTCACCTCTGCCACGGTATGAGTTACCCCATCTCCAGCCAGAACCCGGGCTATAAGCATGCGGGCTATGAGGTCGATCACCCCATTATCCCGCACGGTGTTTCTGTGGCTGTCACCGCGCCTGCTGTCTTCCGCTTTACCGCGGCCTCGAACCCTGATCGCCATCTTGCCGCGGCTGAGGCGTTTGGTGTGGATATCTCGAATGTTAAGCGGGAGAGTGCGGGTGAGGTGCTTGGCGCTGCCATTGCGGAGTTCCTTGTTACGCTTGGTGATCAGCCGCGTGGATTGAAGGATCTAGGCTTCAAGGCTGCGGATTTGGAGGGGTTGGTTGACGGGACTATTCCGCAGCAGCGGGTGCTTATGCTTGCGCCGAGTTTGAGCAAGGAGTTGGAGGCTGAGAGGGGTGAGTTGAGGAGCTTGCTGGAGCAGTCTTTGGATTATTAGGGTGGGACCTTTTATCGAAGTGATTTCTTTTAAATGCGATTTGCATCTGATATCTCTATACTTATTATATACGCCGATATGATGCATTAAAATTGGATATCTGAGTTTGTTTCTTTGTTCATGTTGGGGAGGGAAAGCAGAGTGTAATGCTGACTTGGTAGGGGGAAGTTCATCCTAGACCGGCTAGGAGCAGATATCTTTTTCATATCACATTTCACGTCAACGCAAGAATCATCGTTGACTATTGCAACTCCCATAATTGAGGTGAGTTGTCCATCTGCACTGAAGCACTCGAGCCATCACCCGGGAGGACCTTTGCGCCGAGGACACCCATCGACGACGCTATACGATCCAACCAGATCACAGCACGGGGATCATGTGGATCAGAGGTCTTAGACGGACCCTGTCCAAGCTCCGAATGAATGCGGAAGGGGAGGACGGAGCTCTTCGACGTTGCAGAATTGGGGGATATGGAATATTCACTATCACCGCCGGGTGGCGTGACAACAGTCGACTCCGGCGAATTTTCCTCGATGAGATTAAAGCGCAATCGGTCTCCAAGACGGTCTGAGAGCTGTTGTAGTATTTCTAGCATATTTTCTGCTCCATTGAGGAGCAGCGACGGACCAGTGTCCGGGAAGATCTCTGGAACGGGGCCCACGAAAGATCCAGGTCGTTGGATGATACCTTGCTGGCGCTGGCTGTGCGCGCTGATACAGGACCGGAGCTCCGAGGCGAGCGAGCGCAGCCGACGGGAAGTGTCATTTATGCGCCCGATGAGATTTGTGATGGAAGTTGAGTCTGGCTCGGCCGGGACTGAAAGAAGATCCTGGGTTTCGCTGATATACCGCGGGCATTTGGCGATTTCCATGAAAGCCAGGTCGGATATTTCTCCGTATGCAGACCACTCGCCGGGTTTCTGGCAGTCTTCGGTCCTGACTTTCGTCGCGTAGGATTGCCATTCTTCTTGGTCTAGAAAGCAAGGTTTGCCTTCGTAGACCGCTGTCGCGATGAAGAAGCCGCGGAATGCAATCCAGCAGTATCTTCCGAACCCAGAGTCGTGCGCTTCTGGGCCTCGACTTATCATCAGTCGCTTCGCGCCGTCGGAGTGCACGACCCAGGCGTCGGGCGTGGTCTGCGCGTACATCTCAAAGACACTGAGGATGATGGATGTGCATAGCATGTTGTCAGATTTGGCATGGTCGGCTTTCGGGATGGCCCGAATAACCTCACTCAGTGACTTCGAGTACATTTGTCGACTTGCTTTGAAGAGAGCCTTATCTTGAGTCAAGTGCGCTAAATAGACAGAGCTCAAGCAGCAAACCGCGGAGTCGAGGTAAGCATCTGTACCAAAATTCATGACGATATATTCGGCGAACCCGGGCGCATCGCCAGACCGGAACCGATTATGATAATAGAGGGTCGGAAACGACGTGCTGATGAAGTCGAGGAATAATTGTGGCTGTGCAGCACGGAAGGACTTGCGCACCAGCGACGGCGACACTTTTTCATCCCAGCCACCCAAGGAGGAGTGGCGGCGCATGAGGGCAATCGCATTGCCGCGCACTACGTCTGCAGCGGCGGTGGAGTCACCGTGTGCGGGGACGAATAGGTCAGTTTGGGTTGAAGATGTAGCCGGCGCGCGTGGACCTGCCAATGCGCCTTTCCCCCTCCGTCGCGTGTTGGTGCGATGTCGTCGCGCGAGGTTGGGGCCTTCGTCTTGAAAGCGGAAAGTTCGCCGGTAGCCCGGACATGCGCGACCATATTTCTGGCACTGGTTGCATTCCGGGACTGCCTCGTCGCACTAGGGACTTTATTAGCCCAAGAGCTCGATTTTTTTTGGATGGAAATTGAAATTAACCTTGATCCGTCGCTCGCGGCACAGGGCACAGCCTGTGCTGTGCGGAACTCCCACCATGGTCTCAAGACTGAGAAGATGTCATCACGGGGCAGATTAAAGGCTAATATGGTTTATGTGCCCATTTTTTGGGTTCAGGTTTCATGAAGCTGAATAGAGCCAAGTCGAGTTGATTTGAGGGGGAAAATTGAGAGGCTGTCAGCCCTAGGACATTGTTTCATATTGTCGTTGAGAACATTTTGCCAAGCAAATGGTCAAAATGGGCGGGGAAGCAAAAGCCGTTTCAGGTTTTGTTGATTCTATATCCATCTTTCACCTACATTTTTATTGAGTTCATCTTATTCAAGTCCTACTTTGTACATCAACCTCTTTTCTTCTCTAAGATTGTTCGGGATCTTGCAGTCTCACCTCAGGTAAGAAATTATAGACTCCAAGGTCTACCCAGGTGGCAAGATATTCCCAACATTCCGCCCCTATTTATAAAGTGCAATATCACTGCAGGTCAAATAAACTCTGCTGGCGGCATCTCCCGATTACCACTCATTTTCAATGGCCAACTAGTCGGAAAAGCCTTCGTCTGCCGGTAGTCTTGCAATAATAAGGGCGTTTGCTGTGTCACTCAATGGGTTGTGGATCAATAATACAGCGAGCGAGGGGTGGCAACAGACATCCTATGAGCAATTCGTGTAACCGGGGTCGGACGATGTATTCAGCATTATGAGTTCACGTCAGTAATGGCCGCTAAGAAAATGTGGTGCGAATTTTCGTTCAAGGAGAATGATGATATCTTGCGAGCATTACTGATACCTTGTATCCAGAGTTGTGAGGCGTCCCTGTGCTCTTAGATGACCAATTTGGGGGTAATCATGTCTCTGGGGTTGGTACTGCTTTCTTCGTTGACAACCAGGAGCTGAAGGTGGCGTTGGGGAGGACTCGAGTCTTGTTACTCGACAATTGGTGATCTTCCAGAGAGCCACCCGTTCCTAGAAACCGTACTTATCGAGCGGGAGGCGATTGAAAACAAGGGAATATATTTGAAAGGGAGATAATCTAGCCCCAAACTAACGACATTGATGTTTAGCAGAATATGGGGAACGTGGGCGCAAGCATGACAAGAAGACGGGAGGATGGACATACTGAAGTCCAATAGGGTTGACTTGGCATAATCAGGTCGAGAGTCCGTAGTGCTCTACCCTATATGTAGGTAGGTACCTTGTAGACGCTTCTCTCCAATCATGGTGGTTGTACCCCGCGTTCTGTCCATGTATATGCATATCTGTATAGAAGATGATTGGGCAAATGGGAAGAAATGTGAGGGCGCGCCTGCCGCGGGGAGTAATAGAATACCTTAAAAGTGGCCAATTTGCATTTCCTCTTCCCACCTCAATTGACTCAATTGAATTACAATGCCTCTTATAAGAGCTTCTCGTCCCAAGGTCCTTGTGCCAGAAAAGCTGTCGCCAGATGGACTGGCTCTTCTGCGCAGCTCGCTGGATGTCCATGAGCGAAAAGGCCTCAGTGCCGAAGAATTACTCCAGATAATCCCGGACTACGATGCCCTTCTCGTTCGCTCCGAAACCAAAGTCACTGCGACTGTGCTGCAAGCTGCAAAGAACCTAAAGGTGGTAGCGCGTGCTGGTGTTGGAGTTGACAATGTTGGTATGTTTGGATCGTGTTGTACACTGGGGTGTGTTATTGACTGGTGTGTAGATGTCGCGGAAGCTACGAAACTTGGAATTGTAGTCGTCAACTCACCTTCGGGGAATATTGGCGCCGCAGCTGAGCATACAATTGCATTGATGATGTCCATGGCGAGGAAAATACCCGAGAGCTGTGCTAGTCTCAAAGATGGCAAGTGGGAACGAAGTAAATTCGTCGGCGTGGAAGTCAAGGGGAAGACATTGTCGATTATTGGTCTAGGGAAAGGTAACTATCCCTCACTTGGCTTGCTTAAAAACATGATTTGACCGTGCATTATACTAGTGGGATTGACAGTAGCACGACTGGCCAAGGGCTTGGGCATGAATGTGAATGCCCTCGATCCATATGCATCCCCAGCAGTTGCAGCTTCGGCTTCGGTCGCCCTCGTATCATCACTCCCGGAGCTGCTCGCATCTGCTGACTTCCTAACGATTCATACACCCCTCATTGCCTCGACTCGAGGAATGATCGCGGAAGCTGAACTGGCACAGCTGAAGCCAGGTGCCCGGGTGCTAAACGTAGCCCGGGGAGGCACATTTGATGAGGATGCACTGCTCGCGGCATTGGAATCAGGCCATCTTGCCGGTGCTGCTATTGATGTGTTTACTTCAGAGCCCCCTGCTCCTGATTCATCTGCGGCACGATTAATAGCCCACCCACGAGCAGTTGTTACACCGCACCTTGGTGCCTCGACAGTAGAGGCACAAGAAAATGTTTCAGTCGATGTGTGCGAACAGGTCCTTGAAATCTTGCAAGGATCGTTGCCTCGCAGCGCTGTCAATGCCCCTCTCATCCTGCCCGAGGAATACAAAAAGCTGCAGCCATTTGTACGCCTAGTTGAAAAGCTGGGCAGCTTGTATACTCAGCACTATGCAGCTTCTCCTGGCGGAGCAATGGGAAGGAACACCTTTGATCTGATCTACCAAGGCGAGTTGGCTAGCATCAACAACACGAAGCCGCTCTTCGCCGCTTTAATCAAGGGTCTTCTTGCTCCCATCAGCAGCATGGAGGGACTCAATATTAATATTGTCAACGCTGAACTGGTGGCTCGCGAACGTGGCATCTTTGTCTCGGAGCAGCACTCCCGCGACCCATCAGATCACTCGTCCTATTCGTCGCTGGTCACTCTTGTCGCCCGTCCACCTTCTCGGGCATCGTCCCGAGCTCCAGCTTCCGGCGACCCCTCTAGTGAGCCAATTCCAAACCAACAGCAGCGGATTATTTCTGGCACCTGCTCCGGTGATCAGCCACTGATCACTCGTTTGGGTCGATTTGAAGCTTCTTTTGAGCCAGAGGGGACCTTATTGATCTGTGAGAACTATGATTCACCGGGAAAGATTGGTGTCGTGGGTAACATTCTTGGTCAAGAGGGTGTCAATATCAATTTCATGGCCGTTGCCCCTGTGTCAACGAAGCTGGCTATCAATGAAAACCCAAAGAAGTCCCTTCCCATAGACGAAGGCTCTCAAGAACCTGCTGCAAACGGCCAATCACTGAAGGAAGCCTTGATGATTCTCGGCATTGACAGAGGTGTTCCTGCTCATGTTACTGCTGCATTGGCTAAGGAAACTGGAATCTTGAGTGCGTGTGCTGTCACCCTTTGATTCTATGTTTGTGCATCGCCCATCGGTTGAATGTTGTCGGATATCTAGAGGGAAGGAGGGGTTGCTTTCGGTTATAATTTTATAAATACTCAACGCATTCGGAGCTGTCTTTCAACTATGGCAGATCTTTATCTACTTGTGTCTCCACTTTCATTAATACATTCATAGCTATATTGGTGCAGCGTTATACAAAACAACAATAATGTTACTTACACAAGGATCCAGCCCAGAATCAATGAATCCATCCCTACCTAGTGCCACTCATCAGCTGAAAGCTCTGGTGGTATACACACTAGTACATCACATAGTAGATATCAAAATGAGTAGTTCCCTATTAGGAAGGTGCGGCAACTGAATATACCTTGCCCTAGTATGTACTTCCTTTCTCTGCTGGTCTGTCCTTCCTCTATACATATGTATCTCCTCTTACTATCAAATATGACTATACATACGAGATATCTTCCCTCACTTTTTCCTCTCTTTTGATCCTTCCCTCACATCTGATAATGTATAAATTTCCACTCCCTTTGCCACTTCCCTCTTCCACACCTCCCCCAGTCCTCACTTGTCCCTTCTGAACCTTCACTCCTCTATATATCTAGAGATATTTATATCCCTTCTCTCACTTCTTCTTTCACTACTTTCACTTCTTTCACTTCTTTCTCTTCTTTCTCTTCTTTCTCTTCTGATACTTTCACACTATCTCCCAAGGTCTTCTCGACATTCGGTATATATACACACTCTCCGATTCTACCCCTCTATCCTTTCTCCCCGAGGTTTTTTCACCCTCGAATATAAATCTCCCCCCCTTTCACTTCTCTCTCTTTTATTTCTTCTCCTATTCACACCTACGAAGGTATAAATATCCACCCCCTTCAACTTCTTCTCTCTTCTCACCCCCCATTTGTCTATATCTCCCAAGGTATTTATACCCCTTTTCCTTACTTCTTCGCTCTCTCGATTCTTCCTTCCTACACATCCCCCGATGTCTCTTTACCCTCACTTATACCTTCCTATCCTTCCCTTCTCTATATCTCTCGAGGTATATATATCCCTTTTCTCAATTATTGTCTCTCCCAATGCCTCCTTCCCCGACAAATGCTCTTTTTCCCAAGCCGGCTGATCGCTCTCTGATCATGATTTCATTGCATTTCAACATCATTGACATTGAAACCCAATTTTGAGTGGAGCAAGATGTATTGTTTCATGTCTTCCTTACTCTACTTTGACTTTTCTCTCACTTTGTCTTACGTCGCTCTTTAAGTCCGACCTCAACAATGATTATGTCTGAACTATTGGCTGATACAAACTTTACAGCAAGGTCTAGAGAGATGGTCAAACTCAACTCAAAGAGAAAACCAACGCCTTGAAGGGCAAACTGGACACCAAGGAAACGCAGCTGCCCCAACAGCGTGAGGTGGCTGAGAGAGCGGCCCAGGAAATAACTTCCTTCAAGGACGAATTCTACGGCAAGAGGCTGCAGGAGAAGTACAATAAGCTACAGTTTAACAAGACCGATGACTAACATTGAGTAGTCCCCGGGTATGGCTGTTCAGTTTGCTGCGATCTGCAGCAGTGTTGGCTGTTGAGCCAACAACCCACGACGATGCCGAAGCCAGCAAGGCTGAGACCAAGATAAATGAGAGGCTGAGAAGCCAGGTGGGAGTTTTGGAGCAGCAGCTCCGTGGCACGGAGGCACGAGTTCGTGATTCCGAGATAGCCCGGGAGACTGAAAAGCAACGCTACGAAAAGGAGGTCCGACACCTAGACTCTCAGCTGGCGACTGTCTCCCGGGGTATCAAGGAATCCCTGCTCGCGAAGGATCGGGTCATCGTCGAGTGCAGCAGAGGGACGGCTACATAAGGGCCAGTAAGAAGTGACAGGCGAAGTTTGAAGAACTGCAGGCCGAATTCATTGATCTTACGAGGGACACGAAGGAACTTGAGGATGAGGTTCAGGGCCTGACGGACCAAGTTCGGGAGCTGGATGATGCCAACAACTATCTGGCTGAGCAAGGAGAAAGCCTGAACCAGAAGGTCGAAGAGTTGAAGGGCGACAACCGATTCCTGCTGGAGCACAACGAAGAGCTGTTTTGCCAGAGTGTGGCGTCGGATATGCAACTCCAGCAGAGAACAGAGTGGGCGTCCTTGGGCACCAGGTCGCGGACTACCAGACAGCGGAGGCGGCAGACATCACCGCCGCAGTTAGTGGCATGGCGTTTGGGGCGGATGATTAAACAACCCCGATCTCCAAGGCTGGGCGCCATCCTGCTGTTGCTCAGTCGCTCACTCTGTTGTTGCCCTGTCGCTCTCCCTCTTCATCCCAAGTTCCTTCCCCAGTGGTGGACATGGATATAGCGGACATGCACACATCGGATATCAATTCGTTTCTAACCAATTTTTTGGAATGAATCAAATCCAACAAATCTGTGGGTTTATTTGTCTATTAAACTACGTGGGTATAAGCCTTATGTAGAATGCTATATATCCAATCATTCTGCTTTGCTATGCTTCAGGTTGTGTTACCCCCTTACCTGCAGTCAACCATTTGTTGTCCTTCGGGCATCACCGAAACGGCTACTCGGCTATCGCCAATTTACTAGGTCTGGAATGTGTAAAACAGGAGATGCCACGTAGGTGTACTGCAATGAAGACGTAATTGCTGTACAACTCAGTGAGATGATCATGAGGACAAAATATAACCACGAAATGCAAAGTATGATGCAGGTAAAAAAGAAGAAAACGCCAGGGTATAGATGATCAGAACATAGAACTCCGCTTTTTTTCAAGCTTGGTAGCAGTATTTTCCTCTTTGTTGCGCCGGAACCCAAAGAAACTACTCTTTTTCGGCTGGACTTGAGGTGTCGGCCTTGATGCCGCTGGGAGAGCACCGCTGCTGGCAGGATATTGGTGGAACCCAACGGTGGACTGTGGTCGGGGTTGCGGGCGTGGTTGTTGTGGTCGCGATTGCATGAGGTGGGTAGAGGATTGAGCTCGGGGATCCATACGCCCCGGTGCGTGGAGGTATGGGCTATTGGCGAAGGTGGGGACCTGTGCGCCGTGGGAATTCTGTTGGAGGGGAGGATGGGATGGACGGCCTTGAGGCTGGGAAGAAAGTTGGACTGAGGATTGAGAGTATTGGTGGGAGTGAGCTTGAGGGGGTCCGGTGGGCCGGGGTGGCAGGTAGGGCCTGGAAGATGGAGCTGGAGTATGTCGTTGCTTTCGTGCTTGTTGTTCTTCTTTCCCGTATAACTGCTGCAGGCGCTTGGTTTCTTTCTCGACTTCCGCCTCCCGCCGACGCCGTGCTTTTTGTTCTGCGGCGAGAACCTCCTGGCTTCGTCGCTCCTCTTCCTGTCTTGCGAGTTCGTCCTGTCGCCTTCTCTCTTGCGGGGCCGGAGATGAGGGGTTCGGGATGCTGAGCCGAGGCGGCGATGGCTTTCCACTCATTGCTGGCCCAGGAGGTCGTGCCTGTGGGTTGTTCCGATCGAGCCTGGGATCACTAGCCGGTGTGGCCGTCGCCGCAATTGCAGTTGGCGCTACCGCTTGCTTGCGAGCTTGGTTCGGCCCACCGGGGGTGATATGAAAAGCCTCCTTGGCGGGCCCAAAGAAAATATCTCGAATTGCAACGGCAGCCAAGAGCAGCACGACCTCCAACCCCTTAGCATCTTCCATCTCGACGCGGTGAAGATTGGGCTCGTAGAGAGTAAGCTCCTTCAGCCCTTGGAATAGAGCGACCGTAATATCCGGCTCACGGCTCTTTGTGCGCGTGTCTGGAATTGTTGAAGTTTTGCCGTGCAAGAGACATGTCAAATCCTTCGACAACTTCCCATCCTTGCGCCAGCTGAACCTCAACTTCGGAGTAACGTCTGCAAGAGACGGATCGATCTGAGTCTGGTCTAGCGCTGAAGCGGACGGAACGCGGAATGTGGTTTGCGGCATCTCAAATTCCCACCGGGCTGGTTTGTTCCACGTTTTGGTATGATATTTCACTGTGATCTCTTGGTCGGGGTTGTAGAGCTGGATGGTGAACTCGGTAGGGAGGATGGGTTCTGGGGGCGGTACAGTGCCACCATTCGCTCGTATTGCGTCTGCCGACATACTCGGTTGGGTCCAATCTGGAGCGACAGCGACCTCGCCGTAAACAACGTCTGTAACGTAAGGGTCGTACAGCGCGACTCCGTAGCGGTTTTGTGATGTTGGGGAGGCGGGGTCAAGCGCGCGCAAGGAGTAGGCAGGTTCGGGGTCATTGCCATGTTGACTATGGTATATTGTGCTGATCTGAGGTTGTTTTGAGTTATTCTTGAGGAAGAACGCTGTCCTGTAGTCAGTATGATAATCTTGAAGCCAACGGGGAATGACGTAGCTTGCGCAAAGAAAAAACGAGGTTGCGTTAGTCCTTACAACGTACTGGGTAAGTTTTCATCAATCATCTTGTCATCTGGGGTGTCAATGTGCAACTCAAGAGATTACCCAGGTGGTTATGCAGTGAAGTTATATCGAGAGCTCGGCCGCGGGAGTGAAGTCTGCGCCACGGGACTTAGTGATCGGCGCCTAAAAATAGCAGGCCTATCCCCGCTGATTCGTACGCCAATTGAAGGCACCAGCATTTAAGGCACTTGAAAAGCTATCCAGGATCAAGCTATACGGAGAAATGTAGGCATCGGCATTCTATGCATGGCATCTGAAACTTAACTGCCTATCAATCCTAATCGAAACTGCAGATCGACATGCTATCATCACAATCGACATCGTATACCTGCATCATTTTCCCATTCTTTTACTTGCCCACACATGTCCGGAGCTCTGTTTTCCCCTACCTTGATGCGACGCAGTCTCGCTACAAGGCCAAAAGTGCTGTTCCTGCAGAATCTTCCCCATAAAGTGCTTCGCCATGTGATCAACAAACTCTCAGTATAGACGCCACGGCCCTATTACCGCAAAGCCGTGGAATACATGCTCTATGTGATGTGAAAAATCGTCAGAAATATTGCCAATTACAGATTGGCCGAGAGAAGTACCCGCAGTGCTTGAACGATGGACTCCAAACTGGCCGAGACACATTACTTGCGATCTTACGAACCCCTCCTTTGGGAACTTTCTTCATCGTTTGGACCTCTACGGAACCGGTATGGTTCAGTTTGATCTTAACTCCGGAGGTTCCACCTCAGACTCTGGGCTTTCCCCTGAGGATATCGACAGACTAAAGCAAGCAATCAAAGGCGCCGGCTTCCAAGACCTCCAAGAGAAAACACATATCTCTGCGCGAATCTAATTTTTGAAATTGCACCACAACGCCGAGGGCTACGGTCCTCATTTTAATTGCAAGTTAATTGTAACTTCCGGCTCCATCTCCTGATCCCAATTTTGTATTGGTGGAGGGCATGGTGGCGCCAGGAAGCCAGTGGCCGCCCCTTTCAGGGGGCCGTGAAAAATCTGCAACCAACATCAACGAACGCATATTGGATGCCAACTACGACGTACGCCAGTTGCTGAACCATGTCAGCAGTAATAACTCTGTTAAAGTCCCGAGACCGGTGTTGGAATACCTGAAATCCATTCAGGAGCTCACCACTGATCTGATTAAGAACCCAATTGGCCAGGACTGGAAGCAGCAATTTGAACAGCTGCGCCAGGAAACCAGCCAGATAAAACAAGATATTCATGCGGTGAGAATTGCATCTTCGAATACCAATGCCAATGCGCCAAATAGAGTCCGATCGTATGTCGATGCTGTCAAGAATGCACCGCCGCCGACGCATTTTCTTTCGAGTCATGGGTCGGCGTCGACCAGCCCCGCAACGCCTTCCGATCTCCTCCAGGACCGCCAGGTCATCGTCAAACTGGGTGATTCCGACGGCGTCAAGCGCTTCCGGACGCAAACCCCTGCTGAAATCACGAAACTGGCGGAAAAGGCCCGGGTGAAGGGTGTAAAGGCCACGTATGGAGTCACGCTGGCCTCAGCTAAATTTGTCGCAGCCAGACAATTAAAATCGGGAGATATCTCGCTCAGCCTACGCACGGCGAAGGAAGCAGAAATCATGCGATGCCACCGGCAAGCGTGGGTGAAGCACTTATGGAAGGATTCGGAAGTGCGTTTACCGAGCTGGGGGGTTGTCGTTTACGATGTAAACGTACGGTCTCTCGGGATACAAACGGCGGCGGATATCAGGGATCGGAAGCAAGGGATCATTAAGCAATTGCTCACTAAGAACCTGTTTAACTGGGGGGATGATGCAGAAATCATCCAGATTGCCTGGCTTGTTCCTCCCGAAGGTAAGAAATCCGGCTCCCTGATTATCGAATTCACCTCACCGCACAATGCGAATAAAGCAATCGATACCGGCACTCTCTGGGACTCAGAGGTCCTTACCACGGTCTTATACGACCGTGCTGCGCGTATACGCCAATGTCACAACTACCAAAAATATGGCCATATAGGAAACACCTATTCTAACGAAACCAAGTGTGTCTTCTGCGCAGACAAGCACCACTCTCGGGATTGTCTGGGTAAGAAGAACGCGACACTTAGCGAACGAAAGTGCGCCAATTGCGGGGGCGTACACAATGGATGGTCGAAGCGGTGCCCCGATTTCATCAGAGAAATCGAGAGAGTGTAGGCTCTCGCACAGGCGAGAGAGAGGCACCACTGGGTGCCAGCATATCTCTCGATGGCTGCCGAAAGGACGCCGGTAGTCATAATAGTGGAATCCGGGAGTTTAGGGGGTAGCGGCCCTAGGACTTCCACGAAGGAAAGCTCTAGAAATAGAGGGCGAAGCCTAACAAAGGCGTCGAATGAAGCACCAAGCTTAGGCCAACCGGCAAGTAGCAGCAACGAAGAGGCCGAATCATCGACAGACTTCGAGATATAGGGGACACAAGAGCCCCAACCGGAACGTCGGCCAGAATCTAGACTCTAGGCCCAACAGGCCAAGGATACACCACGCGGGCATGCCTTCATGGCAGGAGATACCCAGGCGGATGAAATTGGGGAGTCAATTCGTCAGTCAATCCGCCAGCCGATACGAGGACTCAACCAGTCAATACACGCGCCGCCAACAGGGACACGCTCTGAACCGCCGAGGCGTAGAGCACCAAGCCGGATATCAACAACGTCGTCGGTTGCCACGACAAGAAGTAAAGGCCTTTTCCGGTCGGTGCTTAATGCGAGTGTTAGCGATATAAGCACTAGTAATACAACCAAACGACCTCGAGACGGCAGATATATACGCGAGGACCAGGATGCAATGATACCCGAGCCACCATCCTCATCGGCCCCGGCCGGCTCGGCTAGTGAATACCAACCATCAGTGCTACCCCGCACCAGCGGGAACAGACGCACGACAGCCAGCAAACAAAGAGCAGCTAGTAAGGAGAACTCAATCTTTAACACTAGTGCACCAATATATATACCGGGCCCACGAGGCAAGAATAAGCGTACGCTCGGAGATCAAGTCAACTTCATAATGTCAGCCCCGTCGGTGAAGTTCACCAACAGAGCAACCATGCAGGAAGAGAGAAGGACTCGCCAATTCACTAAGAAACATACCGAGACCACCTCCAATGATTAATACACCACTCACCATCATCCAATACAATACGCACCGATCGAGAGATGTCGTTATAGCGGACTTCTTGGCGAAACCGGAAGTCATCCGGGCAGACATCATCGTAGTGTAGGAACCATGGGAGAACCCGTATAATGATACCACATATCATCCACTGAAACAGACCCACGAGCTACTCTTCCCGTCGAGCTTAGAGATAGGAGGGAGAGCCCGGGTATGCATATATATATCGAAGCATCTAACTGGGTGGACGCACTATGCACACAGTGAATTCTGCTAGGAGATAAGGATCCAGACTAAGATCGGCGAGGTCTGCTTCTTCAATATATATAATGAGTGCGGCACTACCGGCACGGTGGAACATCTCAACAAATTGCTAGATAGCAACAGAAAACGCACCATGATTGTAGGGGATTTCAACCTTCACCACCCTACATAGGGAGGCATTAACGCCACACAAGACCTAGGCGCTAATAGGCTCATTAAGCTCTATGACGAAGCAGACTTTGACCTATGGCTAGAACCTGGTGCAATCACTAGGGATCAAAATAGAGAACAAACGACAATCGACTTGTTCTTTGGCACACTAGATCTCACGGAGAGATTGGTGGTGTGTGAACTGGCATTAGAATGTCATGCAGATTCAGACCATCTACCGATCCGTGTATTACTCGATATTAACACCGAACCGGCCACCGAGGCACAGAGACGAAGGCTCTGGAAGGCCATAGACACCGAGAAATTCGACCTTTTTATGGCTGACAATATTACAATGCCACCGCAACTAACAACACCCCGACAAATCGACGACGCAGTAAATCACCTGATCGACATTATGCAGCGAGGTGTGCAGGAATCGACACCATGGGCCAAACCAAGCCCGCAAGCGAATCCGTCCTAGACTAAGGAATGTGGAGAGGCTGTCAAGCATTCCCGCCGTATATTCCGCCAGTATCTTACGACACATAGTGAGGAGGACTGGCACACATACAAACTGGCTAGGAACCAGAAGGGGAAGATCATCAAAGCTGCTCTCCGACGTGGCTTCAGGAACTTCATTGAAGAGGTAGTGGACTAAGGCCCCTAAGGGCTATAGAGAGTGGCGAAATAGGCTAGGAACCGAGGCCAACAACAGCAAGGGAGTACGATGCCGGCATTAAGGACCACGGAGGGGACCTATACGGAAACCGACGTAGAGAAAATCAATCTACTCCGTAAAGTGTTCTTCCCGCAGCCACCGGAAGCAGATCTCTCCGACATATACACCAGCCAAAGACGACAATCATAGCAAGGCCACACTAGTCATCGAGAGCAGTTCCAGCTACCACCGGTAAATGACACCGAAGTAAGAGCTGCAATCAAGAAGGCGCCACCGAACAAAGCACCTAGATACGACGCACTGCCAAATAAGGTATGGCGTGTATTAGCGGAACCAGGTTCACGATCAGAGAAGAAATTTGTTCCACTCCTCACTACTATCTTCGACGCATGTGTACAAACTGGACACAACCCCTAGCACTTTCAAACCTCCGTCACGGTGACACTACGAAAAGCCGGCCCACGAGACTACCGAGTCCCGAAGTCTTACCGACCGGTCGCACTTTTGAATACACTCGGTAAGATCCTCGAAGCAATTGTGGCCACCCGAATCGCATGGCTTGTGGAGGAACACAATCTACTCCTAAAGACACACCTCGGGGGACGAAAGGGGGTATCCGTCGACTATACAATCCAGTTGATCCTCGGGCGGGTACACCAGGCATGGGGAGAAGGTAAGATAGCGAGTATGCTACTCCTCGACGTGGCTAGTGCGTATGATATGGTATCTCACGAGAGATTGCTACACAATATACAACAAATGGGACTCGGTACACTCACTCCGTGGGTGCAGTCATTTCTCACTAGAAGAAGCACTCGAATCAAACTACCAAACGGCTACCTAAGCGACGTATTCCCGACACCAACTGGCATCCCGCAGGGCTCACCGATATCGCCGATCCTATTCCTCCTTTTCAACGCTCCGCTGGTTCGTGCGTGCACCCTACAGGGACTACACTACGGGGAGAGCGAGGCATACGGATGGGTGGATAACGTTTACATTCTCGCGGTATCGAACAGCTATGAGGAGAACGTCCGGGTTCTTGAAAAAGCACTACAAAAAGCGGCCATATAGGCTAGGAAACATACAGCAAAATTTGCACCAGATAAATTCGAACTGATCCACTTCTCTAACCCAACAAATACGAACGTGAACCGATCGGTCCGGGACACGGACATATCCCCCCAAGACACGGATATCTGGGAGGTGCCGGATGACCCGTCAGGCCATGACGGCATGCCAGTCATAATACCAGGGGATCTGATACCAATCATTCTCGCACCTTCGGATACAGCCAAATACCTCGGTATATAGCTTGACAAACACCTCAATTTTACAACCCACCGGAAGAAGATGCTAGCAAAAGGAGCTAGCAGCCTCGAGGCACTCCGCGGAATCTTAGGCTCCACATGGGGATCATCACTGATTGCTATACGGAAGGTATACCAGGTAGTCATCATTCCACAGATGCTATAGGGGCTGTCTGCATGGTACTACCCAGCTGCCAGAGCTATGCCAAAAGGCGATCTCGATAAACTCACCAACGAACTCACAAAAATCCAGAAACGTGCGGCAATTCTAATCAGTGGAGCTTTCCGCGGAACGGCGGGAGCAGCACTCGATATAGAGCTATTTATCACCCCTATCAAGCTACGACTACAGCAAGTCGTCGAAGAAACAGCCATAAGAATCCTCACCGGCCCACAGTGGGCATGTCCACAAACGGCAAAGGCGAAGAAAGCTAGGAAACCAAACCAAAGAAAGCTCGGAGGGTGGGCTCCGACCGAAGCAATTGCATAGAAGAAGCCGCTACGCCTACAGCTAGGAGAGCAATAGGAGGAAAAGCAAGCATTCGTTCTTACACTATGGGAGACAAGGATCCCTTGCTTCATTGAGAACTAGGAGAATGCATTAAAAACCCACGATGATATCTAGGAAAAAGCGGTCTGTGACAAGGAAAATAAAGCCAGCATGGTTTACACAGATGGGAGCGGTTTCGCTGGCCATATTGGCGCATCAATGGCCAGTCTCCAGCACGGAGTGAAGTCTCAGAGGAAATATCTTAGCAAAGACTCCTAGTCCACAGTGTACGCTGCCGAGCTCAGCGGCATTAAAATGGTGCTTAAAGAAGCGGCAGGAGAAGATAACGAGGATACAATTCTAAACAACGGGGCAATTCCAAATAACGGGCCAATTTCAAATAACGGAGAATAACAGGCTCGAGAAGTGGTCATCTTCACAGACAGCCAAGCTGCTATCCAGGCAGTGCAAAACCCACAGCGACCATCTGGCCAGTACGTGCTTGGACTGATATACGAACACGTATGAGTCATCCGGTCGCGCAACGAAACCCAATCAAGACACCCAACGGACATCACCATTAGGTGGATCCCTACACACGTTGGTGTGGACGGCAATAAATTTGCCGATGGAGAAGCAAAGAGTGCAGCGCTTCTTAGTGCGGGGATAGGAGTTGCGACCGGGGCGGATAATCCGATAATCCGTCTCGCCGCAGCTGCTAAGAGGGCGGTCCGCTAGCGAATCAGAGAGCGGTGGGAGAAACAGTGGGAGCGGGAGACAACTTCCGCACCCACGAAGCGCTTGGTGTAGGCGCCGAATAAGAAGACGCTTCGGTTATACGAAGGTTTGTCGAAGCCACAATGTGCAATTTTGATTCAAATGCGCACAATGAGGATCGGGCTTCGACACTTCTTGTTTAAAATCAAGGCAGTAGAGACAGATCGATGCAGCTGTGACGAGGGTTCACAGACACCGAAGCATGTTCTTATACAGTGCCCATAACATATCATTCCGCGCACGAAACTGTGGGAGCAGCTGTGGGCGGTTGGTATCAAGGAAATGGATTACGACAAGATCATGTCAAACCCGCAGGCCATCCGCTACGTGGTCAACTTCATGCACCGAATAGGTCTCCTCTAGCAGTTTCAATATGTGGGACTCGAGGACGACGACGACGACGAACGAACAGGCCTCGCGGCCATGGAGCTAGGTGTGGAAGACGATGGGTATTAGCCAATGACGATAGATGATGCTGTGGAACGAGAAACTCAGCCAAAGTCGACAAACATGCCAATCAACAACTGGCCAGGAGAACGACACCATCAATTGAAACTGAGGTAGGGGGAGGTTGCAGAGGATGGAAAGGGAGAGTGAGAAGTGAGAAGTGAGAGGTGGAAGATGGAGGGTGCACTCCATGGCAGTCATTATATGTTTATTTCTTATGTATGGGTTTATGGGTTTATAGGTTTGTGGGTTTACGGGTTACAGGAATGGGCTGATTCCACACTCTTTACGATCAGCATCTGTATACTCTTGGGATGCACTATACTTGGTGATCCCAACTCGGCGTTTGGACTCGAGTTCTTGCTTCAGTTGGATGAAGCACCTGCATAGTCATACGCAACTAGTTAGACTGCAACAGGTTAATTGAACTTTGATTGATTGATTGATTGATTGACCTCCAAGAGCGCGAGTCGATCTTATCTATGCTTGCACAAAACCCTGCTGAATTCCAGTAAGCTTTATTTCCCGTCTAGAAATTCCCCGCGTGGGTGCTTAGCTTTTGTTGCTCACCAGAAATACAGATCTTATACAAGCATGGAGGCACCTCAGTACAAGGATGCCCTTATCACTCTGTTAGTTGCAATTCCCCCGAATCTCGAATCCATTTCGATGTATCCATTAGAGAGATATGTTCGATCTCCATCCCCTGGGACTTACGAAAGGGTAAATCTTCTCGAAAGATTGCTATGTCGGGCCTCCACTTTTCCAGAATCGGTGCCATACTGCCAAAATTTACGAAATATTAGCTTTCACCCAGACGATACGCTTAACGAATCCACGGAGTATATGGAAGACCCATATTACCATCGGCTCAACATGGTTCGCAAACTACCAGCCATTGAATCGGTAGCTTTCAAGCTAGCAACTTGGAGCAATGAAGCTGGAACACCGCCTCCTCCCCGCTCCGCCAACTACAGTAATATCAGCTTTACACATTCTGCGATGATGACTTGGGACCTTTGCCGTATAATTGAATCCGCCAAGACTTTGAACAGTTTTACTTCCACTGTTGGGGGTCGTTGTTGTCCTAAGGGGGGCATACCCATGTTATGCGTCACTCCGATACTGAAATCCCTTTGGATGCATCGCCAGACCCTAGAAGAATTGAATCTGGATATGGAGGCCCATACACCTCGACAGGCACTCTATGACGAGGAATATCAACCTACTGAAGAGGAAGGACTGACCGAGGACGAGAAAAAGATTTACGAGGAGCAATGGGCGGACGAACTGCGGGAGATAGCCCCCCAAGAAATCGCACCACAGCGCGTCTCCTTGAAAGATTTTCCACAAACTCAAACATCTTAGTATTGGAGCCCAAACACTATGCTATCCAGCTCGTGGCGCAGGAGATGGCAAAAGCCGCATTGACTCAAAATCTTTCAAACTGGTTGATCATCTCCCATCTACCCTTGAGTCTCTCCAGATGTACGGGCGCGGAGAAGCCGTGGATGCTTCCTATCTAGAATACGAATCTGATCTGGATGTCGATGCCCAACTTGAGCAACTCGCGCGCGAAAAGGACACCAAACTGCCAGGGCTGAAGATGTTTGAAGGCATTCATCCCCGTATTCCAAATGGATTCACTGTGAAGGTGTGGCAGGAAGAAAATGACCCAGATCTTTTCTGGAAAGACCCAGACGACAACAGATTTGATAATCTTGATGACGACCTTTGATCATTTATTCCATTGTAAATCAATATTGTCACCAGTCTAATTGTAGCGGTTCTCGATGACAGATGATTTTGTGGCCATGCAAGCGCTTCCTTTAGGAAAATATCTATATTGCGGATTCGATTAGTCTGATCAGAGGAAGGGCTTTGGGCTCCAGGGCTTATATAGGTACTTAGTCATATATTCATCCGGCAGTGTTCACATTAACTCATCGCGGTGTGCCTTCTAAAATCCATATTAGTACGGGGGTGACAAGAGAATGACTTAGCTGCTTAAAAACCCTTAAAATAATCCATAAGTGGTTGGTCAACAAACAATAACAGTGATTTAATAAGTTAGCTTGCACAGTAATTGAGCTGGTTACAGGAATCATTCCTCGATGTCTATATGACACAAGTTAGCCGCAACGGAGTTTAAAAGGAATAACTTAGCTGTTTGGCAAATATAAAATAGATAGTCTTCTTAGAAAGGAATGGAGTAGACCGATCAAGGTAGTCTTTATGGCCTACTAACAATATGGCTGCATGTAAAATCCAAATTAGTTGTAATGGGGGCTCAAAGAAATGACTTAGCTGCTCGGGAAAAAAAGGATCAAGAAAAAACCAAGTCTGGTCTAGATGCGTTAGTACAGAACAAAATCACAGGGAAGGAGAGTACTAGTAAATTTCGCTCACTATGCGGCTAATAGCTGGCCACGTTATATTGTGGACATACGGGATGGGATGTATCTATAAAATTCCCATTAGTGACACGAGGGCAGAGAATCACTTAGCTGCTTGATAGTGGAACTATGTGATGATGTCTAAAAAAAATATCGACGGGCCTATGCTTCGTTAGTACTGAATTCACATTGCCAAAAAGGGCAATAGAGAACTTAGCCGTTCAGTTAGTCGTTGTCTGAATCCCTCTTTGGGGAGATATTTTCGCATGGGACTAATTCAGTCTGTTAGTATATTTCTGCGCATTGGGAATGACCTACCAGATGTGGTATCATATATAAGATGGTATACTCGAATGGCCTGGGACGATATATGGCGTGGTAATCTCTAGATCTCGTTAGTAAGGGAGGTAAAGGGCGGGAATAAGGGTTATCAAAAGACTTAGCCGTAGACAGGTAATTAGGGATGTTCGGATCGGTACTCGGTACTCGTCGTCGAATGCCACGGTGCCCTAATTTGTTATGTTTTATGTTAGCGATGATCATTTTGTGGGAGGCCTCACCTGCGGTATAATACGAAGATATGATAGTGTGGTATGTATGTGGCCCTAGATAAAAGTGTCAGTGTCTATCCTGCAAGTGAATGGAAAAGATACTCAGCGGATGATTCGCATCGATATATAGTAGGTGGAAGACAGGTGTTGAGCTCTGTCTTGAGCTGGAATGCTCCTGATGATGAGATCAAAAGCGAGGGGCTGGAAAGTCATTATATAGACAATCATATACAAGACAAAGGGGAGCCTAGCTTGTAGTTGGGCAGACTGTTGTGTCGTGTTTCCGAAACTAAAGAAGGTCATTGTTCACAACCGAAGATAAAGAAGGCTTGGAGCGAGTAAAGGACTCGACAATGAAGACCTTGATATAATGGATACTTGTCAGCTTTGCTCTATTGATTACTGAAACAGCCACCGAGGGCTAAAATAGCGAGCTCAAGGACCAAGGGAACTGGGGCAAAGAAATCAAAGGACAATGGAATAAAAAGCCTTGTTTGAACATCCAAGGAATTATTTTTGTTTATGTCAGATCTATGTATATACTGGCTCTATCTTTGTAACCCGTCGCAATCTGCGACAACCAAAAAGTACAATAGCAATGTCCATCAAAGCACGCTTTTGTTCACTGCCCCAGTTCATACCCGGACCCCATTGATCTCCTCACCTCCAGTGACCTTAGCCGCCTCCCGATCCGCAGTGCTCATCTGCAATCCTTGGTCATCCCAGCCCTGGGTGCCCTTCTTATACAGCGTCCTCTGTTCTTCCCGGCTGGGCATAGGTCCAGTCTTACCCCGGCGCTGCCGTGAGTCAATTGTCTCCTCAAGGGAGGCATTATCACCATTCAGCGCATATCCCTCTAGATCGTCTGTGTGTGTTTCCTCGCTGAAAGAGAAAGTGCGGTACTCGGTGTTGGACCAGCCGGTGCCTGCAAGAATGGAAAACGGCGTTAGCGGTATGATTCTCCACAAGTGTAGCAAGCCTGTGTCATGGCACATACCCTGGAACTGGCTGCTGTCTTCCCAGTCTTCAGTGAAATAGTGCAGGAAGCCGCCGTGTGTGACCATGACAATTTCCTTCTCCGGGCGGGCTTTCAGCCAGCGACGGGCTGCACGAGCGCGTTCCTTGAGGGCTTTGTTGGTTGGGGCGTAGCGACCGGATAGCTTTTTGGGAGATAAATGTGAGTACACCGCGTGCTGGATACTGCTGGGGCAATCCCTGGGCTGTAGGCAAGCGAGAAACATACCTTGTTATTCCACCCATCTTCCACGAGATCCAGATCAACTCCCGTCTTGAACTCCTCCTTCAGAACAGCAGGCTCGCTGCCAGTATCACATGGAACGTCTGAGGTCTCCTGGATATCGGGCAGGGCAATAATCTTCAAGTCCGGGGTTGACTCGAAGACTGGCGCAAAGCTCTCAAGCGCAGTATAGAGGGTGCGACGGAGGGGCGACGCGGTCACAAGGTCGATATTGGCATGGCGGGGGAAATTCTCGCGGAGCGTTTGGCATTGTTTGTGGCCAAGCTCGGTGAGGACGGGGTCTTGGATGACATGGTTGGCGGTGCAGAGATTGTGCAGGCCCTACAAGGATCTATTAGCTCGACTGCGCAGTGAAGAGCCATGTTGCGAATCAATTGTCGAGGCTCAGGCAGTTGGGTTTGCGATCATTGTCACGATTTGGACATACTTGGGCGTGGCGGACGCAGTGGATAATTGGGGCCATGTTCGATGTTCAAGAGAGTGTCGGAGGTAAGCTGGTAAATTTCACGTTAGAAACGTGTAGGAGTTGCAGATATTGAAGACGCTGAAAGTGAGTTCTTATCGCGGGAAATGGGGGGTGATAGCGGGTGAGGGCTTGGGCAAGGGGTACAAATCGGAGAGTGCCTTACAGAGTATTTGGCCCAAAAAGAATTCCAGAGGAATGTAATTGACAGATATGTGCGAGAAATAGAGATATACAATTCAGAGAAGTGAATGTTAAGAGTCATCAACCCCCGGACCTCAGAAGTCCGATTTGGTCATATAAATTTGCGGAGCGCCACATCGCCAAGCGAACCACAGCTCTGCACTGGAGTCCGATGAAGATCTATAAACTGTGATTTGTCTATCTTAATGGGGGATCCTCTATAGATATCTACAACATAGTAGAAGGCTGAAGTTGATTCATGGTAATATGCTATTTGCACCATATGAGATAGGATGCCAACACCACATCAATGAATTATAGAACAAATGGGTATGTATAGGTAAACAATGACAATGGAATCCGACAACCTTTTTATGCAACACCGAATCCTTGGGCGTTTTCGAGAGCCTTGTCAAGCTTCTTCGCCAAGGTCTCCCTTGACGAGTACTCTGGCAAAAGCAAACGTCCGAAGCACGTCAAGCTGGTAGGAAGACGCTAGAAGAAAAATCAGTATGACAATCCATATTATGTAGGCTATAGAAAGTGGCAGAACTTACCAAATCTCCGACGCCGTTTTTCTGGATCACAAACATAATGCTTGAGATCCCGTTGACGGGAACTCGGTCACTAGCAGTGACGAATTCGAGTAACTGGGCCCTCTTTTCATTGGGGTATTCTTGGATAATATCCCAGAAGTCACGAATGACACGATGATCAGGGCCAAATCCACCCTCGTACCGGGTATGGTTCTCGAGCTCTTCTACGTCAATCGATTGAATACCTTCTACCACAGTTTTTAGGGCTTCCGGGGAGAAGATCGACAGAGCCGATCGGTCCAGGCACGTGTTGAACCCCCTCTGGAAGGCTTCAAACTGTGGTCGAATGGATTTGTCTGTGAGCCAGAAGATGTAATCCTTGACAAACTGATGTCGATTTTTATTGGTCACAAGAGCGGCCTCCTCAGCTGGGGGTAGAGGGGACTGAAGTGATATGGATTCAGACACTGACTTGGCGGTCGTGTCTGAAGCTGCCTCACGGGCTGTGACATCGGTAGCCTTCTCGACTGCCACAGAAGTTGGTGATCCCAATATCGCAGGGTCGCAGTAATCTGGCACATCCATCCAGGCGCTGGAGCCCACGATAGGAGCCGGAGCGGTGGTTTCGGTTTTGCTGGCAAGTGGCCACGCCGCATCACGATTAACCTTTTGCATATCGACTGTTTTTATACTCCCAAAGGCTTCGAAACTGAACTCGTAAGTTCGTGTGAAAATATCGCCAACATCGCCATCTTTCCATGCCAATAATGTGTCGAGGCCTTGGCTAAGCTCCGGCCATCCATCTCGAATGTGGTCCAGATACTTCACCTTCAAGCCCAACATTTTGCGGTAGAAAGCAGTGGGAAGGTTCACGGGGAGGGTCAGGCCGTTGTAAATTGCAATAGACATCAATAGACCGATAAGTTCGAACTTGTAGAGAGGTTCCAATGAGCACGGTTGGAACCAAGACATGCGGTGTCGAGTATCAACTGTGAACATGCCATAAGATGGGTCAAAGGCTTGACCCATCAGTAAACGGAAGAACTCTTGCTGAACACCACCATGGTCGAGCCCTTCTTCTCCTTCATCCATGCCCATTTGCACCTTCAAGGGTCGCATCAGTTCTCGCTTTTCACGCCGCCATAATTGGCTCAAGGCATCGGAGAGAATATTGTCTCGGCGGACAACAAGAACAAGGTAAGTAGACATGGATGTTTTCATGCGGGTGAGGAGTCGAGGATCATCGGAGATTTGAATAGCGCCGAAGGCAGTCTGAGTGACATGTCTCGTGGTGGTCATAGCAGCCTCATAGGACTTGGTCATGGCAGAATAATTCAAAGCACGGAAGTAGATCACGAGAGACGATGGAGGGAAAAGGAAGGAATATGATAGCAGATGGATGGTTCGGTTGTTTGGGAGGCATCCAACCCATGCCACGGGCATATCCAATGGGTCCAGCCGCTCCGTGAGAAGAGGTGTATGGAAGTCTTCGGGTAAAAGACCTAACCGGGTTCGTTCCTTGTACATTGAGGCTAGAATCTGAATAGCACCACCGGCTGGGCTGCTACGAGCCATCTCAGGGTTGCCGTCCCATTCACGCAGGAAAAGAGTCCGAAGCCACTCAACAATGAGGGAGGCTGAGCTAATGGACTCAGCGGGCTCATTGCTGCCAGCAGTATGAGAGATGTGGTGCTCACTAAGATAGTCAACCACGCGGTCCAGCACGCTGAGTCTTCGTTGTTTTGGTACGTCAAGGCTGTACACTTGGCGGGCCTTGGAGATTTCATGGTATGCCAGTCGTGCGGTGAGAGCCCGCACGAGGCGATTAATGAGACGGAGACCTAACTCATGCTCGAACCTGTCCGTCACCTCGATAGCTTGCTGGGCATTGTTCGAAGGCAGCTTGCGCATGTCTGACAGTGAAGCTACAGACCCAGCGGCACGCATCCGAACCACCGCTTTCCAAGTCCCCAAGTCAATATTAGGCACAAAGCTGACCAAAGTGAACAAGGCAATTGTGGCAATGTAGGCGGCATCAGGATCTGACAGATGATCTTCACTGGCAGATTCAGACATTCGCCGGGGAACGACCGGAGAGGCCGCAGGCCCTGTCGTGGTCGAACTGCGAGATGATCGACGGGATGGCCGTCCAGAAGAGGTAAATCCCCGCGGAGGAACAAAGAGCTTGTCCAAAGAGCTCCATAGGCTATGTAGTGCAATATCCCACGGGCAAATCGTAAACAGGCGCTGCAGCGATAAACGCAGACGGGAAACATCAAGGCGACTGAAAGTAGCCCCGATCATATCTGTTGACTCGCTACTAAAGGAGCGCAAAATCTGACTGGGGCTGCTGAACACGAAAAATGCACTTTGAGCAACGAAAGGAAATACTTCACGCTGACGCAGAGTCGCAAAACGCCAATCTGGCTGCTCAAAGCTGCCACCGCATTGGATACGATCAAGTTCTTCCTCCCAGCAATCAGCATCTTCCGCAGATTCAATCATGACTTGTGACAGACCATCGATGATCTCGGGGGTAAGATGAGTGACCGTCTGAGCCAGCGGAATCGTGTCTAGTAAGTTTTCGACAGAATCTTGCTTTGTTTTGCGCTCACTGGGAGATTGGGTAACAGAAGAAGGGAGAGGGCGAGGAGGAGGCATGAGCTCCGTGCTCCTCGTGCTATTGATAGGAGATACCTCATCCAGCAGCTTCTGGCTGTCCCACGAAACACGTCGTTGAGTTTTACGGTGTTCCTTCACTGGGACTGGATCGACGTCCCCAATTCTTCCGCGGTACTTTTGCGGACGGTGCTTTAACGCTGGTGGTGAGGGTAAGCTGACAAACTCATCAGAAGACGCCACTGGGAGCTTCTTGTTAAATTCTGGTTTCCTTTTATCATCAAGGCTTGAACGTGGACTCTGGCGCCAATGGTCAACCTCGGAGACTGATAGTCGTTTGACATGCTGGTTCTGAAACTTGAGCTCGACCGCGGAGGGTTGAGATACCGATGTTCGCGATGAAGGAGTACGAGGTTGAGAGCCGGGCTGGTTTGCAAGCGTGGAACTGCCTGGAATTTTGAGATCTCTGCCTGGAACTTCGTCGACATGGCAGTGGTGCTTCTCGGCAGTAGGTGGATTGTTTGTGTCTCCCGGTGCAGGCGATTTGGACTTTGGCTCCAATATATCTGGAACACGGCGAAGGGGAAGCCATTCGACCATACGGAGCGAGATTGTATCAAAGAGATTCTGTGTAAAAGACTTGGGGTCTTTTAGTTGTTGCTCTGCGGTATGGTCCAGGTCTCGAATATAGCTGCTACCGGTACGGGTTTGGGGAGAAGAACTCCCTTCTTTCACTTTTGACACGGCTGATCTATTTTGCGCAGGCTTGGACACTTCACGGGCCGAGTGGTCTTCATCGCGCTGATCCGGTATTGGCGACCTGTTAGCCGCTGCCGTTTGTGCTTCAAGTGTACGAGTTCGGCGCAGGGAAATCCGATGGTAATCTTCCGCTGTCAATTGCGGTGGAGGCTTAGGCACGTTCACACATAAACCGGTCTCCGGGTCATCCAAGCTGGCAAGGTAGCATGCCAAGGTCCTCGCACTCAGTTCTGTGTATCGACGATATGGACCTTCGCTAAGTCTTCGGCGATGACTGGCACATGTAGAGGTTCGACATCCGGGATTATTGCAGCCGTGAAGCAGTTGAGCTTTGTACCTTTTCCGACAAACCAATTAGTGTCATGCGGAGTTAGGAGGTCGAGGCCCAGCGTTTGGAGTTCCACTCACCTGCGCACTAAGCCGTTGAACTTTCGTCTTCGATCATCGCGATACCGTGGTAACACTCTTGAGGGATCGGATACCTCAATAGTATTCTGTATGAGCGCATCCGGTGCGTTTGGTGGGAGCTTTGACCGATAACTGTGAGTTCGCCCGTGGCCGGGGGATCGCGCGATGTCTGGGTCGTCGATGGAACCTCCGCGGAGCCTTGTCATTTTCAACACAGTGGCATATCTGAGGGTGTGAGGATAGCTGTAAGCGAGTATGAGCGCTAATGATGTGCTCGTCTTCGCGCGTTGAATAAATACGACCTTCAACCTTGGAAGACACTCCAGCTTACCTGATAACGTGACCCTGCTTGATAACGTAGTACGACTGTAATGCCTCAGGCAAAGAATATCCACTTTGGGGATCGGAGCTGTCGGAAGTCAAATAGTCCGGCGGACCTTGGGTTACTCAGCCCGCCGACCTTTTCGCAGGTTACTAAGCCGTTCACGGAAGACCACACTTACTGGAATAGGACTAGTAGTATTTTAGAGGGGCTTAGTCGCTCGATAAGAAACATAATTCAGAGGATCAACCCTGGACAACGGTCTATCGAGTGCATAAAGACTGACTCACAGGTCCATTTGCTTCCAAAAATTCTTCTCTTTTACATCCATCTGAGTCTCATTAATTTCATCTATTTTGATCATCAATCTACACTCAGATTATCAAAAAATCATTGAAATCGGGCCAAGGCAGAGCCTTCATATGTACCCCGCCTACAACAAATATTCATCCCACAATCCACAGGGAAAACCCGCCCTTTCAACCACCCACGACTCTCGAAAAATCACCGATATGTCGTCGACCAACCAAGACGCAGCCTCGCTGCAATACACTTGCAACACCTGTCTTGTTGCCTTCCAACGCAGCGATGCGCAGAGAGATCACATGCGCAAAGATTGGCAGTAAGTCTTGAATTCCTTTTTTTCCTTTTTTTCCTTTTTTTTTTTGGGGCGACTTCAGAAGCTGATTTGCCCTAGTCTATACAACATGAAGCGTCGCATCGCTTCCCTGCCACCCGTCACTCTTGAAACTTTCAACGAAAAAGTTCTTGCCGCCAAAGCTACATCCAACGAGGCCGCCGCCAAGGCTTCGTACGAAAAGACATGCCACACTTGCAACAAGGCATTTTACAGCGAGAACTCGTACCAAAATCACATCAACAGCTCGAAGCATAAGCAACGTGCGGCTAGCCTACGTAAGGATGGCGATGCTGCCTCCGTCCAGAGTTCCGCTTTCTCTCTCGGCGAACCCGTGACCAAGTCCGACAATGATGTCAGCAAGGTCACTGAAGAGCTCAAGACTGCCACCATTGATGAAGAAGAAGATGAGGATATGGAATCTGATATCAAAAAAGACGAGTTCTTGGCGTCTCGCTGTCTCTTCTGCAAAACCGACTCTACCGATATTCACACCAACGTGGACCACATGCGCATAGACCACGGCATGTTCATCCCCGAGCAAAAGTATTTGGCGGATCTCGATGGCCTCGTGAACTATCTCTACCGAAAAATCACCGAAAACTTCGAGTGCCTTTACTGCCACGCCATCAAGAACGACGCACAAGCAATCCAAACCCATATGCGTGACAAGAGCCACTGCATGATTGCCTTCGAGTCCGAAGAAGAACAAGTTGAAATCGGCCAATACTACGATTTCCGGGGCACCTACTCCGATGATGAAGATGAATCCACTGCCGAGAGCGGTGGCGTCAAGGTGAACGGAGATGGAGAGGACCAAGGTTGGGAAACCGACAGTTCCGCATCCTCCGTCGACGAGGACGATCTTGACTCATATCGAAATGCATCAGGTGCCTACGAGGCAGACTACGAGCTCCACCTTCCATCTGGAAAGAGTGTCGGTCATCGTTCGCTTGCCAAATACTACAGGCAAAACCTCCACAAATACCCTTCAGCTGCCGAACGCGCTGCCCGCCAGCTTGCTATTGCCAATGGAGAAATCGAAGAGGAACCGCCCCGCAGCCGCAACAACCATCACCGCGCTCTTATCACTCGTGCCAACGGCGGCATGGGTATGATTGGAGTTAGCGAAGAACAAAAGGAATCTGCTCTCACTGCCGAGCGCCGCGAGAGAACTCGTGCCCTTCGTCAAGAGAACCGTTACGTTGCCCGCGTCCAAAGAGCCAACAACCACCAGAAGCACTTCCGGGTATGTTCGACCTGTACTCTTCATTTGTTTTGCAAAACTAACTTTCTACTAGGATCCCCTTCTGCAATGATCGCTTCACTACAGCATCAACGGGAAATCACATCGATCGACCGGTTTTCATTCACGACATCGTCCATTCGATGTCACCAACGAAACATTCGCCAATACTCGCAATACATCGACAACCATCGCAGCTCTTCAACTTGCACGCTCGTTACTCCCGTGCCGCGAGCCTACTCGACTTTTGGCAACCTTTGGGCTTCCGCAAGCCCTTCGATTCAGCAACAAAACAACCAAGTGAGGTACTCTTTCCGGGCCGGGCCATTTTCTCAAATGAGTTTTTCAACCCGGTGGGTTTTAACGAGGCCTCACGAACATTGGACAACTTTATGATGGACGTCTTTATGGATAGCGATTACATGTTGCATATACCTTTTGTTACAGCTGTCGTCATTGTGTCGTCATCTCATCCTGTTATCTGGGGGAGTCTTTTGGGAATAGCATTCATGTATCTAGTCTGAGAAAATCAAAGCAAATCTGCTCAATCAATATCTGTGTCTTGGGGCATATTATAATCGTAGGTGTAACCAGCTGCATGTTGGCCTATCCTGGGATCCGTCTCTCCACCAGCGTTGCATTTAAAAATTAAACAATTGCTTTCCAGTCAGCGTAGGCTACAAGGTCTGTGACTGTGAAATCTACATACTCCTAAAGAGTTCGTACGGTACATCAAATTCACACGCGAATCAAGAGATCTTTGCCTTCTCAGTTGGCATATGCTGTTACAAAGCAATGCAATTACAACCCGGGGGCTCTTCTACATATCATGGATACAGGCCTAATTGTGATAGTAGGAAAATAGTGAAGATAAGTGGTTTCATTGAATTGAATTAACGAACGGCTCATCGGAGTAACGGTTGGTTTTTCGAAGTAACGGCTTATCGAAGTAACGGCTGGTCCTCTGAGGGACCGCCATCAGACTTTGAAGCTTTGCCATGCTTCTTTCGGCGGCGCTTCTTTTTGGATTTTGCGTGGCCACTGTCGGGGTTTTCTGATTTTGCGTCGTCCGTATCAAGGACGGCACCATTGGTATGGTGATGGTCGCGATGGCGATGACGGCCTGATGGATGTGATTCACCTTCTGAAGAACTGGAGCAATTTGCATGAAGAACAACTTTGCGGATACCATTGACATCTACGATCTGTTCTGTGATGCTTCCACTGCGCGCCGGTCCGCGGTGGTGGTAAATAAAGCCTGGTGTACCAGACGATTCAACACTGCCTTCGTCACTACTAGCCTTCCGCGTCGACCCAGAACACGGTTGATCTTCATGTTCCTCACGAACAGCCTCGGGAATGGAGACTTGGGGAAGGTCTTTATATTGCTGAGCACCGGTGCCTTTGCTCACACTGTCCTGCGAAGTCATGGTGCCGTAGCCAATTTTGAGAGCATATGCACCATCCTTGGCGTCTGTTCCAGCGGAGTTGAGCAAGCCCGCGCCTATGCCACCTTGGTATCCGGTAGAAGAAGGGATAAGTTTTTGGGACTCGGAGATGCTTTGTCCGGACTCGAAGTCGGTTTGTGCAGAACGGGACGGAGAGTTGCTGTTGCGCTTGATCTTGACGGCATGGTAACGGGTTTGGCGCGGCCTACTGGCCAGGTTAGAGGGACCAAGATGTTTGAGGTGTTCTCGAATCTCATCTGTGGTGCCGACTTGTGTGACCCAGTCATTTGCCGAGTCGGGATTGATATCGGGATTGGTTTTGCGAAGTTGAAAGCGGGGAAGCGGTGCTTCCACGGAACTGCGGCGGCGAATCAAGTCGGAAGGCTTGGGGAGAGATGATTGTTGTGTGGAATCCAGGTCAATCAAGTCGCCATCGGTGATAACAGAGGCGTTCAAAGGAGGCTCTTCGACGATTTTGCCTTTAGCGACACGAGACTTAGGTGCAGGTGTCATTCGTCGGATGGCTTTGTGGACATCAATGAAGACGTCAGATTCATCAATGATTTCTTCTCCGATCAATTCTTCAATAACATCTTCCAGGGTGACAACTCCAAGAGCGCCACGATCCTCACTAGGATATTCAGAGACAAGAACCATATGGGACTTGCCCTCTTGGAAGAAATTCACAATATCCAGGCAGCTGGTTTCAGGGCGAGTTTCAGGAAGTGTAGCCAAGGCAAAATCGCGGACACGTTTGCAATCTTCCGGGTCATATGTGATGAGCATCTTGACAAGGAGCATACCAACAAAATTCATCGGGTTCTCAGGGGCGTGAATGGGAATGCGGGAATATCCTTGGGAAAGAATGTGGTCCATCGTGCGTTCGTCCAAGACAGTGTCGGCAGACATAGTGAAGACATCTTCCATTGGTGTCATGATGCTCCCTACCGACTTCTCTTTGAGGTCGAGAACTGCACTGATAATGGTCACTTCATCGGAGTTGAGTTGTTCTCCGGCTTCGCCCAAGGTTTTGTGGAGTGTGACGAGTGTTTTCAATCCGGCCTTTTTGTAGATGGTACCATGGTCCTCTCCAAGCAGCCTATCCAGCAATTTTGCGATTGGCCAGGCCACTGGGGACATGATATACATCAAGACCAAGACGCAAGGTGCCATCCAGGCACCGATGGGAAGACCATAACGAACGCAAATCGACTGTGGAACAATCTCGCCGAAGATGACAATCAAAGCAGTACTTCCTAGCACTGCCGGCCAACCACCACCGAGTGTTCGGTCAAGGACGATAGGTAAGGTTTCATTTGTGATCACATTGCTGAGGAGGAGCGTGACAAGAACCCAATGTTTTCCGTGGTTCAAGAGTTTGAGAACGCTAGTAGCGTTTTTCCTTTCGTGCCCTTCGCCGGATGTCTTGATGACTTGGAGATAAACTTCATCCTGTACGACGAAGCAATCACGATGTCAGCCTGGTTCATCGGGGGATTTTTAGCCATGCTGGAAAGAGCTGACCTGTCCCATCAAGGCAATCGTAAGACCCGCAAATGCTCCACCGCTCAACACAAGAGCAGCTGAAAATCCTAAGTTAAGCCATAAACTCGGATCGCTCGGTTCCTTTAGTGGTTCTGTGTCGCGGGATGACAGAAAAAGAGGTGAGAAAATAGGCGCAGCAGTGGTGAAAGGAACTTGCGATATGGCGACGATGAAAAGCTTGGCCAGACTCAGCATCAATGGCCGAGCGGCAAACGAGCGGTATGGTGAAGAATTCATAAGAGGAGCGTGGGTGACCAACGGGACATGCTGTGATTAATGAGTAATGACCGTCGGTCGCGGCGAGGAGAGGGGAAGCGCAGATGGGGATGGGGCAGATAGAAGAGGGGGGGGGGAATAGATGAAGACAATAGGAAGGAAGGAGGGAGAGGGGGAAGGAACTTGGGATGAGGAAAAGCTGAAGGGCAATGACAGAGTGAGTGACCGAGCAGCAACAGGATGGCGGAGATCGGGGGTCCAGAAACGGCGGGACGGTGGCTTAATCAGCACCACCGAACCCCATGCCACTAACCGCTTTCGTAATATCCGCTGCCTCCGCCGTCTGGAAAACTGCCACCTGGTGCTCTAGGTCGCTCACTCTGTCCCGAGCCTCCTGGAGTTGCATATCCGACGTCACAGTCTGGCAAAGGACCTCTGCGTTGTGATCCAGGAGAACTCGGTTGTGGCCCTCCAACTCTTCGACGCGCTGCTGGAATCTCTCTCCGTCTTCAGCTAGCTGGTGGTTTGCGTCATCCAGGTCCCGAATTGTGTTATTCAGGACCTGGATCTCATCCTCAAGTCCCTTCCTTTCACTCGCAAGATCGATCATTTCGGCCTGCAGTGCGTCGTACTTCGCCTGCAGTTTCTTGCCGGCCCTTATGTAGCCGTCCCTCTGCTGCACACACTTGACGACTCGGTCGGTTTCCTTCTGCATCTCGTCGTCAAGCTGCTCGTGTGCTTCCTTCCTCGCTTGAAGCTCATCGGTGATCTCGGCATTGGCAGTCCGCAGCTCGCCCAGCTGCGCTTCCTTGGCGGCAAGTTGGTCCTTGAGGGAGGCCGCTTCCTGCGCCGCTCTCTCGGCCACCTCACGCTGCTGGGCCAGCGCGGTCTCTGCCTTTGCCTCGAACTCCGATGTTGCCTTCGCCAGTTTCCCCTCGTAGTCGGCCTTGGCTGCCACCAGCTCCTTGAGATAAGTCTGCTTCAGCGAATTGACACGCTCCTCATGCTGCTGGTCGGCAAACTCCATCACGCGTCTCTCGGCATCCCGCACTTGCTGCTGGGCCAGCTCGTGGGGGATGTCGGGGTTCGCCTGGATCTGCTGCCGGAGGTATGCGTTGTCATTGCTGAGCGCGGTGGCGGCGTCGTGAAGAGACCGAAGCTGGTCAGTTGTGCGGGCCACATAGTCTCGGGCCTCGCTCTCGAACCCGACCAGCTTCGACTCCCACGCCGCATTGACAATCGCCACCTGCGCAATGGCAGTGAATTTCTTTCCCGGCCGACCACGTTCCCCCCTTCCCAACTCCGTATTTTTTGGCCGGGGCCCAACGAGGACGTCCCTTAATCCCGCGAACGGGATTAATCTGGGCCTGATGCTGTAGGTATTCCAGGTCCTCGAACTTGCGCCGCCACTGGCGGCACTCGACGATGACCTGATCCTTCGCGCGCAGGGATTCCTTGATAGCCCGGGAGACCGTCGCCAGCTGAACGTCCAACTGTCGGACCTCCTTCTCGTGGCGTTGCTTTTCAGTCTCCCGGGCTATCTCGGAATCACGAACTCGTGCCTCCGTGCCACGGAGCTGCTGCTCCAAAACTCCCACCTGGCTTCTCAGCCTCTCATTTCTTCCAGACTCGGCCTCAATGGCCGAGAAATCAACGTCTTCTGTTGGTGTGACCACCAACACTGCTGCAGTCTGCAGCAAACCAAACACCCATGCACGGGGACTACTCAATGTTAGTCTCAATACTTATTTGGATGGGTATTTGGGTGGGTATCTGGATGGGTATCTGGATGGGTATTTGGATGCGACATGGGATGTGACTTAGGGGTTTTATTCAGATGGGTATTTGGGCAAGGCATTCTTGGAACCTCTTTTGGTGTCATGAGACATGACCCACAGGCTCGCCATACAGAGGGGACATATGAGGGATTGAACCTCCTAAACTTACCTGCTCATGGAGCAAATCCCCGCGACCGCCAGGGCGAACGAAACAACAACACATCCAACAAGCTGGCACACGTCGGTGTGCCAGTAAGCGGCCATGGCCGCAACAAGTACGAAGAAAAGGAATGTAGGAACAGACATTGTGTCGCGGTGAATGGTGCTTAAGCAGTAAGGTAAAGATGGGAAGAGAGGAGAAAGAAGAGAGAAAAAACAAAAACAAGAGTGGAGGTTTTATAGCAGTCCTATGCGTTCCTTCCTAAACTGAACGACTACCCATTCAAACGGTCCCCTACCCACTCAAGGCAACCTCCAGGCATTCCCTCACAAACAAAGAATAATACGTATTAATCAAGCCTTGTGATGCAATAGCATATATTGTCTCCATTGAGGATTATTGTGGAGTTGTACCTAGATTCAATAAATTAAGCTTTGCGGCCCGTGTGGGGTACATGCATGAACCGACGCGACCTAACCGTGCCAAGCCCACCAACACACTACCCGTGGTTGGTGGGCTGCACCGGATAGCAAATTTTCACCGGATAGCAAATTTTCATCTACACAACCACTTTCCATACATTTTATACCACCACCACCATGCCAGAAAATACTGAAAAAATCGAGATTCAAACCCTAAAGGCTGTTGAAGCCTACCACCAAACCGAGAAGCCCAATATCGCTAAATTGGCGCGGGAATTTGGCGTACCGTACTCCCGACTACGCGGTCGCGTCCATGGACGGAAAGACAATTCAACTATTGCTCGCCAATCTAGAGCTTTGAATTCAATTCAAGAAAAAGCATTGATTTCTTGGATCGAATCTCTACATAACGCCCACACTTGCACTACCCCTGAGCTTATTGAGCGTTCTGCAAAGCAGCTTTTAAAGGATGCTCAATCTAGCCGGGTCATTGGCTCTACATGGGTGTACCGTTTCATCAATCGACTACCACCACACATTCGCTATATTGATACTAAACCCACTGAAAAAGTGAGGGTTGATAGCGAGAATTTTGGTGAATTATTCCTTTGGTTTAATAACCTTCGATCGGTTATAGAACAATATAAATTCCAACCAAATGAGATCTTCAATTGGGACGAAACCGGCTACCAAATTGGCCAGGGAAAGCGCCAAAAAATCATTGCACCAAATGGTGTATATGCTAACCCTACCGGCGGTCAAAATGAATCAATTACTGGTATTGAATGTATTGCTGCCGATGGTTGGGTTATGCTACCTTGGTTTCTACCTAAGGGTAGCTTGTATATGGAGGAGTGGTATACCAATATTACTATCTCCGATTTTCGTATTAAACCTACGCCAAATGGTTGGATTGACGATGAGACTGCATTTGAATGGCTTTGCTCTTTTCATGAAGCTTCAATTTCTCGTGTTTCAAAAGGAAGGCCAAGGCTTCTTTTGATGGATAATTATGGTTCTCATACAACTATTGAATTCGTCAACTTTTGCAAAGAGCATTTTATTATACCAATTTGGTTCCTACCGCATACAACCCATCTCTGCCAACCACTCGATGGCCAAGCTTTTCAATGCTTAAAACATTACTTCCGTACGGCGAATAACGAAGTGATGATGTGGGGTGGAAGTGTTAGTAAAAAACGGGATTTCTTCCGGATTATCCAAAGGGTTCGAGAGCAAGCTTTCACCCAAAGAACCATTCGATCATCTTTTAAATCTAGGGGTATTTACCCTTTAGATCCAGAAGTCGTTCTTAGTCCTTTACGTCAAAGGGATCTCGAAGCTGAAGGGTCCCCCCTTAGGATTTTCACGCCATCCCCCCCCCAGAATTCACAAGCTCAGTCACCAATTCGCCACCAGATACAATTGAGCGGGTGAATAAGCTTAATACTAAGCTTATTAAGGACCTTGAGAAAATGGAGCATCAATCCGAGAGTATGAAAAGGCATATAAAGCGAAGTATGGACGCCAGTTCGCTTTTATCCCAACAGCTCACATTGATGAAGATGGAATTAAAGAAGGCTCGCGCTTCTATTTCGGAAGCAAGCGCTCCAAAAAATGGCAGGGCTATTCTTGGATCTAGGCGCTCAGTACTTGGCCCGGCCAATGCAAATAGGAAGATCGTAAAAAGGCAGGAAGCTGATTCTAAGAAGTTGAAGCGGTTACAGGCAAAACAAGCCAAGGATTTGGAGGTTGAACAGCAAGCTCAATTGGCAAGGGATTTAGCTGAAGCTGAGTACGAAGCTTCAATGGCGGCAAGAGATAGTGGATCCGGAAATTGGTATATAAATAGTAGTGGTGGTTACCTGTAAATAGTATTTAAATGCAGTTGTTGAGGTTGAATTTGCTATCCGGTGAAAATTTGCTATCCGGTGCAGCCCACCAACCACGGGTAGTGTGTTGGTGGGCTTGGCACGGTTATCGGCCTGACGTCACAAATGCCAAAACCTTTGGAACACGGTCATTCTCCCAAGCCTTGTCTACATACATAGCTATCACTGAACCAGGACTGTTTTGAATAGAGACCAATTTCTTCATTTAAATGGTTGCTAGTCTACTGAAAACTTGCTCGTCGACAGTTGTTCCCAAGCCCGGCGCTTCGGGTACATGTAGATATCCGCCTGAACCATCAATCTTTTGAGCAAGCAGCTCGTTTCGAATGCCATAGGAATCGGGGGAAAGTTGGGTCATCGGCTCTTTTGGATTGGACTTTTGCTTCACTTCGCTTCAGTTCCACGGAACTGCAGCAGAAGCCCGAATCGTAGCTGTCAGAGCAATACCATAGCCATAGCTCGAGCTGCAACATGGCATAACACGCACTACATGGTGCGACAATATAAAGGATCGGAAGTAAAGCAATAAGCATGATATTTGGCTTGACGTTGTCAACATCCCCTGTAACCATTATGTCGCAAATCTTCTTCCTCTCCCATTCTCTTTGTCCCCGAGCCACAGGGACAATGGCTCTTGTCTTGTCTTCAGAAGCTGTTCTGGAAATTTTGACAAGGGGGGAGCCTCTGAGGATGGCACTGCCCTTACTAGCTCCTCCACTAATGTGTTCTCGACCACAACGGTGTGTGTCGGCCAATTACATGGCCAGTCCCCCGGGGTTGTTGCTTATCTCTCTCGACCGAACCGTGGATTTTTGTCATGAAGGTGTTAAATTCCAAATTGAGCAACTGCTGTGCCTCTGGTATCGCAGCCGAGGCTGGTTGCCATCGGGAATCTGGGGAAGATTGTTTCATCGAATCAAAACAAAACGAGAGGTCCATACCAACCTTTATCTAGAACCGAGTGACACTGCTGAGCTGGTTGTAGACTGGTTGGCCTTCGGCTCGCCCACGAATATCCCAAAAACCAACGTCAATTGCGCTTATTGCACTGATAGATGTTTGTCGCTCCTTGTATTTCCATATTTCACCGAAGGGGAAAGGGCGAGGGTTTGGAGATCATTCATATGGCCATGGAATCAACAGAGTCACGTCCAATCAGGGTAGGAGTAAAAATTGTGTTCACCATCTCGAGGAGTTGTGGTGCTCCCTTGTCCCACCCAATAAGGCCCGTGCCTGTTTCAATGCACATCAAGCAGGTATATCCTGTATTAGGATCTCTATTTCTGTTGTCAGGGCCGGCACCGCAGACGACATATGGATTGACCGAGGTGATTCGCATCGCGTGTTTGTAGACCGGCGGAAAGGAGGAATGTCCGTGGAGAAATTGGCTAACGCTGAGTTGTGATATTCAATCACCCGAAAGGAATAAGGATAATGAAAGGAAAGGAGAAAAGAGCAAGGAATAAGCTTAGAAGTTGGTAAAATAGAACCTTGGAAACCAAATAGGTGCAAAGTAAAGATCAAAGCAAAATTAACAACCTGAGCCTCTTCAAACACTCCTTCTCCATACGAAAACATACGACAACATGCTCCTATCACATGGTGCTACAAGCAACTGCATTTCGGTACATGTATGGCGTTATGCCTAGGGACCACACTTGAGAAAGCTCGCAATTGAGCAACCAAAGCCCCGCCCTCCCCATATCCTGTGCTCGGAGCTCTTATCCCAAAGCAGTGACTATTTCGGTGTTTTGTTGATATGGAATTCTGACATTCAACGAGATTGCAGACAGAGAGAAACAAGCGGCCCAGACAAAGGTTCAAGATGCTCGCCGTACCCACGAACCACAAGAAATCCAGTTTGAACATTTGGTTGATCAGCTGCGTCGCATTTCCCGCTACACTGACTGCATCGACTTGGAGCTGGGAATGACGTTCCTAGCTACCAGAACACAGAACACGTCGCCACACAGAACATCGCTCGCAGCCTGGCCAGGTGAGGAGGACTTTGCTCTAGAGCACTGAAAGACCCAAGAAGGGGTTCACACAATATGTCTCGCTCTTAAGACCAGAAGGTTTACAACATGCCGAGGGATACGTTTGCTCGGGCTGAGATGGAAATTAATAATAATAGCACATCATTATGCAGCAGGTTTGATGCCCGATTCTCGTTTACCGGGCTGTGGTTTTCCCCTTGGCGGTTTACCTTGAGGGTGACTAGCGGTACATATTCGGCCGCAGGATTGGAAAGGTATGAGTGACAGGAAATTACATGTATTTATTCTCCTAGCAACAGGTTACTTCCCCGAGAGTCAATCAAGCGCTGAATGCAATAATTAGATTATGATTTATGCTTATATGTCCATCGTGTCACATATGTTTCGTGCGGTGCAATATTAATACAAGGTTCCGAGTATGTCACGATTTTGTCTCGCCGCCATTGACATTCTTCCAAGAGCCAGCGTAATGGTGTTCAACAAGATAAGGCCCTCTGTCCTCCGGGAAGCCACCCTGTCTAGAGGCAAAGGCCGCATTGGGCAGCACGAGCACGTCCTGAAAAATGGTGGGTTCTTTAATACCGGTTATATTCGCTCGGCCGAAAGGAACGCCCATTTCTTTTTCCAGGTTCTGCAAGATGGCAACGGTCATCGCCTGTGGACCCGTAACTTCCACCACGTCGCTGATCATCGTCATGTTAAGTTGGGTAGTAGTCACACCGTGCTGTGCAGCAGATGCCTTCAGTTTATTGATGACATGTTTGATGACCGCCACGATGTGGCTTGTCTTAGGTTTTGCCATGATCGTCCAACTCGAGAACTGGAACCCATCGAATTCCAAACCGACGACGACATTCGTTCTGTTCTGAAATTGTTCCGGGATCCAGGTATGAATTGGTCGGTGGCATGTCACGTCAAGATCGCTCCAAATTCCCCCGTCGACGTACAAGATCAATTGACGAAGGAGATCCGCTTTTAGGATCGGGACCGGGAGTGAGAGATAAAGGTCAAGGATCTCTGGGTAGTCGGCAAAATGCTCACGAGCGTACTCGTCTGCACTGTCGTCTGTGAGAATCTCATGTCGTAGACGTGGGTTCACATCCAGCCAACTACGGATGTCTCTCTGGCGGTCGTCGTTGATTTTCATTGAACCGGCCTTTTGCCAGAGCTTGAATGGGATTGATGGCTGGGCGTGATGACCATGAGAATTTGCGATTGGGAGGTAGCTTGGTATTTTGGGTTCTGATTTTGGTTTCGTCTCTTTAATGGGAAGTTCCGGTCGATTTGAGGGTATGATACCGACATCTGAGGCGACGGTAACATTGTCTTCGCTGCAGACGCACGATTCATGAGTAATAAGAATGCTTGGTGGTTGTTTTCCCAGGCTCGATGCAAGCCAGATAAATGAACAAATAAATAATAGCAGCAAACCGAGTAAATAGTGAAAGCGTCCCATCTTAGAGTGAACGTGATGGGACCTCTTGGGAGAAATGCGAACAAAGATGAGACATTCAAAAAGGGATCGGCCGATTTATTAGGAAAAAGTGTCTATCTCTTTGTTGAGAAAGATCCATCGAGGGCCCACAAAAGCTTGGCTTTTACTTTCTAAAGTTTCGTGCCGTTATCAGGTAGATCGGTGTGGTTTTATAGGTACATATGTACATATGTAGGATAACTTCCATTTTATACTTCGTAACGAAGCCAATCTACTTTTTTTGCGAGTAAAATGCACAGTTTTCCATCACGCAGAAATCATTCAAGGAACTAAAAATTCTAAATTCTAGTCTTCAACGGGGGCATTGGGCTGACAGCATTGTGGACATGGACCAAGTGTCGACATTAAGGGTCGCAGATTGGGTCTTTAATTGGTCCAATCATACAAGTCGGTTCAACCCGTGGTCCACGTTGTTCAAATTTTAATCTTCCTATATCGGCAATGTCTCAGATACACAGCACTTCTCATTTCTCGAATCTATGGAAGCTGTTCTCTAAATGGGGTATAAGTCTGGACCCTGATACCATTTTACTTGGCTGCATAAATCTGTCGATTTTTACAATCCCCGCAGTTTGCATGGCACAACAATATGCAAGATTCTCAAGAGAATACAAGGCATCTTTAGATTTGATACCAGAAAGATGAAATATAGACAAAGTCAAGCGACAAAAGGGTTGTTGCACAATATGAACACCCTGGGCACCTGGTGAAGGCCTGGCTGGACCTCCAGGGCTGCGACCTCGGGAGCCCGGGGCAAAGTGGTCGCTTAGTCATATTTGATGACGTCCACGGGTTCACCTCTAGCTCCGGATACGGGGGTCTCTGAAGTCCCGAGTTAACTTTAGCATTTGGAAGCTTTCACCTTTCACTCTCAACAATCATGGCTTCCAGAATTGCCCCTCAGATGTTCCGTGCATTCGGCGCTGCCCCACGAGCCTCGTGGTCTGCACAGGTGCCTCGTGCGCCCGCTTTCCGTCGCTTCCTCTCGGCCAAGCTAGAACAGCCGCGTCTGCGCCTGGGCTCAACTGGTACAGTCTCAACAGGATTGCATTTGCAAAGGTATTATGCTAACAACAGATAGCTCCAAACTTCAAGGCGCTGACCACCCAGGGCGAGATTGACTTCCACGAGTTCATCGGTGATAAGTGGACCATCCTCTTTTCACACCCTGCAGACTTCACACCCGTATTTCTCACCAATATACTTTATGAAGACATTGAACTAACATATAATTAGGTGTGTACAACCGAACTAGGCGCATTCGCCCGGCTGCAGAATGAGTTCGACGCACGCGGTGTCAAGATGATCGGATTGGTGAGTCCCCGCCATGTACAACTTCTACAGAGCCTCAGCTGATGTGCCCATTCTCTCCAGAGTGCCAACGAGCTCGGTTCCCACGACCAGTGGATCAAGGACATTAACGAAGTCGCCTCGACACAAGTCCAATTCCCAATCATCGCCGATGCCGACCGCAAAGTTGCCTTCCTCTACGACATGATCTCCGAGGACAGCATTGGGCAGAAGGAAATCGCGTTTACTATTCGCTCCGTGTTTATTATCGACCCGAGCAAGAAGATCCGCCTGACCATGATGTACCCCGCCTCCACGGGCCGAAACTCCGCGGAGGTCTTGCGGGTTATCGACTCCCTGCAGACCGGTGATAAGAAAGGTGTAGCTACCCCGATCGACTGGACCGTTGGTGATGATGTCATTGTACCTCCCACGGTCAGTACCTCGGATGCCCAGAAGAAGTTTGGTGAAGTTCGCGAGGTCAAGCCTTATCTGCGCTATACCAAGATCTAAAGACGTGGACATGTACCAACAACGGATGAAAATGAGCAAACACCATTTCAATGTCGATCAAACGGGCGGGCGTCGCGTGTTCTATTTCCAGTAATAACCCCGATGAACTATTAATGGAGTGAACTTGGACCGTGGGTTGCTCGAGAAAAGGGGGCGTGCTGGGTCGTGCTGGGTTGCATATCCAACTATTGTAACCCCTGACGCTATGTCTTTAGGGCAATGATAATCCGGTTAAATATGTAGGAAATACTACGGAGTAACTAGTAGTCCTTAGTACTTACGTTATGCCCTGAATCTATATGCACAGCCTATCACCATTATGATTTCTTGTCCGGCGACCCTCGGCTATGCAAGCCCATTCACTAGTAGACTAGTCACGGGTCGATCCTTGAACAATTCCAAGGTCGTGACAAGTCCTTAACTGCACTGCCAAGTGCAATGTGAACAGGATCTCATGACGATCTTCCTCGAATCCAGCAAAGATCATCCATGCATGAATATACATTTCCCCCGAGATGTGCACGCGGGCGTTGCTCCTTCCCCGATCCTAGTAGTTCCTCCGACTGTAGTTTTCTTATAGCCCCCCGGGGATCCTGTCAGTTTGGAATCCTGCAGATTCGAATCTGGGGGAAATAATGCACTCGCTCTCTTGACTAGCCAAAATACGATCTTTTCATACATACTTTCTTTTTTGTTTGCAAATCCATCACCATGACTCCTTGGGCACATCTAGCTCTAGTCTCTCTTTTAACCCCGCTTGTTCTGGCCTCTCCAGTACCAGACGAATCAGAATCTACTACACACCTGCACGAGAGAGCAGCAGAAGGGTATGAATCACCTCCATACTATCCCACTCCTCCGGGAGGCTGGGTTCCCGACTGGAGTGAAGCCTACTCCAAGGCTTATCATCTGGTCAGCAATATGACGCTGGCTGAGAAAGTCAATCTGACTACAGGAACTGGCTTTTTCATGGGACCCTGCGTAGGGCAGACAGGGAGCGTGCCTCGCCTAGGTATACCCAACCTGTGCCTCCAAGACAGTCCTCTGGGAATCCGCAACTCGGACCACAATACTGCCTTCCCACCTGGTATTACGGTTGGCGCAACCTTCAACAAAGACCTCATGTATGAGCGAGGTGTTGGGCTCGGCGAAGAGGCTCGCGGCAAGGGAGTCAATGTGCTCCTGGGACCATCCGTGGGAGCACTTGGACGCAAGCCACGCGGTGGACGAAACTGGGAAGGCTTTGGTGCTGATCCCACTCTGCAGGCCTTTGGAGGTGCCGAGACTGTGAAGGGTATGCAGAGCATCGGCGCTATCGCGGCTATCAAGCATTACATTGGTAATGAGCAGGAAATGCACCGCATGAGCAGTGTTGTTACCAAGGGCTATTCGTCTAACATTGACGATCGCACATTGCATGAGCTGTACCTCTGGCCTTTTGCTGAGGGTGTTCGTGCGGGTGTAGGGTCCGTGATGACAGCTTATTCCGATGTGAGTCCCTTCAATTCCATTTTTTGTGTGTGTTGCTGACATCTGATAGGTCAATAGCTCTTCGTGCTCTCAGAATAGCAAGTTGATCAATGGGGTTCTCAAGGATGAGCTTGGTTTCCAAGGATTTGTGATGACGGATTGGCTGGGTCATTATTCTGGCGTTGCGTCCGCCATAGCTGGTTTGGATATGTCCATGCCTGGCGATGGAGCAGTTCCCTTGTTCGGAGATTCATACTGGGGTTCTGAGCTGTCGCGTTCGGTCCTGAATGGCAGTGTTCCCGTGGACCGTCTCAACGATATGGTACGTGGTCCTCTGTGGGGATTTCCCTCGTGTCTAATATACGCGTCTAGGTTCAACGCATTGTTGCCACTTGGTATAAATACGGACAGGACAAGGACTATCCCTTACCAAACTTCTCGACGAACACCCAGAACAAGGAGGGCCCGCTTTACCCCGGTGCTCTATTTTCTCCATCTGGTGTCGTTAACCAATTTGTCGATGTGAGGGGCAATCACAACATCACTGCGAGAGCCGTAGCACGGGAAGCAATTACCTTGCTAAAGAACGACATGGACATTCTTCCTCTGCACAGCAATGGTTCTCTCAAGGTATTCGGCACAGATGCAGGTGGAAACCCAGACGGTCTCAACTCATGCACCGACCAAGGATGCAACAAAGGCGTTTTGACTATGGGCTGGGGCAGTGGCACAGCCAGACTACCCTATCTCATCACACCCCAAGAGGCAATCTCTAATATCACTAAGAATGCCGAGTTCCACATCACCGACAAATTCCCCTCGGACGTTACCGCCAATTCCAACGATATCGCTCTTGTTTTCATTAGTGCCGATTCAGGCGAAAACTATATCACAGTCGAAGGGAACCCGGGAGATCGAACCACAGCTGGACTTAATGCTTGGCACAATGGCGATGATCTCGTCAAAGCAGCAGCAGAGAAGTTTTCCAATGTAGTTGTGATTGTCCATACTGTCGGGCCCATCCTGATGGAAGAGTGGATTGAACTCAAGTCCGTAAAAGCAGTGGTTGTGGCACATCTTCCCGGACAAGAAGCTGGCAACTCCCTTACCGATGTCCTCTTTGGTGACTATAGTCCAAGTGGCCACATGCCATACACCATTCCCCGCAGCGAAGATGATTACCCGGATAGCGTGGGCTTGATCAGTCAACCATTCGGCCAGATCCAGGACACCTACACAGAGGGGCTATACATCGACTATCGCCACTTCATTAAGGCCAACATTAAACCTCGGTATGCATTCGGTCACGGTCTCTCCTACACCACCTTCAACTTTTCCCAGCCTTCGCTATCGACAGGAACTCCACTGGACTCAGTCTACCCAGCTGCACGACCCACCAAGTTGCCAACCCCCTCCTACAACACCAGCATCCCGGACGCATCGGAAGTCGCCTGGTCCTCTACCAACTTCACTCGTATCTGGCGCTACCTCTATCCCTACCTGGACAAGCCACAGTTGATCACTGCAACGAAGAAATACTCCTACCCGGACGGCTACAGCACCGAGCCGCACGCAGTCCCCCGGGCCGGGGGTGGCGAGGGCGGAAATCCCGCTCTCTTCGAGACTGTATTTTCGGTCCAGTTGGACATCCGGAATACGGGTAAACGAACCGGCAAGGCTGTCGCCCAGCTGTATGTTGAGCTTCCGTCCAGTCTAGGACTGGACACGCCAGCCTTGCAGCTCCGACAGTTTGAGAAGACGAAGGAGCTTGCGCCTGGTCAGAGTGAGACTGTTACGCTGCATCTTACTCGGAAGGATGTTAGTGTTTGGGATGTTGTGATGCAGGACTGGAAGGCTCCTCTCAATGGAGAGGGCATTAAGATCTGGGTTGGGAATAGCGTTGCTGATCTGCCTGTTCTCTGTGTGGTCGGAGGAAAGTGTTCGATTCAATAAGGGAGCGTTGATGCTTTGCGATGAACTGTTCACTTGGTTTGCTTGTTTATATTGGCTTTTTGTTTGTTGTAAGACTCGGTTTTCAATCTATTGTTACCCGTTGCATATATTTATGTGAATAATCTTGATTTTTCTGCTTGCGTTGATTTGACTGGCTCTTGAGTGTTGTGAATATTTGTTTTCCAATCTGACATAGCAACTTTGGAAGATATGATGAGTCTAAATCCATCCAACAGAGGTGGGTCGCCTCATAGTTCTAAGGTTTTCTATGTCTAACCTTAATTTAGCGTCCCAATTATTCCCTCGTCGTTGGATTTGTGTCAACCTTCATGCTTCATATAAAATTTACAGAAATAATGAACAAATAACATCGCATAAACAGATAAATACATTGCCAAGAATCTATACGCTATGTACATTCTCAACAACCGGCGTCTTCTCAACATTCAATCCCGTCTTAGTCTCAACATGCTCCTTATTCAACTTGGTCTTCAGAATAAAAGCCGAAAAGAAGACCCCAACAGCAGACATGCACGTATAAAGAATCCACATATTCCTCAAACTCCAAGCAAAAGCCTCCCTAACAGCAAGCAACTGCGCCGGATCGGTAATGAATTTAATCGACTCGATACTCGCAGCCGCGGAATCCCCAGACATCTGCGCCGCCATGCTGGCCGACATGCCAGAAGCCAACAAGCTGGACTGTTTCTGGCCCATACTATTCTGGAAGACAACGCCGCCAATCACAATGGAGGCCGCGGTTGCCATGTTTCGAATGAAGCCGATTGTTGCCGTCGCGGTGGCTGTGTCCTCCTGAGAGACCATGGCCTGGATGGCGATGATGGGTGTTTGGAAGAGGAATCCGGCACCGAGACCGCTGAGGATCTGGTACCCGACTATCTCGCCGACGGAGGATCCCACGCCCAGGTTGATGTACAGCCCGTTCCCGATGGTCAGTAGTACTAGGCCGATCCAGATCAATTCGAGGTATCGACCGGTGCGGTGGATGATTGCGCCGGTGAACATGCCGGAGAAGGCTTCCATCACGACAAGTGGGAGGATGAGGACACCGGAGCCCATTGGTGAGGAGCCGTGCACGGATTGGAGGTAGAGGGGGATGTAGTACTCTCCTGCGATGAAGACCTGCAGGTTTGTTAGTGCTTTGAGATGGTCGAGGGAACGGAGATACTAACAAAACCATGCGCAAATGCCACCAGCAAGGTAGCAATGTTAGAAAATCGAGCGAATATATCCATAGGCATCAAGGGATACTTTGCTAGTTTCTTCTCGCTGTAGACGAACAGCAAAGAACATAGAGATCCGAAGACAATCAGACAGATCACCTGAGGTGATTTCCAGGCGAAAGCCTCGCCGCCAAAGTCCAATCCCAATAGAAGCATAAGAGTAAGACCCAGAACCGAGAGGCTACCGAACCAGTCAATGGCGCGGACGCCATCCATGATTTTCGTCTGGGGGTTGTGCACATCCAAGAAAAAGAAAAGGAGCACAAATGTCACACCCGAGATGGGTAGATTGATCCAGTATGTCCATCTCCAAGTGACATACTGGCTGAATGCGCCGCCGAGCAATGGTCCAACACCACCAGCAAAAGCCCACATGACCTCCATTAGGCCGAGATATAAACTGCGGTGTCTGTTACGACATAGTCAGTAAAAGCCCTGCATAAAAAGTATAGACATCCACAAGCAGCCTGTCCAGGGCATAATCAAAATATCTTACCTAACACTGAACAAATCCGAAATAATAATCGTAACCAGCTGGAGCAAACCACCACCAGCGACACCCTGCAGCGCACGACCCGCGATTAACATCTCCATGCTAGTAGCAGCAGCACAAATAATGGAACTGAGGAAAAACCACCCAACAGCCAAAAGCAAGATAGGTTTCCGCCCCCAGATATCAGAAAGCTTGGCCCAGATACATGCGCTGGCGGCGGAGCTGAGAAGATACGCTCCGCCAATCCACGTATACCCAGCAGAGGAGTGGAAATACGCGGCGATTGTTGGAATCGCTGTAGCCATGATCGTTTGATCTAGTGCGGCGATAAACATCGCTAACTACATAGTGGAATCAGTAGATGAATATGCGGTTTTGGTTTCGGCGTGTCTTACTGAAAGCGCTACCATGATTGCGGTAACTTGGAGTTTGCTTCGCCCTTTAGGGGCTTCTTGGATTCCCATTGATTCTGCCATTGCTGGTAGATCTGGAGTTTTTGAAGATTTCAGTTTTTGAAGTTGTAAGACTCGAAAATATTTTTCTCCCCGCATCAGTTTTGTGGGGCACGGCCGCTCATTTGGTACATGGTATGGGTAAAGGGAACAAAGAAATGGGCACTAACTTTTAGTATGTTTAGTATGAGATATATAGATGACACTGATCTTGAATGAGGGCGAGGTTGAACGTTACAGTTGGTTTACATTGCAACATTTTTTGAATGAATCCCACAGTTCCAGTTGTCAAATCGCTACAAACAGTACGTTCTGGTTCAACGCCAGCAAAAACAAATTAAAAAAAGAGCCTCCCAGTAAAACCATAACCACAAAAATACCCAACCCAATCCGAGCCGAATTAACAATTCCCTAAACCTTCCTGGCAACCGTAACCCCAAAGTTAACCAGCGCCGTCGCATTCTGACAATGCGCCTCAAACTGGCGAACCAACCCGTCAACAATCCCACGTGCCTGCACGATATCCTCAGCTTGACCAGTAACAACTATAGAAGGCGGGGCCAGCGCACGCATCACACCCGCGACCCATTTCTGCGCGAAAGGCCGCATATGGTCCTTCCCAGCAGTCGTGTAGGTCTCACGGACGACATCGGCGAACCCGTTCGCAGAGATCTCGTCGTACACGCGCTGTGGAGCAAATGGCCATAGGCCTAGTTTCAGCATGGCCTCGATCACGCATTCCCGCAGTCGGGTTATCGCTGTCGGCTCCGGTGTTGCATCTGTGCAGAAGGCTGTGTGGTCGACTTCTTCCCATTGGATCCAGCCGTTTGGTTCTGGGGTTGTTAGTTGGGGGTTCAAGTTTGAGAATAGATTTAGATATTCTTTTGGTGAGGGATGAGAGATGAGAAGGGGAGGGGAGGGGAGGAGGGGGGGGAACATACTTAGTAAAGCGCGCGCGTTGGCGAGTACCCGTATGTAATCGGCTTGTTTCAGGCCTGCTGTTAGGAGTCGGATGTGCACGAGATCGTATCGGCCACGGTGCTCTTCTGGGAATGGGCGCAGTGCATCGTGGACGCTTAGTGGGATTGGCTTTTGGCCAGGTCGTTGGATCTGGTGGCCTTGCGGGTATTGGGCTGAGGAGATATCGAAGCCGTGGAGGTAGACTGACTTGTTGGGGAGAAATTTGGCGACATCTTCGAGCCAGACGCTGTGGTGAGTTAGCTTCTGCGGCTTGGTTTCAAATTAAAAGAAAAATGTCAGAGAAATCAACATACCCAGTGCCAGTACCCAAGTCAGCTACTGCTGTAAGATCTCTTGGAATCGACGGGTGAATGAGGTTGGAGAGTTCGACGAGAAAGCGATGTTGGTCATTGAGACTACATAGTATGAAATGTTAGCAAAAGCCAAAATGGGGGGGGACCGAACTGTCGGGTCGGGACATCTGCAAGGGCCCCAAGGTTGCAGGTGACAGGGGAGATCTTAAGATGTTTAATCTTCCAGGGGATATTTGGGATATTTCGGATAACTTTCAAGGGTGATTTGAAAGATTTCGGGAAATGATTTGAAGGTGTGACATAGTGAAATGACCTGAATAAAACACATACCGTTTAGTCTCCGCCTGATCTCGATCCAGCAGGTAAACTGGACGAGAAATGCCACCCATATTGACCAAGATCTTAAAAAGTCTGGAAAAATGAGAGAGAAGTTTCTGAAACGAGAGAGAATTCATTTCGGGGTATAAGGGAAAGTGGAAACACAAAGGTGACCGGCACCTTCTTCTTATATGTACCTCATTTCAGATCTTTGCTAAGATCCATGATTCTCTCCCAATCTCCATGACAGCACACAAAGAAAATCATCCTGGCTGATCCCCACAGGATAGCCACGAACTAGTAGACTCCCCCGGGCCACGATCGAACACATAATCGACCCATCCAATACTCTTCTTAGATCTTGTATTGAAGGTTGCCGGGGCTCTACGTAATGTCCTCTCAAACAAAGCCAGCATCATGCATGGAAGCCCCTATTCGGCTTAGAACCGAGTTTCTTTTAGGCTAGCGACATCCTAGCCGGTGAAACCCAGATTTCAGCCAATGTCCAGACAGCATTCTCCTTCCTGTGGAGGGGCGGTGTTTATACGAGACACCTGTCGGTAGTGGAATTGGGATTTGGAAATGCAAAATCCCCGACGTAACACATGGGAAGTTGGAGTGTACTCCGGACAACGACGGAAAATTGAAGAAGGAAGGCCGGGGGGTTATACTCGCCGATGGAGACGTCGCGCCTTCCCTAACTTCTCGAAGATGGACCTGGGGAGTTCTCTGAACCAGAATTTAAACAGGAGCTGATCGATGTTATGCCTCAGAAGCCTAACGGCTTAATGGCTTCAGGGCTAGACAATTTCCATGCGGGAGCACAGGTTGGTCTGAGACAGTATGGAGTAGGGGGAAACGGTGAGATGGTCTGTTTCGGGGCGTTTGTCTTTGTCTACGGAGTATGGCGTTAAAAGGTTAATTGGGAGCTAATCTAGAGTGTCTCTCTACAGACTATCGGTCTGGAGGATTCCAGATGTAATGGATGAATGCCCAGGTAAAGAAAGTCACAGCCCCAGAAAAGATACACTTCAAATGCAATTCAACAGAATTATAATTTTACAAAATGAGACCCAAAAAAAGAGAAGACACCACTCAAGCCTTATCCACCAAATTAGCAAACACATACCGGAAAATCTCCCGGCTCTTATACAAATTCTCCACCCGCATGCGCTCGTTATCCAAGTGGGCGTTGTCACTCGCCTGGCCACAAGGCAGGTTCGCTGCCGGGGCCGAAAATTCCTTTTCCAGGAACCGGATTGTCGGGATGGACCCGCCTTCACGAATGAACATTGGTTTCACTTTGGCTGCACCAGAGGCAACAGCTGGTCCAGTTCTCGTGGGGTTTACGGTATCCGGATCAGACTTAGCCCGGGTTGGCAATGCAATTGACTCCTCAGACGATGTCGGTGTGCTTTGTGTGAGGGTGGAAGACGTTGGCACAGTGGCGGCTGTTTGCGTGGACCGTTTGCGCGCGGCTTCCTTGCCCGCTGATGAGGTCGTTGTCGATGTGATTACCCGTTCAACATGCGAGACCATACTGTCGGAGGAGTCTTTGCGGCGCAGTTCGGGGATTGGGCCCGCGCTAGGTTTGGGCTTGGTCGCTGGGTGAGTGTTTGTGGATTGTGGGATGGGCGGGTATTGGCGTTCCGGGTCCTCTTGGGCCGGGGACCACGCTGCGGTGATCGCCTCTGACAGCGTGGCGAAGATTTCGTTATCTGGGTCTCCGAGCCAGGCGTCGGATTTGCCGGTGATTTCGACTGTGAGGTCGTTTTGTGAGTCGAGCAGTGCGAATTGCTCTTGCGCATAGGCGGTGAGGTCGGCTGCGACTTCGTCGGCGTGTTGATCCGGTACGATACGGATCGATAGGGTTGCTTTGGCTCGGCGAGCGATGGTCGTTGCGCTCTTGCTTCCAGGGACTTCCACCGAGTGGACGGTCAAGGCGGGTTCACGCCAGCGATGCATCAGTGACTTGATCAGCGCCTGGCTGTCGGGGATCTCTGGATGCTGCAGAAGCAATACATCGGCAATAGCCTCGAACCGCTTCTGTTCGGCGTCCGTGAGAGGCCTGACAGCATCGTGGAAGCCAGGCAGATTGATTTTGCCTTTTCGTCCCACGATGGTAGACAGAAGCATGGCAATATCCTTGACTGGTTCATCCAGCAATGTACTGCCGTCGATACCACTGTGAAGATCAGGGTGGTCGCTTGTAACGACTAAGTTGGCGTGCACGACACCGCGTAGCCCGTAAGTTAGGCACGGGTTGTAGTCATCAAGCCAGTAACTGTTGGCTAGTAGAACCCAGTCCACGGATCCGATCTGAGCCTTGTGCTCACGAACCGTTTGGTGGAAACCTTGGGATCCGGACTCTTCCTCACCCTCAATGAGGAAGACGACGTTGCATCGCAAGGTCTTGGTCCGGGCGAGATCGGCTGCGGCATACAGTGATGCCAGAATGGGACCCTTATTATCAGAGACACCACGGCCGTACAGAAATCCGTTAATGGAAGTGAGCTGATAAGGATCCGTCCTCCACTTGGGTCGGTTTGTCTCTGCACCCACAACGTCATAGTGGCCATAGAAGAGAATAGTCTTGTCCACCTTGTCAGGTGAGGTAGCGTTAAATCTAGCAAAAACAATGGGATTGGTGTCCTGGCCGGTAGTCAGGAGCTTGGTCTTGGCACCGAGGTAGTTGCAGTGCCGACGAAGGAAAGCAGCACCCTGGTTGCATTCGCCAGCGAATTTGGGACTTGCTGAGATAGTCTTGAAAGAGACAAACTTTGCAAGACTGTTGACCATTTCGTCTGGGTAAGATTTAGCGAGTGTTCGGCGCGAATAACCTGTATTGGACGTACCGTTGCTGATCGGAGGCAGCTCTTCCTGGGCCATAAAGAATTCAGTTAAATCCCAGATTCCTACTGAGTTGTCATTTCCACCAGTGGCATAAATTTGGCGATCCTTGAACCGTCCGGCAGCCGAGGCGAGCATAGTGCCTTCATGAGCAACCCAGCCACCGACCTCTTCGAACCGGGAGTTGAATTTCTACCAGAGGTCAGTAAATTCGATTCGAAGGTGACAAAAATATAGATCAGTACATACCTTGACCGTTCCACTAGAGTCACCACAGATAGCGACACCCTGGATGACGTGCACAGCCCACAGGTCTCCAGTATGTCTAGTGATCCGCTTAACGAGCTGCTGAGAGTCCAAATTCCAGATATTAAGGGCGCCGCCAGCCAAACCACAGTAGAGTAGTGATCCCTCGACGGCAACACTCAACACTGCATCTCCATTCTGTAGCTTGGCAATCTGGGATGGAGCGGCGCCGGGATCCTGGCCCAGGCGCCACAACTTCACCACACCATCGCCCGCACCAGTCAAAAGAACCTCCTCGGAAGGAGCGGTCTCGACCAGGCCCTTGACTAGAAGCATCGAGTAGACGTAGCCATGATGCGCGAAGAGCTTATGATGATCCCGCTTGAAGCTCAACACACGACCACCGTCAGAGAGGGCACCATCCGACGATCCTGTCGCACGAGTACCGTCCGGTCCTCGGGAATCAAAGAAGCGATGTGTCCGCTTAGATGGATGGGCAGACGATGCTTGGTTCAATGTTGACCCTTCCTCGGAAAGATCACACCACTGTCCGAATTAGAATGTCGCTAAATAGGGGTGCAGACAAGGGTCAGGTACCTGTATACTTGTGTTCTGCGCACCACAGTAAATAGTTTGGTTATCGGATGAGTAGACTACTGTAAATATATCACCCACGTCGTGGTGTGAATAAATCGAGTAGAGACGTTCAAATGTTCGCGTGGACCACACCTATCCACGTCATTAATCCCTGTTCGTGTGATTCTTCACTTGCATGACTCACATTGACCACGGAGTCGCCCCCGCTCGAAAATAGTAAATTTCCATCTTCAGAGAGATAGAGGCCTAGCACACTCTCTTTGTGTGCGTGGACAGATACCACGAGATCATATGTTTCAAGGGACCACGCCTGAAGAAACGGTTAGTGTCGAGCCTTGGCGGTAAAAGAACATCACTGTAGACATTTTGAAAGAAGAATTCAAACTAACTTACAACAATATCTCCTCCTTGGAGACCAGCAAAAACACAATGTTCATCGACGGCTAGAGCGAGGACGGAGCGACTGGCGAGCACGCGGTGGCCGATGCCGCAGTCACTATTTGGAAGGGCACTGGCATCAACTTGAGTATGAGAATCAGAGTCCCAGGTTTTCTGATCCTCCTCGGAGGTGCTTTCTGATTCTACTAAATCCATGATCAGTCCAATGTGCCTTTGCAATAGTTTGCAATGGTTTCCAATGTGTGGAGAGTAAAGTGATGTTGGTGTTCTCGGGTTCTCTCCGCTTCAAATCAACCAAACAGAACACTGAAAATCTCCCGAATTCACTCCATTTTGTTGAGGTTGAAGAGCTTTAATGTTTTTTAAACAAAACGAACGAATATAAAGGAATATGAATCATCAAGGCGGTATGGGAAAAAAAGCAATAATAACAATAAGAGGATATTGCACCATCGATAAAATATTTGACTCACCATCCCTAGCATCCCTTTGATTCCGGCAACAAGTCCTTCTATATAGAAAAAAGCATCAGTCGTCGAATTAATTTGGGTGGGCTTGTTTATGCCACGGTCGCATGTCCATTCATCGAGTCTGAATATTCTTGAAATCCATAACTATGAAACGCACCTTGGCTCCCACAATAGCCGTGCTAAAGGGGTACTGGAGCGACGGCTAACCATCATATAGGGGATCAGGATTCAAGATAGATTCAAGATAGAGTTGAGTGAGTTTGGAATATCAATGAAAACGGTACATGAAAAAGCACAATGAAATGTTCACCGATGTTGATCTGCACTTCAAACTTGAAACATTGGAAGCTGTTTACTGATAACTAAGGGAGAGAGATACCTACATGTACTTTGTAGGTAACTAACTAATATCCTGCCCGAGACCTACTGGGTACAACCCCTGATGGCTTTCATCCTTCAATTCTGGACTAGAAATATTGGCCTGCAGGTGCCCATCTGTGATCAATGTCCAGGGTCATCTTACAAAACCCTCGAAAATGACTCGGAATCGAGTGATACAACAGTAATGGCGCAATTATTGGTCTTGAAATCATCATTGCGGGAATATACCTCGAATAAGTAGATACACAATATATATCCCTGAAGGAAAAAAAAGAGATAAGTCTCCGAAGCCATCAAACCGTCCTCACATGTTAAAGCCTCAGCACCGCCACACATGGCTGACCTGGCTGACATTGTCTGGCACCAGCCACAGTGGCGGTGACCCCGGTAGCCAATCAGATATCAGATGTCACCGCTCTTTGCACACCTTCCTCCCTGGGAGCCATACAACATTGACTAACAGCTGATCAACTGCCCGTGCAGACTATGTACCTATGTCAAAGAGCCAGGGATTATTTCTTTTCCATTTTTTCCTTCGATGGATCTAAATATAATAATGTGATCTCGTTTTCCCTTGAAATTCTCTTCCGGGTCCCGGCACATTGCAGCTATACCGCAAAGATCGACTTTGGCGCCCAACAGCATTTGAGTGTGATATGTGATGTGAGCTCATCGAACCTGCCGAGCCTTTGATACGTGTCTGCCTCCTAAAGTGGCATCCAATTACTCTGCCCTATAGTTCCTGCAGCCTGGCCCTGTTCGCTGCTCTGCCCAACGTGGATGCGCTTGATCCCCAGCCTCCCTGGTCCGCATCACTTCTCCCACGCCTTAAAACCTCGCTGGGACGCCTCCGATCGGACCTTTTGCGCTGATCAAGGCCTGAGGTTAACAACCCAACTGCCTTAATAACCGTGAACTGTCCAGGGCTGTACCTTGCTTATTCTTTTATACCCTGCTTGGTTCTTCATTTGTGATCTATACCCCGGACATTTCTTTTTAAAACAATTTTTTTTTTTTTACTCTACACCGCTTCCTTGTCGACCGTCGATCTCGACCATCTATGACTGATTTTCGGTAAGGTCGTAGCAACGACTTACTATTTGCTATGGCGCCTTTTGGTCAAACGATCGCTGTGATTGACAAGTCTGGCAAAGTTGTCAGCACAGTAAGTTCGATGTCCGGAACTTCGACCCCGCATTCTGACAAGTATTAGAGTAAGCAACTATTTGGTGTTTTCAGCCATGCCAAAAACGCATATCGCGAGCGCAAGTCCGCCTTCCAATCAGAACGCAATGCAAAAATTGCGGAGCAACAAGCACTCGAAGGACTCGCCAACTATCAGATCGATGACGCGCCGGCGCCGTCAGTAGCGGCCTCTCGACGAAGCCGCGGGACTCGGTCAAGACATCACAGCGGCCGCAGTCATCGTGCTTCGTCCCACTACGATGATGGACAGACAGTTGTATCGCGGCGGGAATCTCATTACGAGCCCCCGCAGACAATCGCCCGCCGCCATACCCATCACGACGTGTCAGTCCGAGACGCCCCTCGCCCATCAACGGCTCGGTCAAGATCTGATGCGCATATCGACATGGATCTTGCATATGGGGACGCCTCTCATGCAGCCCTATCTCGATACAACCCCCCAGAGCCCAAAAATGACCAACAACAGCTTGATGGTCTTGTCAGCCGGGCACAGTGGCTTCTCGAAGAAGCACACTGTGTGCAACATGGTGCTACCGCGACTATCGCCCATCTCCAGAAGAACCCAGATGCCATGGCCGCCGTCGCCTTGACTCTAGCGGAGATCAGCAACCTGGGGCGCAAGATGGCGCCCGCCGCATTAACCACGCTCAAGTCAGCCGCGCCAGCCGTCTTCGCTCTTCTTTCTAGTCCTCAATTTCTCATCGCTGCCGGAGTCGGTCTAGGCGTGACGGTGGTCATGTTTGGAGGATACAAGATTATCCAAAAAATCAAAGGCGGCGCTATCGGGGAAGAAGGAAAGCCCCCCGAAACGGAAATGGAAATGGAAGAAATGATGGAGTTCAACACAGAAGATCTCAGTTCTGTTGAGATGTGGAGACGCGGCGTCGCTGACCAGCAAGCCCACAGCGTTGGAACATCTGTTGATGGCGAATTCATCACACCCACCGCTGCGGCCATGTCGGGTATCGATGTGACGACTGCTCGCGCTCGACGAGATCCTCGTTTCAAATTCGATGAAGATGCCTCGGTCGCTTCGTCCCGTCGCTCCCGCCGTTCGCGCACCACCCGGGCTCCGACACATGCGCCGTCAGAACGACACGAACGGAGATCAAAGGCTCCTTCAGAGGCACCGAGTGGATTCTTCGGACGAAGCTCCTCCAGGTCCAAGGCGCCATCAGAGGCCCCCAGCAAAGCGCCTAGCAGAGCACCAAGCAGAGCTCCTAGTCGAGGTCCTAGTCGAGCTCCCAGTCACGCCCCCAGTCGCACACCATCTAAAAAACATAGCACCTATGTCTCCGAAGCTGAGAAACGACCAAAGGAGAAAAAGAAAGGTCCCAGCCGGTTACGACTTATGTTCACCTCTTCATCTTGACACCCCAAACCTCGCGCCACCCGACAGAACGATAATTTGTACATACATATATCCACCCTCCCCTGATGACATTAATGGGTGGAGATGCACTTCATACGACCCATGCAACCACTTTGATCTACCCAACTCTTACGACGACCCATGACTTATGCGTCACTTCCCTCATTCAATCTTTCTTCTTTTGGCTATGGTTATCGCCTACTTTCTTTTCTTCTTCTTCTTCTTCCAACTACTTACAGCAATGCAATCCCTTCACGCAAGCATATTTTGGCGTTTGCTGGCCACATCTGCTGTATTATACACCCACCCAACTAGGAAAAAATTAGATAAATTACATATCTTCTAAAACAGAGATCTTCTATCGTACATATGGTTTGGCCGAGTGGTCTAAGGTGATCGACTAGAATCAACAGTAATCAGCTCCGTTTGTGGGCGCATCATGCAGCCGTCGTTGCTTTTTTTCGATTTCTGTTAAATCGTTCTAGAACCAGAACTGACATATTGCGGGATGGAAACCTGTTCATATTACGCCTGCCTTTGAGAGTCTTCTTGCATGTTGTAACCTTACATTGCTATTTGAATAATATCCAAATATCTAAATCTTAAATAAATCTACTTCTATACTCCCTTGAACTTGTTTCTTGGCTATTTCACACACGTTTTTCAATCCAACACCTTGTCTCTGTTTACTTCGAAATATGGAACCCTGCAAGGTCAGCGATAATCGTTAGGTATCTTTTCAAGTTGGATGAGCTGACGTAGTATTAGACGCTCTATCTAAACGACCTGGCTATCAATGTGACAGAGGCCGAGCGGTTAGATCCAGGGCGCACGGTGTTTCGGTTGACACTCTCTTCTCCGATATGCTATCTTCCATCGAGAGTTATAGTCAAGCAGCAGAAGATCGGGTGGGAGGACGAGTTTCAGCAAGAGATACAAGCATACAAAAAGTTGGAAAATCTCCAAGGAACGATTAATTCCAATCTTCTTCGGTCAAGGCTTCTGCAATGGCCTTGATGCGCTTGTGATTTCGGAGGTTAAGGGGGTCACCCTCCATGATCTCGCTCGAGGAAATTTCGACGTCCAGCAGGAAGCGCTAAAGATGCACCTTGAGAAAGCACTGGGCGCCTTTGATAGGCACAAAGCATTGTACTGGGACGCAAAGCCAGATAATTTTCTGTTTTGTGCTGATACTATTCCCGAAAAAAGCAAAATTATGGTTGTGGATCTTGAGCAAGTCGAGTTTCCCCGCGATCATCAGCCCTGGTATCATACAATCAACTCGGGTAGCGTGGGCAATCTGATGAGCAAGTTTAAGGATGGGAAAAGCCCAAATCGTCCACTGTCGCCCGCAGGTACCGAGGACGAAGAGGACGGATCGGAAATGATTGGGCTATAGAGGCCTGTGGGACGGATGAAGGATGAAACTCCACAGTTTTTATTATCATTAGTAGTGGCTTCCTTAGTCTTTTCAGATTAATATATACATTGGGGGTCAAAATTGTTAGTTAACATACCCCATCCCATGTACGCCATACAAAGTTAACAAAATACTTTCAATGTTCATCCTCTAGTTGCTCACCAAGTTTATATGACAACATATTTTTAAGTTAAAAGTGGTTACTAGATCTAGTATATATCTCTCATGCCAATTGAATAATAATTAGGTATAAAGAGGGACCCAAAATTGCATCACCATTTTACTATGGTGCCCTATAGTGAAATCGTCGTGGAATCGGACAAGATGAATTATCAGAATTTTAACAATTAAAAAAGTAGATGGAGAAAGATCCAACAAAGAAATTTTGTGCGATTTATATCTTATTAAAATACTAAAATACTAAAGAAAGAGCTTATCATATAAATTTGTGCAGAAAAAAAAGCTGGGGGTGTCAACAGACTTTTGACCCCCATAAATATACAATCATCGTTCGCAACTCGAAGTTTGCGTTAGAGACGGAGAATAGTAGGATTGGATTTAGCTGTCCGTGATAGGGAGACAAAGTACTCAGCATATACACAAAGCTACGAAGAAGCGGTTATGTGTTGAATGTATTGATGATTGGCGAGGTCTAGCTCGATGTGCAAGGGGCAATAATAGTGCTGAGGAATTTTTCCGTACTCCTAATGCTAGGTAGCTGTTTTTTAAGATCATGCTCACCTAAATTATATCCTTCATACTCCTGTCCGGCAAATAAGGCGTCAGGTGTCCAAAGAAAGCCGATGATCGGCAGCGCGCACAACCCTTGGTGGATACTTGCGCACAAGCTCGGGGTGCAGCACTCTATACTGTATGCATATTGTAAAGCTCTAGAATTGAACATCCATATAGGGTACATTTGAAGGGGTAGAGCTGTGTGGCCTCTCAAAAACGCAATTCTACTGATCTTGCTAACAAATCACTACCTAGCGAAGAATGCATGTAGACAGCATTGTAATTTGGTCCCACAGCATGGAATGATGAGCATTCTCCTGAAACGACAGTTGATCGGATCACCGACGGTATCAGCTCCGTGAGGTTTAATATGTAGTCTACATATGTACTTAATAAATCAGTAAGACAGTACTTCCGAGGTGATCAAACCAGTCAATCAAAAGCAATGTCTAATCGGCAATGCCCAAGTCAAATATCTGCCGTGAAGCCTGTCAAAATGCAACATGCAGGACTAAAACAGCCTTCGTAAGGATCGAAATATGAAGCCCAGTTTCATGGGGCTCCCGTAAGATGGTGATCTGACGTGGTCGGCAGATGGAGGGCCCCCAAACAGCCGGAGGTTCAGCATAGCATTGCCCCCATTGGCTCATCCCGGGCTACCCCCGGAGCACCGTTCCCGAACAGTCGGCAACGAACAGGCGATCGGAGTTGATACGCCACAAAGCCAGATATTATTAGTATGTGCTTTTTTTTCCATTTGCGATTGAGCTGGGTTGAGGTCAGAGAAGATGTCAAATGCGAGAGGGACTCGGGACTCTGCTTTCAACCTGCAAATTCGATATTTAAGCAATGCTGGGGGAACTGGGGGAACCCGTTGGCCCCACAGGAAGCCGCCAATTGCCGTCACTTGGCCAAAGAATCCAGATGCTATAGGAAAATGATGTCTCCATTCCAATTCCTCCGATATATAGCTAAGAGGGGGTAAGCTGTGGATCAATGTAGGCGCTAAAGCAGAAGCTGCTCGGAATACGAAATTGTACAATTTTCTTCGGCGTTAGCCAATTTCATCCTTCCCGAAATAGCGTAACGGGTGGAACGGCAATCCCTTGAACGAATAGACTCGAGGGGGCAATTTCTCAAATACTTCATGGCCTGACTTGCCAGCCAAAAGCTAGTCATTTTGAAGTCTTTGTTTCTCTCACATACCATTCCCATCCTCCCATAACGGAAGTTTCAGGATGGAGGTCCCAAGGGCAAATGTGCCTTTAGAGGTTGTTGTTGTCGGGTATGTTTTCCATTGTGCATGGTTCAAGATGCGAAATTGTTATGCTGATGTTTTGTAGTGCTGGTATGTTGTTGCTGAACGCCGAAAAGGCTGCATTGGCTCGAGAAAAGCGTTGAATTAAGAATAATTGAATCAGGCATCGGCGGTATGGCGGCAGCCCTCACATTAGGTTTGCGAGGGCACCATGTCATTGTCCTTGAAGCTGCGCCGAAGGTATGTATCGTCGAAAATCCACGGTATATCAAGCAAGACTAACCACTCATGATAGCTCATGGAAGTGGGAGCTGGGATTCAAGTATCCCCAAACATGTTGCGTTTATTCGACCGTGAGTCTGCCTTCTGTGAAGAAAGAAGCCATGCTAACCGGTACCAGGATGGGGCGTCTCGGACCTAATTCACGCCCAAGACGTAGCCCTAGAGCACATCCACGTCCGAAGATGGGACGACGGCAAACTCCTCGGCACAATGCCAGTGAACAAGACATTCGGCCAACAAGTCGTTATTCACCGCGCAGACCTGCACAATGCTATCATTGATAGGGCCTTAGCCCTGCCCAACGTTGAGCTGCGCGAGAACTCAACCGTCACAGACGTGCAGTTCTACCCAGCAAGTGTTAGTCTAGCCAATGGCGAAATCATCCACGGAGACGTTATAATCGGTGCAGACGGCATCAAGTCCACCATCCGTAGCCACCTGCTCGAAGACTCGACTATTCAAGCAGTTGCCACTGGCGACGCGGCGTACCGCATCATGCTACCCCGCCACATTATGGAGGAGGATCCTGAATTGAAGAAGCTCATTGACGAGCCGCAGGCGACTCGTTGGCTTGGTCCTGAGCGACATATTATCGCGTACCCTGTGCGAAAGCATGAGCTGTACAACGTTGTTTTGCTTCATCCCGATGGCCATGGTATCGAAGAGTCTTGGACCACGAAGGGTTCCAAACAGGCTATGGTTGACAACTATGATGGGTGGGATAGCAGGGTGCGGAAACTTATTGATCTGGTCGATGATAATGAAGTTTTGGAGTGGAAGTTGTGTCTGCATCGTCCGCTAAGGACATGGATCCGGGGATCTGTCGCTCTGATCGGTGATGCGTGTCATCCCATGCTGTATGTGCTCATAAATATTGGCTGGTTTCAAGACTAATCTCGCTGATTTAGTCCATATGTTGCCCAAGGTGCTGCCCAGGCTGTTGAAGATGCGGCCGCACTTGGTGTCGTATTGTCGGCCATCTCATCGCGCGAGGAGATTTCACATGCATTGAGTGTTTATGAAAGGTCCCGGAAGAAGCGTGCTGAGACGGTGCAGCAGTCCGGATCGGAGAATCGTATTACGTTACATTTGCCAGATGGACCAGAGCAAATTGCCCGAGACGCACAGTTCAAGGCTTCGGTCAGCGGAAATAACCCCGATAAGTGGTCGGATCGTAGGACACAAGAGTTTCTTTGGGGCTGGGACGCAGAGAAGGCGGCGTTGGATACTTGGAATGGTATGTTCCTTTATGTGTTTGGAGGTCATGTGCTAACTTATAAGCAGAATATCAAGGACAGTTTAGGGCCAATGCGAATCTGTAGGTGCTGTCGGTACGGTGCATCTCCTGTTCATATCTCGGTTTTTGTTACCATCGAGCGAATCGAATTAGAGTACATATATTTAGAAATGTAAACACTTCACTTCATTGGAGGCATGAGTTTACGTGGACGTAATAAAGATGGGATCGTTCAATTCATCCAAGACGTTGCATTTTTAATACCAATTCCCATAGTGTTAATATTTCATTATAGAGTCATTCAAGCCAAAGACCATCCATCATACATCGGTGGAACATTGGACAAGGAGACTTGACATGTTGGCCCGAGGAAGCCAGGGACGGTCAACATTTGGCATTCCAATCATTCAAAATTGAAGAAGATATGTCATATTTTTGGAGACACAATTTACAGTCTCTCGCCAGCAGCGGCCTTCATCTGACCGTACTTCTTGAGACGAATGGCAGACACGTTGATGAAGCCAGTGGTCTCGGCGGGGGAGAAGTCACCAATCTCATCCATGGAGGACTCGCTCATGTCGTAGAGCTTCTCTGTCTCGGAGGAGCGACCGAGGATGGAAACGGTACCCTTGTAGGCGCGGCAGCGGACCTGGCCGTTGACGGACTTCTGGGAAGCGGTGATGGAGGACTCAAGGAACTCGCGCTCGGGGGAGAAGTACATGCCGTTGTACAGGAGCTGGATACTGTTAGATCAGAATATCGAAAACCAGAAATATAGTGCTTACCTTGGAGTAGTTGTAGGTGACGAAAGAGTCGCGCAGAGCACGGACCTCACGGTCCATGACAAGACCCTCAAGGTCACTGGACACAAGTTAGTTATGCCATTTAATCGAAATTTCGCAATACAATACTCACAGGTGGGCAGAGCGCAGGCAGGTGAGACCGGGGGTCTCGTAGCAGCCGCGAGACTTGATACCGATGAAACGGTTCTCGACGATATCGATACGACCAACACCGTGACGGCGGGCAATGGCGTTAGCGGTGAGGAAGAGCTCGACGGAGTCGGTAGCAACCTTCTGCTTGCCAGCCTCAGTGTACTCGAGCTTGACGGGGACACCCTTCTCGAAGTAGAGAGTGAAGTCCTCGGGCTGATCGGGGGCGGTCAGGGGGTCCTGAGTCAGCTTCCACATGTCGGCGGGAGGAGTGGTATCGGGGTCCTCCAGAATACCGGCCTCGTAAGAGCAGTGGGCAAGGTTCTCGTCCATAGACCAGGGCTTGGACTTAGTGGAGGTGACGGGAATACCCTTCTCCTCGGCGTAGTCGAGCAGGTCCTGACGGCCCTTGAAGCGCTCGTAGAAGACGGGGTCGCGCCACGGGGCAATGACCTTGATGTCTGGCTGGAGGGCGTAGAAGGCAAGCTCGAAGCGGACCTGGTCGTTACCCTTACCAGTGCAGCCGTGGGAGACAGCGAAGCAGCCCTCGCGCTAGGTTTGGGTCAGTATGACATCTTTCTGCTGGCGGGGAAGTAAAGCGTACCTGGGCGACATCGATCTGGGCACGGGCAATAACGGGGCGAGCCAGGGAGGTACCGAGCAGGTAGACGTTCTCGTAGACGGCGTTGCAAGCAATGGCGGGGAAGCAAAGCTCCTCGATGAACTCGCGGCGGATGTCAACAATCTCGCACTTGAGAGCACCAATCTTCATGGCCTTCTCGCGGGCAGCCTCGAAGTCCTCTGCGAATGGTTATTAGACCGGTGTTGGATGATATGTCGACGGAAATTGAATTTACCTTCCTGGCCGACATCGGCCACTATTTTCATATTAGTACTTGATCTTGATTGATATGGTATTGAATCGCGACTTACTGAAGCAGACGACCTCATAGCCCTGGTCGATGAGGTACTTCACTACAATTCGGTATTAGTATCCGGAATTGGTGAATGGATTGACTGATGATATTCGTACAGATGCAGCTGGTATCGAGACCGCCGGAGTAGGCGAGGCAAACCTGTGCGATTGAACTGTCAGAAAGTGTGGAGAGCGGGTGGCGGTGTGAGACAGAATTGGGAATTGAGATTGGGAACTGAGAAGGGAGTTGTAGCGCGTAAGCAATTGGTTTCATACCTTTCCCTGTGCCATTGTGTGGAATTGAATGAAATTCAAAAAGACTTAATAGACGTGGAGTATAAAACAAAGGGAAGATTGAGTCATTGGGAAAAAAATGGCTTTGGTGCGGGCCGGGGAAAGGAGTCACGGGTCCGAAGTTGATAGCCCTGATAAGATAGATCACTGCCCCTCCAATCTTTCCCAACATTTGTTGGAAGGTCGTCCGAATCAAATCCGAGATACTCCTAGATCTGTAACTTCAATGGCTTTCAAAAGGAGATCTAAGCTGGTGGAACTCATTATAAATAGTCAAGTCCAGGGTTTATCATGTTACCTGCGGAGCGGACGAGCAAAATGTGCGTTTCACGTATTTACATACGAAGATACCATGTTGAGAAAAGATCGAGTTTGATCCATCTGGGCATTGGAAGAGAGTGTATAATCAGCATATAGCTCCATGATTCCATGTTTTATATTCCATAGCTGCATATATTATTTCCCTTACTAACTGCGTTGCCCATCACACTTCGTCATAGGTCCGGTTTGACTCGTTTGGCTGGTTTGCCCCGTTTGCATTATCTCGGCTATCCGCGGCGGTTTCCCCGCGCAATGCCCCGGACAATGAACAAGGAGCAATTTAAAGGCAATCATCCCTACGGAGAAGAAAATTTATGTATTTACATTCTGTTCGTATCCCACAATTCTAGCCAAATATGGCTTCCTTACGATCTCCTCTGCGGTCTCTCGCGCAAGCTCCTCGCCGATTCTACTCTGGAGCTCCCACTCCGGCAGCAAAGCTGAACCTACCTATTGACTACAAAACTACTCCAATTCTACACCACACCTCATCCTCCTTGTCAAGTACATCAGAGTACCCAGCAGCTGCCACGAGTAAGCGACTCAACCTCTACCAAGCGATCAACTCCGCGCTGCGGACGGCACTATCCAAATCCGATCGAACCATTGTATTTGGCGAGGATGTCGGATTTGGTGGTGTTTTCCGATGCTCGATGGACCTCCAAACAGAATTTGGATCCGATCGAGTCTTCAACACCCCCTTGACAGAACAAGGCATTGCGGGTTTTGCCATTGGGGCAGCAGCGGAAGGGATGAAGCCTATAGCTGAGATCCAATTCGCCGACTACGTGTTTCCAGCGTTCGATCAGATTGTGAATGAGGCGGCCAAGTTTCGTTATCGAGAGGGTGGGACAGGCATCAATGTTGGGGGTCTCGTCATCCGCATGCCGTGCGGCGCGGTTGGACATGGTGCTCTGTACGTTATGTTATATCCGATTGCCAAGCAAATTGGTATGCTAATTGACTGAATAGGTACCACTCTCAATCCCCGGAGTCGCTCTTCGCACACATTCCCGGTTTGCGAGTCGTCGTGCCACGCTCCCCTGCTCAAGCAAAAGGACTCCTTCTGTCTTCTATCTTCGAGCACAATGATCCGGTGATTTTTATGGAGCCCAAGATCCTCTACCGTGCAGCCGTGGAGTATGTCCCGAATGAATACTACACAATCCCGCTCAGTAAGGCTGAGGTCATCAAACCTGGCAAGGACTTGACCATCATTTCATATGGACAGCCTCTCTATATGTGCTCTTCTGCTATCTCCACCATTGAGAAGACCATGCCGGGTGTCAGTGTGGAACTTATTGACCTGCGGACTATATATCCCTGGGATAGACAAACTGTCATCAACAGTGTCAAGAAGACGGGTCGAGCCATTGTCGTGCATGAGAGTATGATCAACTATGGTGTGGGTGCAGAGGTTGCATCCACGATACAGGAGAATGCATTCCTACGTCTTGAAGCCCCCGTCAAGCGAGTTGCTGGGTGGAGCACACATACTGGGCTGAGTTACGAGCAATTCATTCTGCCCGATGTTGCAAGTGGGTACCCAATATCTTTTATTTCGTTCTTATTGTCACTAACCGATGGTTTTCTTACTCTAGGAATCTACGACGCAATTAAACAAACACTTGAATATTGAACTAGGATGCCCCCTAGGAGATTATAATAATACACAAGAATTTCTACCTAAGTGCATTATCCGCTTGCAGTTTAGTGATTGTGACCAGATCTAGGGAATTACACCACACAAAAGAATGCCAATATGAACTTCGTTGGGCTCAAAGTAGTCTGTCTTGTTCTCAATGGCCCCACGGACGATCTTACATACTGTTCCTAGTTGCCAGAGTTGGTACGGAGCTAGAATACACTTGTTAATTATATATCATTATTTTTTCGAGGTTTCACTCACATGATGTAGGGGCCTGGAGATCAGGCCTGTCTTCCAGAGCCTATCGTGTTCGAGGTCTTTTCTTCCGAGGTCTGTTTCTTTTCTCTTCCAACTTTGAAGTATACGGGTGTTGCCCAGATGCCTTCTCTTTCTGGCTGTTCCATCGTTCTTTCCTAAAATTCGTCTCCCCGTGTCCACGTGCCACTTTTTACTATACGTTACTCCCGGACTCGAGAGTCGAGTGCCTTTTTTCCAATCCTCCCAAGCTCTCTACCTTGTTTAACCTCGATTCTCTCTACCTTAAACCTATTTCCTTCTGAATTTATCAAGCTTGTGACTGCCTATTTGCCATCTGGCTCAAATCATATATACCCTTGCCCTCGGTCATCAAGCTGTGGGATGCAAATTTGTCGTTTCACCTGAATGAACATCGTCCTTAACCTGCAAAGCAAAGAACCCCTTCCTTCTCCCAGCTTTATTTCTTTATGAAACAGCTTCACTATGGATCCCAACACAACCGACCTTGATACAGTGGATCTTGTTTTGCAAACTGCACTGCAAAGAGGTTGAAGAGGCTTTGAGGTCAGTGAATCGCGAGGCAAATGACGGAACAGCGCAGATTAGTGATCAGAATTGTGCTCTTTTGCAATGGCGAGCCGAGCTTCAAAGGCGAATGAGCGCCCAACAGGACCTTCGAGCGGCCATCCAGATATCGAGACGATCACATTTCGACCAGGCCGGCACTCTTCGGGATATTCATAAACGTCAGGTGAATGAAGCTCCGGCAGCTCATGTACCACCTGCCGACCATGCACCTCCACCACAAGTGCATCCTCGACCACAAGCACATCCTCCCCCGCCTCGTGGCGCCTTGGACTTAATTGCCAACCCAGATACTCAGGCCGAAGCCCGCCGGCGAGTGGATGTTATGACTACTTCGACAGTGCCTCGTTCTGGTGTCTTACGGGAGTGCATTGCTTGCTCAGAAAGTCATCCCGAGTACGATATGATTGAAAATAGCTGTTCACATGTCTACTGCCAAGGATGTGTCATCCGCCTTCTTCAAAATTCCCTGGCTGATGAAAGCTTGTTTCCTCCTCGTTGCTGCCGTCTACCTTTGCCATTGGAAACTGCGCGTGGTATAATCGATGATGGCCTGTGGGCGAGATTTGAAGAGAAGACGATTGAGCATGGAGATCAACATCATACTTATTGCTCGAATCCGGCTTGCTCTCGGTATATTCTGCCGACATATGTCTGTGGTGCAATCGGAACTTGCAGATTGTGTAACCGACAAACCTGCACCCTCTGCAAGAAGATCAATCATCAAGGAGAATGCGTTGATGACCGTGCAGAGGTCCTAGAGCTCGCAAGAGCAGAAGGATGGCAAAGGTGTTCGAATTGCAGTCATCTTGTTGAGCTTCGCAGCGGCTGCAATCATATCACGTAAGAATTTTCTTTTATTGACATCAAAGCTCCTTGAAATTATGGCTATTTGTTCTAATACACAATCATTTGTCTAGATGCCGTTGCCGTCATGAATTTTGTTATATGTGTTCTGCTCCATGGAAGCAGTGCGAATGCGCCCATTGGGATGAAGCAAGGCTTCAAGAGCGGGCGGAGCTGATTGCGGCTCGAAACCAGGCCGGTCCTCCTGCAACGCAGGCTGTTGAGCAAGCTGCTCAGTTCTTAATTGCGCGACACGACTGCTATCATGAGGGCACGTGGAAAAAGCTCGGGATCTCCGCCGAATGTGAGGAATGTGGTGATTTGATGCCCGATTTTATCCTTGAATGCAGGCATTGTAGACTCCAAGCCTGCAAGTCCTGTCGGACACATAGGTTCTAATTGAGGAGGCGAGGGAAGAAGCTGTGAAACCCCTCCAGGGCTGGAGGATTAATGGATTATTCAGCCAAGGATATTTGTGACCAAGCATTTATTATCAACCTTGCAAGTTAAGTTAAACTATTCGAGATATAATTAAATGGAAGATTTGATTGATAACCAAGTGCGGAATTCTAGTTTCACATAAGTATGCATTCGTAAGCCCACATAAGCTCCAGGGCTCCACCCGGATTTAATCCCGCCATAGCGCAATGCCTTTGAAATCGGTCTGATACATGTATCTAGGTAGTACGGTGGCTCTGTAATCACCCAATATATACCAATATTGCGAATTATGCCATGGCATCATGGGGTTATATAAGGGCCAGAATCCCTCCATCTGGGGGCTTCGAATTGAACATCCAACATTCACACTCTATTCATTGCTCTAAATACTTTATCCAGCCCTACAATTACTTCTTTTACGCATTTATATCCCAAGTTCAATATGACGAGCATTAAGGTTGCCCTTGCCGGAGTATGTCAGCCCAATGACCCTCACCCTTTTTCGTTCACTGACATGATCCCCAGGCTAGCGGGAATCTCGGTCCTGCAGTGCTGAAGGAGCTGCTCACCGCAGGCTTTGACGTGACTGTCCTCACTCGACAGGGCAATGATAAGACGTTTGACTCCCGTGCCCATGTCGCACAGGTGGACTATGAGTCCATCGACTCGCTCAAGGCCGCTCTGTCCGGCCAGGATGCCGTAGTCAGCACTTTAAATGTCGGCGCAGTTCCCAAGTCCACCCACCTGCGCTTGATCGATGCAGCAGTAGCAACTGGTGTTAAGCGGTTTATCCCTTCGGAATACGGCTGCGACACCTCGAATCCCCTCGTCTCCAAATTGCCCGTCTTTGGCGATAAGATCAGCGTCCAGGAACATCTCAAGAACGTCGCTCAGCGATCTGGCCTCAGTTACTCGCTGCTCATTACTGGCCCCTTCCTTGACTGGGGCCTTGAGAAAGGTTTCGTGCTCAATCTTGCTGGTCCGGCTACACTATATGATGGCGGTGATCGCCGTTTTAGCTCCACTACTCTCAGTGGCGTCGGCAAGGGAGTTGTTGGAATCATCAACAACCTCGAAGCTACTGAGAACTCCACAATTTATATTGATGAGGCTAGAGTCACACAGAATGAGCTGCTGGAATTGTCCGGCAAGAGCCTGGAGACGAAGATTGTTCAGACCTCAGACCTGGAACAGGAGGCTTTTGCAGAACTGGCCAAGCCCGCCCCCAACCCGGCAATTTTTGCTCCGAAATTTATTCTGCGGACTATCTTTGGTGAAGGATTTAACTCTCTTTTCGATTCTGAGAAGGTTTCTAATGATTTGTTTGGCCTGAAGACTCTGTCCAAGGAGGAACTCCGCGGCCTTATCCCCCAGTGAATGCTCTTTTCAATATTTAAATAGTCTCAGATGTCTCATGTACGTTGAGTGCAGAGCATCAATTCAATCAATTTGGTTTTCATATATGAGCCGTGGAAAGGCTCCATTGTAGATCAGAAGAAATGGGGGTGTAGGTTACCGGGGATGGCAGCTCCAGTTCCTCTGACTTCGAGGACTTTGTACATAGGCATCCAAAGCCAATGTTCGATTTCAATGAGCGAAGAGAGTTATGCTTGGCTGGTATGAAGCATGCTTATGGTGTTGGATTACACGGAAATGATATCAAGGTCAAAGATAGCTCTTGGAAGAAAGATTTTGGAAATGATGGAGAAGAAGCTGGAGGTAACAGGCCGACAAAAAGACTAAAGACCTAACGGCCAACTCATTATAAACCCATAGCAGCAAAGGTTACATACATAATCCGATCTATGGTTTCCTTTTGGCGAAGTTCTCAAGAAAGGCAAATGCTCTAGAAATTCTACCTACTCCGGTTCTATCGGGGGGTTCATCTTCTGTTTAATTGACCATAATTTCAGATATTGGAATTGCTATGGAGCTCATCGGACACAGATGTAAGCCAAGCCCAAGCCATCAACACAAAATATCAAGGCAAGCAAAACAAATCAAACGGCATAGATCACTGTTCAGTCTCCCATACTCATACTCGTATTATCCACCATTCTTCTATTCACGTCAAATTCCAGTTGCTCCGCCGTGTGGAATAAATAGCCTTCGGACTTTCATCCATCTCTTGGGTAAAGGGTTGATCGAGTGCGATTGGAACAGTTACATTTCCCCCAGTTTCCCCCACATTTATAACAGATATTTGTTCCACACTTGCACCTAAATGACGTGGTCAGTCTTCAAAGGTTATGAGGTCTATGGGGTCAACATTCGGCCTACAATATGCTCGGGCAACCAGACACACGCTCTATGATTCTAGAGCAATTTGAACATCGTTGCCACTTCTTCTTCTTTGCTAGGGCTTCCAGCAAATCATCATTCACTTTCTCATCATGGACCTTCTTATCATTGACCTTCTCATCATTGGCCTTCTTCACGTTCGCCTTCTTCACGTTGGTCTTCTTCGCGTTGGTCTTCTTGACACCAGAAACACGGCGGCGCTTTTTGGCATTTTTGTAGTTACAATCACCCCTGTGTCCCTGCTTTTTGCAACCGGTGCACGTTCGAGCCGTACAGACCTCACAGATCCCCAGCCCGCGACGGATATTCTGTGGCGGGATATAGCGAGAACAGGTTGAGTTTGAGCAGTAAGTTCTCCGAGAGTCGCTGACTTCGATCTTTCGTTCCTTGTATCTCTTCATCATCTCAATGCCTATCATATCCTCGACAGCGGTAGAGGCACGAATCGGCTGGCGGCAACATTGAGGAGGAAACAAGGCTTCGGTCGTAAGGGAATTTTCAAAAATGCGCACAATACATTTGTGGCAATAACTGTGAGCACATTCGGTTTGAATAATATCCGACAGTGAATACTCTTCCGTGCAAGATACACACTCATGCCGAGTCTCGGTTTCTTTGTCACTGGTTTCAGCGACATCATCATTCGGGCTTTCATCAAGCAAGTCTTCATCGCTATCAGCCAAGATGATATATTCAGCGGGCGCTGCAGACCTCTTCCCTTCAACTTTACGATTTGACGCTGCTGATTGGGCAAGCCCCTTTGCCAGTGATAGGGCTGAGGCCCTCAACTTCGTCAACATCGCTCCCCCAATCTTATCCAAGAGTTTTTCCAGCTGTACTAGGTCTCGGTTGGTATTCTTATGTACTCTTGCAAAGCGAGGTGGAATAGTTTTTGAAAGATTAAAAATGTTGGCCATGTTTGCCAGGTCTTCCTTTATAAGTGAAGTCATAATGAGGAGTATAAAGAATTCTGTAAGATAATACTTTGTATCGTATTTACAGAAAAGTCTATATAGTACTAGAGTCTATATAAATTGAGAAGACTATGTAATTATGATGGCTAACAAACTGAGAAGGGGGAGAAAATATCTATAAAAACAGACATCTAAAAAGACTATCTGAGAAGATTAACTGAGAAGAATCTGAGAAGATCACCAAAAAAAGACTTGACAAGGCCGCATAAGCCGCTGACTATTCTGGTAGTAAGTTATTTCGCAATTTAGGCTATTCCTTGAGAAATGAGATTCATTGAGTCAAAAACAACTGTGTAAACCGCATGCTTTACCCTTCCATTTCAACTGCACTTCAATTGCATCCATATTGATCTCCCAGATGACCAGCCGTACCTTATCCTGTCCGTTCCAAGGCAAATCTAGAGCACTCCCTTGACTTGGCTGCTTCAGCCATCTCGTTCGTAAAGATTCTCTTCGTCTGCGAAGACACAGCCGCACGTCTTCCACTTTTTCCCGCAAAAATAACAAAATTGAAACTTGCAAAAGCATCTAGTAAATGTGAGTTCAAAAACTTGCACTGTCAAAAATAAAGAAGATAATAATTAAAAGTTAAATGAAATTGCCCTTACGTGATGTGATTACAGCCTGTACTGAGCTCAATCAGACGACTGCAATTGGAGCACCGTTGCCATTGCTTGCGATCTGCCAATTTCTCCAGAAGCGCATCGAGCTTATATACACAAGTTCCCTGGTGGGCACGCTTTTTGCACTTCCTGCATGTGCGTACTCCACAGCTCGCGCATTTGCAAACCAGTGTGCCATTTCGTGGGATATATCGAGCGCACTTCGAATCAGAACAATATGTCCTGTCCGTATCCTTAAGCTCGATCGCCTTCTCCTTGTGCTTTTGAACCAATGCGGATCCGAGCATCTTCTCTGAGGCCTCAATTGGTTTGTTGCAACATTGAGGAGGAAACAAGGATTCATCACGCAAAGCATTTTCGAAGAGGCGGACCAAGCAAGCCTTGCAATAAAAGTGTGAACACTTCGTTTTGATCATATCATCTTGCGGTTCATCATCCCGGCAGGAGACACACTCGCGCCAAATCTCAGATTTGGGGGAGTCGGTCAAGTTGATGGCGTTTTCGATGGAATCACTAAGTTGCCGAATGTCGACAGTGAGGGAAGTGGAAGGGGATCTTTTGTTCTTGTACTTGGACATGTCATCTTCTGTCTCTAGTCCCATTGACATAGCTGTGCCCATATTGACACCACTCATGCTGGCCCTTGTCCCAATATCTCATAAATCGTGAGTCCTCTAGTTTGTTGGTCTCCTCGTTTGTGTTCACTAGGAATAGCAATGAATTAGAGACTTGTATCTTGATCCGTATAATAATCCATGTGATGAAGAGAGCTCTTGAATATGGCCGGGTGGAAGAAGTATTGAAAAAAAAAAGAGAAACTCTGTGGGATATCTTGGAGCTTCTGCAAAGAAAATAAGTTGGTGGTGAGGTTGATACTACGTATACCCATATGGGTGCCCGGAAAACAAGGCCCAGACGCAGCACAAATAATACACAACGCCGTGCTACATGTAAATATGTATGTATCAAAAATATTTAGGTTTTATCATCAAATTACGTGATTTGGATAACCTACAAGGAGCTATTCGGGCTTACATAGTGCCTGATATGGATATACTACGCATAGCCCTAAAATTGTGTATGTATGTCCGCTTGTATACCAAAATAAAGGTATCAATTGGCTTGCCTTAAGCGAAATCAGGAACAGCATACCACCCACTTGTAAGTGATTGAGCAATTCAGATATCTGACAGATTGTAATCCATATTCCTCCAAGACAAATGTACTAAAGCCACATATTTCAGTCCCCGGACCAAGTCCAGTCAGAATGACCCGTTCAGCCTATTGCGAACAGTCGCAAGTTTTCCACTTCTTCCCGCAGTGGTAGCACCACTGGGCTCTGCAAATACAACTATCGGGTGTCAGTAAAAGGCCTCGCTAGTAGCTTAGAGGGTTTAGGGAGGGCCGAAAGAAGCACTTACGTGATATGAGGACAGCCATCTGCAAGCTCAATCACACGACCGCATCTAGTGCACCGTTGCCACTTCTTTTTCTTCATCAATTTCTCCAACGACCGGTCTAGCTGATATAGACATTTGCCCCCATGGGCACCCCTCTTGCACTTCCTGCATGTTCGTACGCCGCACTTGCAGGTGCAAACCGTTTTAAATGTAAAATCTGGCCAAAATTTCATTGCTGGGGAGATATATCGAGAGCATGTTGAATCTGAACAGTAGGTTCGATCTGGATCGCTGAGCTCGGTTTCCTTCTTCTTTTGTTCTCGGGTCAATGCAGGTCCTATCATCTTCTTCATGCCCGAGCCTTCGACTGGCTTGTGGCAGCATTGAGGGGGAAACAGGGATTCATCTTGTAAAGATTTCGTAACCATGCGGATTAAGCAGTTCTTGCAGTAGAAGTGGGAGCACTGTGTTTTGAAGATTTCGCTGCAGACTTCTCTACAGGCGCTGCAGACCTCAGGGTGGGAGGAGTCGGCCGAAATCGGGACTTTTATGGAACGCATGATGTTCTTGAGAGAGTGGACTAGCTTCTGGATAGCGGTAGAGATAAATTTGGCAAATGTCTTCCTTTCCTTGGGCAACGGTGTCTCTTCTGCTTCTGCTTCCCTTCTTAGCGACAAAGCTGTGGCCATCTGAAAGTCACTCATTATGACTCTTTGTCTTTCGATTTCGGATTTCCAAATATGAAGTGCCACTACGTCCTCGTGTCTGCTGGATGGTTGATTTGTATCTTTCAGCAGCAGCTGTGCTTCAAATCTGTCGATCTTGTCGTTCACGTCTTCCAGCAGCAGCTCCAAGAGTAGAGACTTTGTATCTTGGTGTGTATCTTGGTCCATTTTTCGGGGAAGGCTCTCGAACGATTGAAACGCGCTTGGTGTTACTCAGAACGGGATCTCGCAAGAAGGGAAAAGTAGAAAAGAAAGATACGAAGCTGAATCTGGAAGTAATCAGCTTGGAAACCCCTAAACAAAACCTCCACATATTTTAGCAAGATCTCTGAAGAATGTTGGTTAACGAAAAAATTTAGTCAAAAGAGTGAGTGTATGACGAAGTATGCTGATTGGTGGTGTAAGGATGAGGTCGATGTGTGTTGATATACCATTCTATCAAGCGTCGTCATTGTTTTTATCCTCATGATAATGCTAAATTTTCCTTTAATCTACTTTACTAAATAGTGAATATATTGTTTTTTGGAAGGGGGGATTTCCCCCAATAATGCCCTCTTCAAGTATAGTATAGATGCCTCTATAGCCCTACTCCATAGACCTCGGGACCAAAAGAAACAATGATGAGTCATCTGTCTTAATCCCGCTATCTCCGACCAAAGTCAGTTCCGCGATACTTCACTTTCTGCAACACTGTCAACTCGGACTGGCTGTCTTCGAGCACGGCCAGTAACCTGTACATTCTCTAAGATCTAGTCGCACCGAACCGGCAACATCCACCCAAATCGCCCAATATGCAGGGCTTCAGTAAGTCCCGATCCCACTCCAGAGAACATGCGAAACAGCCAACTAACATGCCACTCAATAGACATGGGACGGTCAGCAAAATATCCAAATTTTCACATAATCCCGTAACTAACGTTTGCAACAGGTATGTCCCGCCGGACCAAGAAGGCCTAACGACGGGAAACAAACTCGCGGGGAAGCACGCACTCGGCGCGCGCGCGCCACCTCCACACAACAGGCGCACTAATCGTGCGCTTCGAGATGCCCTTCGCAGTATGGTGCACGACCTGCAAACCACACCCCATAATAATCGGTCAAGGCGTGCGCTTCAACGCAGAGAAGAAAAAAGTAGGCAACTACTACTCAACGCCGATCTACAGCTTCCGCATGAAACACACAGTCTGCGGCGGAACCATCGAGATCAAGACCGACCCCCAGAACACGGCGTACGTTGTCACCGAGGGTGGCCGGAAACGCGATACCGGTGAAGACAAGGAGCTGCAGCCTGGGGAAATTGCTATCAAGCCGTACGCGCGAGAGATGGATCCTGCGGAGAAGGATCCGTTTTCGAAGATTGAGGGGAAGATTGAGGATAAGCTTCGGGCGAAGACGGAGGCCACTCGCATTCTTGAGCTACAGGAACGGCAGAATCGTGATTGGGAGGATCCGTATGAGAAGTCTATGCGGTTGCGGAGGACGTTTCGGCAGGAGAGGAAGGGGCTTGAGAAGGCTGCGGCCAAGAGTGAGGCCCTCAAGGATAAAATGAGTCTTGGGATTGAGCTCTTGGATGAGACTGAGGGGGATCGGCAGAGAGCCAGCATGGTGGAGTTTGGTGAGAACACGGCTGATATTGGCTCGCATGCTGCCCGCGTGACTCGTCTTCGGCCTATGTTTGAGCAGCGGGCGGAAAAGCCTACTGGAAAGACGGGGTCGGGAGAGAAGACATCTCGTTCTTCGAAGCGGCCTAGAAAGGATGATCTGGTTGCGACGCGGAAAGCTTCTCTTCGCCGTGAGCTGGCTGGGAATACTCGTGCTATTATTGATCCGTTCTTGGTGGATGACGCACTTAATCAGAATACATGGAAACCTAGCACCAAGAAGAGGAAAACCGTCGCCTCTACGACTCCATCCCTCCACGAAAGTCCCAGTGGCACAGAACCCGATTCCTCTGCCATGACACCAACACCAGCGCTGGTCAGCTACACTTCCGACTCGGAGTGATTTTGAATCCACCTTTGTGCGACGCCGGTCGGGCTTCGACTGGAGAGCTACCGTTACAGCTGCAGTCGAATTTCGGGACATCAGGAGAGGCGTTCTTTGAACTTTTTTTGTTTTATGTGTTGAGATACCCACTTTGTTCTAGACTTCTGACCATAACACTACGCTTGAATTATCCATTCCGGCATGCTTGAATCGAGCATCAAGCCACCAATCCATCTCTCGCTACGTAACAACCGGCCAATCTGCCAATCTGGCCACTGTATTAATGCAAAACCGATGCCCAGGTGGTACGAAGTTCAACCCAAACAAGTTGTATGTGTAAGATAAAGATATTGAAACAAGAATAGTGGGAAAACCCCGACATCATAAGACAGGGTATCCTGCGTAGTTATTACATACAGTAGAATCACAAGAGCAGAGAGTGAAACAGGATTCAACAAAAGAAAGTCATGCTGCATCACGACTAGGAGCTCAGAAAGGTGCCAAATCCACGCGAAACTCAGCGTTTACTGAAAAATGAGACTGTTGCTGCGCGGGTGCGAGTAGGTTCTGGCTCAGGGGCTGGTGGGACTTCTGAAGTGGGTGTGGTCGAGGGGCTGAGAGACTCGGAAGATGATTGCCGCGAGAGTTGGGCAAGTTCGCCAATAAGTCTGGAGGGATCAGCATAATTTTTGTTTAATACGAGCATATATTTGACTGACCTGTGATGCTCGCTGTACCAATCATCATTGGCTGTTCGGATGTGCTTAAGCTGTTCCTGCATGCTTGCCATCTATGGAATACATTAGTCTCTGTATACGCTAATATAGTCTTCGTAATCATGTGAATGGGTGGAATGCGGGAAGATCTGATGAGTAGGAAGACTTCTTCAATCGGGGATCTCCCACCGTTCCCTCAATGGATGGGCCTAGGTCCTCACCTTCCGTTGTGGCTGGACCCCCATCTTCAGCGTGCTCGCTACCCTCATCAGCCGTCGCCCACCGGCTAGCCTCCAAGCCCGAAGAGCTGCTCTTCTCGCCACTGTCCGCCTTCAGAACTGCGAGCTCGGTTTCGAGTTCGCGGACCCGTCGCCTGCTGGCAGAGATGTCGGAATCAACATCGCCAAGCTTGTTGAGGAGACCCATGTTCTTATCGATCTGATCGTTCAGGTCACGTTCACCAGCTTCAAGCTTCTCGGACAAGGTCTTGTTTTGGTTCTTGCAATCAACGAGCGAGTCGGAGATGGTGGCGTTATCGGCTTTGACCTTGAGAAGTTGGTCGCGGGATTCAGAGAGCTGCTTCATAATCGACTCAAGGTGCGACTTCTGGCTGTCCGAGTCCTTGGCAAGCTTCTCGAGTTCACCCACCTGGGCGACGGCGGCTTGGTACTTCTCTCCAAGTGCAGCATGGTCAGCCTGGATCTTGGCGAGCTCAGCTGAGTAACGACCCTCGATGTCCCTGGAAGCAGCGGTGGCAGATTCCTGTACCGCAATGTGGGCCTTCTCAGAGTCAGCAAGCTTAGCCTGCAGATCAGCGACTGTGGTCTTCAAGTCATCCAGAGCGGAGGTGTCTTGGACGGCAGCCTTGGCCTGAGACAACTGCTCGTTGACACTGGCCAGGGCTGTATCGTGAGCTTTCTGGAGATCGTCAATCTTGGTCTTGTTAGAAGCTTCGAGCTCCTCCCTGAGGCCAGATAGCTTGAACTCGTGCATAGTTAAAAGCTGCTCGATTGCCTTTCCGTGCTCGGCATCGATCTCAGCAGCCTTGGAGGTTTGAACAGCCTCAATCTCAGCTTGCAGCTTGGCCTTGGTCTCTTCGAATCCCTGCTGCAGCTCTGCAATTGCCCTGCTGTGCTCAGCATCGACGTCAGCAGCCTTAGAGGTTTGAACAGCCTCAATCTCGGCCTGCAGCTTAGCTTTGGTCTCTTCAAATCCCTTTTGCAGTTCGGCGATTTGCTGCTCGTGAAGCTCGGCATCAGCTTTGCTCGAACTCTGCAAAGCGGCAAGCTCGGCTTGCAACTTTGCCTGAGTCTCTTCGAATTGATTCTGAAGTTCGGCGGTCTCCTTTTCGCGACCCTCGGTATGGGTAGCAATCTCACGAGCGTGGCTTTCAAGTACCGCCTTCAATTCAGCCTCAAGTGACTGAACCCGGGTGGCGTGGGTAGACTCCAGTTCCTTGCTTGTGGCAAGCAACTCATCGTGCTTCTTCTGGAGATCACTCAGAGCGCTGTCATGGGAGCCCGATGCCTCCTTGGCCCGCTCCAATTCGGATGCGAGCTGAGCAGCATGCTCAGCCTTCAAGTCTTCCAGAGCCTGTGCGTGCTTTTCAGACACACCGGCAGCCTGCAAGGTGTGTTGCTCGAGAAGGAATACGGCTTCTGCGGCCTTCTGCTCCAGAGCCTTCATCTTGTTGTCCTTCTGAACACCCTCCTGCTTGGAGTGGTCTTCAACATCCCGTAGAGTGCGGTGGATAGCTTCGGCTTCGGCTTGCTTGCTCTGCATCTCCTCGAGCAGGGCGTTGATTTTCCCAGTTCCAGTGGACAGCTGCAATTCCAGCGACTCACACTTCTGTCGAAGAGCGTCAATCTCCTGGATGGCAACGTCTTGTGCAGAGACGTTACCCTCATCCAGAGCACGGCGGGACTCGCCGAGGGCATTCTCGGAAGCCTCCAGCTTTTCTTGTAGTAATTTGAGTTCTGCTTCATGCGCTGTCTTAAGCTCAGCAACGGCATCTTCTTGTCCCTTCTGGGCAGTGGCCTTAGACGCCTCGAGGGCATCACGGAGTTCCTGGAGTTGGGTGGTGTGTTCTACGCCACTCGATTCCGCCGCCGCCATGGCATCCGCGTGGGAAATCGAGATATCACTGATAGCCGTTTCATGTTGGACCTTGAGGCTTGCGATAGCAGCTTCATGGGCAGTCTCCAACTCCTCGACCTTTGATGACAATTCAGTGGCCGCGGTGTCGCGTGCCTCCTGGAGCTCACTTTGAACCTTCTCAAGGGCCTGCTTAAGTTCAGTGATCTCTTGATCCTTCTCGGCAATCAAAGTATTCTGCTCAGAGCTTTCCTGGGTAACAGACTCGGCCGCAGCAAGCTTCGCCTCGAGGGAGGCTACTTGCTCTTGAAGACCAGAGACACTCTCCTGAGCAGATTCCTCTGCAGCACGGACCTCCTGCTCCTTGAGCGTATTCAGCTTAACAATCTCCGTGTTAAGGTTCTCCATGACCTGATCACGGCCCTTGAGTTCTCGGTTGAAGTGTTCGAGATCCAAAGCTTTCTCTTCCTCCAAGGCAACCTTCTGGAACTCTATTTCTTTCTTCAGAGCACTGATCTGCTCCTCAAAGTGAGTAGCAGCAGACTTATACTCTGCCAGCTCTTTTTCGATAGCCTCAAGCTGAGTTTGATGTGTCGACTTCAGCTCGTCAAGAAGGGCAACTGTCTTGTCGTCCCCTTGCGCCGCGGCGGATTGTCTAGCTTCCTCCAGCTCCTTTTGCGAGCTCTCCTCCAGCTCTTTGCGTTGGGACTCCGCTTCGTCTAATCGCGCTTGCAGGGCCTGGAGCTCTTCGGCGTGAGCTGATGTCAACTTCTCAATCTCTGCGGTGTGATCCGCGCGAATAGCCTCTGCGGCACCAGCATCACCCAAGGGCTCTTCGGCCGAGACAGAAAGCCGGCTGAGCTTCTCATTGACAGTCTCCAATTCAGTCTTTAGAGCAGCGACGGTCTCCTCGCTCTCTGTGAGCTTAGTCTGAAGGGCCTGCAGCTTCTCGGAATCACCAGAACGGCCAATTGAGCCAGGAAGCGTACTCAATCGCCTCTTAGGGTCAGCTGCAGTGGCAGATTTAACGGTGCTCGTAGTCGAAGTAGGCCGAGTAGTAGCAGGTCTAGTGGTGGAGGTGGAAGTAGCAGTCCGGCTTGCAGGTGTCGTCGATGAGGTCAGCCTGCCTACGGGCTTGCTTGTCGAGGTCGCGGTGCGCGCAGTTGTAGTGGCGGGCTTCCTCTCGGGGGTGGTACCAACAACACTCGATCTACGATCGATGGAAGACGAGGTAGGTTTGAGAGGAGCACGGGTGGAGGTGGTACCGGCCATGGACATGCGCTTCGCAGTACCAGAGATTCCCCGCCTCTCATCTCCCGAGCTCGCCACAGAACGAGGCTTCTCATCTGCAGAGCTGCTGACTGACATGCGAGACCGGTGGGACGAGATAGTCGAGGTGCTCAGCGGCTTCCGGGTGCTAGTCGTAGTCGGGGGGCGAGTGGGAGGTTTGTTCAGCGTGCTGGTGGTCGTGCGGGTGGTACCCATCGTGGGTTTCGATGCAGAAGACGAGGTGGGTCGTTTGGTGGTAGCTGTTCCAGATACAGGACGCTTCGCGGTACCAGGGCTATCCTTAGCTGGAGAGGCCACGGGGCTTTCCTTGGAGACCTCGGGGCTGGGCTTAACCAACTCTTCGCCTCCGGAGACGACGCTCGACTCTATCGGTGTAGCTGGGGGCTCATTTTCATCGACCTCCACAGGAGCAGGGGCGACGACCGGTTCGTCGTTCGATGACATATTGGTAGGTTGTTCGGGATTAATGTATTAAAGAGGGCAAACTTCGTGGTAAGGTTCAGTTGGCGTGTACCAGTGAGCTGTCTGCAAAAAGCGTTGTCAGTTGTCAGCTCTGGTAGAGTAAATTCAAACCCCTAAACACATGATTGTCCGGTATGTTCTCAACCCCAGATTCTAGCTCTTGAATTCATGCAACTCCAATGAGCTCATCAAGAGCCTGTAGCGTGCTGAGTACAAGCTTAAAATCCCATTGTCCCAGTCGCTCAAGGTATTCCAACTGTGCCCATGGCAGCTGAGTGCCATTGTCCAGCTCAACCGAAGCTCTATAAACAAACATGCAGAAAAGAGAAGAATGTACTCACGCGCCGCACAACCGTTCCAATTTGGAATTTTTCACAATTACTCGAAAACTGATATCCAGACCAAGAGAAGTCCAGACCAGTTTTTTAAAAAAAAAAAGCAAATAAACCGACAGAAGCAAATGGTGTCAAGATGCTTTGGGGAAGAAAAGGGGAAAGCGGGAAAAAGAGAAAGCGGTGTCGATTTAGGAGGGGGATCGCCGCTCTATACTTTGTTGGCTTTCCCTATAGACCACCCCCCTAAATGGGTCGTGCACCCGGGGTATCTCCTTACATTGTCTTACACTGTTTTTATTTCTAAATGGTATGAATACAATATAGACTGAGATCGGTCTTGTATGTTGATTATTTGTTTTGCAGCTTGGTATATATTCACTACAATACATATGTAGTCCCCCGAAGCCTCGACAACCTTCTCATTTTCGTACCACCTTGGTAGGTACCCAAGATGTCTCAGAATCAGAAGTCAGGAGCCCAAGGACAAGATTTCTGGTGATGCTATAACCAGCCCTGACTATCCCACCAATATCGACCCTATCGGACTTTTACCAAAATATATAGTACACTGCTTCTCCTAAGGATAAGTAAGGCTTCAGCCGAGGCATGTGTTGACATAGGTGGTTGATAGTTGACATCCATGGATATTCAAAACAATGTCTGCACATGTGTGGTTCGCGATTTGTGGTTCGCGGAACCCCACATAGACTTCTACGATATACATCGATACTTGAGCCGAAAGTATGCAAGGTTCAAATCTTCTGGTTTGATCTCTATGAACTCCGTTCTCGCAAAAGGGGTATTTTGAAATAAAATCTACTACACAATGCCGCCAATATCCCACCTAATCCTGTCTCTCCCATCTTTCGATTAGGTCATGGATCATCCAACCCGAGTTTGGCGGCTTGGCCCTGGATATGTTGCAAGATGCGCTCGGAGAGCTGACCGCCGATTGTGTTGTCACACTTGATATCGATGTATCGATCTTCCCCTGTTGATACCGTCAGAATAGCATATAGGAGATAAATGAAAAGTCTTACCCCCATATAATTGTAAGCCATCATGGAGTGCAATCTTCTCTGCATAGGTCCACCGTCCACAAGAGATATGGCTGTCGACCTCTTCCAACTCAAAGTGCCTGTACGGTGGAGGGCGTTGGGGGATGCGATGAGGTGTCTCACGTAGCCGGCCGTCTTTCAGTGCATCCTTAAGAGTCTTCACGTGTTTCATCACCCTTTTAGAATGAGCCGTCACGCTCCCACTAATTTCATATTGCATCTGGGCAAGAGAAGAAATTCTATCACAGCACCCCCAAAGCAACTCCAGGATAATGCAGAAATGTCGCGCTCCCCGATCATTTATAGTCTTGTAGGTCTTGAATCCGAGTATGATCAGGTCAATCAGTCGGGGAACAATATGGGCTTCAAGCTGATTGACCAGATGTGCACCATCGTCTTCATCCTCTGGGGCTTCGGTGTAAATGATCCACTGGTTCTCTTTAAAGACGCTGTTGGCGATGAGGCTGCACTGGTTTTTCAAGGAAGAAGCTGAAGCAGGATCCTTGGCCATTGTTTCAAATAGACCTCGTAGCCGCTGAATGAGTTTTATGATACCCCTGAAATGCTCTTTCGTAGAGGGATCAGCGCCGGCCTTTAGAATTTTTCTTGTTCTGCGAATTTCTTCCCAGGTATTCTTGAAACCAGATTCTTTAGTGGCCTCGGTTAGCCACGTGAAGATATCGGAGCGAGTGCTTTGATGGTCCTGATTTGGGCGGGGTGGCTGGATTGCTGATGTCTCTGGTACTTCCTGAAGCTGCGACGAGGCATTTTGAGATTCTCGAGCATTTGCTGACACGCGACTTATATGTGTGCCATCCCTTTGCTTTCTTGGTGTGCTCTTGGGGATTTGTACCTCGAGAGTGTCTGCATTTGCGATCTGCTGGGTGGGTGTTGAATGATTGCGGACTTCAGCTGGAGAATGATCATCTTCCTGTTCTCCATCTTCATATTTGGATCCGTCTCCAGATGAATCGTCTTGTGCGTCTCTAACTTCCTCTCCAGCCTGATCATCTGCCTCTTCTTCATCTTCATATTCGGGTCCATCATTGTCTTGTGCATTTATAGCTTGGTATCCAACCTGATCATCAGCTTGATCCTCATCTTCGGCTGGGAACAGATCGACTAGTCCGGGGAACGGATCATGTTCAGCCTGGCGCTGAAGCTCGTCCCGGTTATCATTCAATTCCTCCTCTCCACTACCACCGGGTCGATTTTGAATTGATTCGGACTCGCTATCGCCTGACCCGGATTCGTCGTTGTTAGGCCCGTTGTCTTCTTCGTTATCGGAAACGTTGGGAGGTGAATCCGGTCGCGTGAATCTAGACACTGTACGGTTTCTCAAACTCAACCGGCTTATATTTTTTGGTTCGGTTTGAGGGGTCTTTCGGGATTTTGGAGGGGAGGGGGAGATAGGAATATCAAAGACATTGGTATGGGTGGTGCGACGCCTCTTGGGTTCCTGTATATTGGTGGTATCGCGCCCGAGCGCATTGATGCTATTCAAGAGTCCAAGGCTGTAGTCGGTAGATCGATTGTTGGATCTTTTTGGCGCCATCCTCAAAAACGCGTGAGGAAGTTAAAAAGAAGGCAAGACGCGGTAAGGGAGGGAGCTCTGGTGGAGCCCGCAAATAACATCCCGCTTCCCCTCCAACCTTCTTTCCCTCATCTCACTCCAACCTCGGATTTCCTCGTTCAGCAAACATGGCTAATTACCCAATTATTCGTGTGTTGTCTACCTTAGACTCCTCTACGGCTCACATTTTTATCAAACCGAAAAAAAGATCAACGAGTCGCAAGATGTATCGACTTTCCTGACCTCCAAGGCCTATACTGATATCATGACGTGGGTACTACAACTCAACCGATCTATGTTTCCACTCAAGGTGGCAGATGACACTATACAAACTTGGACCCTCAACAGCGATGCGATACAATACTCTGCTCCCGTCCGACAATTGCAGCGACTTCTCTCGAAACTCGAAGATATCATAGAGGAGGTCCCACCAGATACGGGCCCGCGGAGGTTTGGAAATATAAGCTTTCGAAGATGGTCTGAGGTGGTCGAAAGTCGCGCATCTGACCTGCTGAGGGAATGCCTACCGGCTGACCTCTTGGATAGGCGATCATCGGATGAGGGCGCAACGGCGGAGACGGAGTTGAAATCATATTTCTTGGGCAGCTGGGGAAGTGGCCAGCGATTGGACTATGGTACTGGTCATGAACTGAGCTTCCTGGCTTTCCTGGGTGGAATATGGAGGCTGAATGGATTTCCCAACGCCGGTCCAGGCGTGGAGGAACGAGCTATCGTGGTCGGGGTGATCCATCCGTGCGTCCACCAAGAATCTGTCACGCCCGATATGCTTCGTCCCTTACTGACTGTCTTCGCCTAGATACCTGGAGCTTATCAGACTACTCATTAAGACATACAACCTTGAGCCTGCTGGCTCCCACGGCGTCTGGGGTCTTGATGACCATTCCTTTGCCCCTTATATCTTTGGATCTGCACAATTATCGCCTGCAATCAATGATTCTGACTCAACTCCCGAAGAAGGCTCACTTCTTAATGCACCTGATCCGGGTGGCGTCGCCAATGCAAAAATTGTTGAAAGGGAACGCCAAACTAATCTATATTTCTCCGCTATCGGGTTCATTTATGATGTGAAAAGAGGCCCATTCTGGGAGCACAGCCCCATGTTGTTCGATATTTCTGGCATTCGAGCTGGCTGGGGCAAGATCAATAAGGTTCGCAGTCTTGATAATCAGTGGGGATGTTCGCGCTGACCGGTCACACCAGGGAATGATCAAGATGTACAACGCGGAAGTTCTCGGAAAATTCCCCGTGGTACAGCACTTCCCTTTCGGGTCTCTATTCAGCTGGGACCGTGATCCAAATGCCCCTGTGCCCCCTTCCACGGTTCATGCCACATCTGGTCCTCAGGCACGCCCTGTTGCCCCAGATTCTGGCCACCCTTCTGTTGCCGCTACCCGTCCTATGCCTGGAGCCGGCACCCAGGCTCCCTGGGCTAAGCCCGGGGCAGGCACGCAGGCTGTTCCCCCGATGGGCTCCACAGCAGCCCCGTGGACTGGGGTAAGAAGAGAGGGGGTCCCAAACTCGACACCTGGCGGTGCGAGCAGAGCTCTCTCTGCTCTTCCAGATACTTCAAGGATGCCCCCAGGCCCTATGGCACCGACCAGAGCACCTTGGTCTGCTCAGCCTCGGCCTTCGCCTTCACAGGATGGAAACGCCGATGCGCATACCAAGGCTCCCTGGGCAAAATGATCATGAAGAAAAAATAAGACGAATACCAATCAATGTACACTGTTGCACTCTTGTAACCACTAGTTCCTGTATCAATTTGTAAACACCCATAAACCCGAAGCTGACCCTGGGTGCTGTTTCCAAGGTTCTCCCGAGTCCTGCCAGTGCGTTAGTAATCTTGGATTAATCCCGACCTCGGGAGGTCTCGCCAGAACTATTGCTCTTGGGACTAGAAATATATTTTAGTAGCCTCGGTTCCACATCAGAAACTTCTCAGGGCTCGAGAATAATGCTTGCAACGCAAGCATATCGCCCCGGGGATTCGTGATTCGGCCAATACCGGACCGAATAGGTTCTCTGGGCAAATCACGGCGATAGTTGAGGGCCCAATGCCAAGGAAAAAATCGGGCCGGAGTCCACTCCATGCCAAGCCCTCGGAATCAGTGCTGCCTTATTGCCCATTTCATTCAGCCTTGGTTTGGGGCGAAGTGATTATTTTCACTTGTTACACTGATCCAAATAGTCAGATTATAAGCACGGCCCACCGTCGTAGCGTCATGAATTGTCCATCTCGGACTGACGACACCTTGCTGCATGATGGGTGGAATCAGAACCCGCGCTTCCTTTCTCCTGACCTAACTACCCGCCAAGACCTCAATGGCATCTCAAACAGCCGCGAGAACAAAGACGATGAGTCTGGTCCGGGCACTTTGCGGGGAACCTCTGATTGGAAGGGCGTTCTTCCGCTAGAGAAAAAGGATACAGGGAATCACCTTAGCGCGGGGCGCGAGGCGTCCCTGACAATGTCAGGTATGAACACCAAGCATATATTTTCTAAGTAGTAACATACCCTTCTAACGAGTGAACAGGACGCCTCGCTCCCCAAAATACCTACATTGGAATTGGTCAGAAAGGACTGAATCCAAATAACAATGTTTTTCCATCATATCAGAGTATCAAGGATTGGGCATTGTGGCTCCTCTCCGTGCTTCTTGTCTCGGCAGTCATTTCATTCGACAGTCTGAGGCGGTATTTCACACCTAAACCTCTCATACTGGAAGCACCTGCTGTACAACAGTATACAGAGCCAGTCAAACGATCAAGTTGTGCTCAGGGAGGTACCCGCGGTGCATACGACCTACCTCTGCACGTTGCGGCCCTCTTCATCATCCTGGCCACTTCAAGCATTGCGTGTGCATTCCCCATTCTTGCAACTCGATTCCCACGAATGCATATCCCACCCGCATTCCTTTTTTTCGTCACCCATTTTGGAACTGGCGTCCTCATCGCCACAGCATTTGTGCATCTCCTTCCGACGGCGTTTACTTCGCTGGGAGACCCATGTCTATCTAATTTCTGGACAAAGGACTACCCAGCCATGCCGGGCGCCATTGCCTTGGCTGGTATATTCTTCGTTACAGTCATCGAAATGGTATTCAGTCCAGCCCAGAGTATCTGCCGTGGAGGAAAGCAGGTTCCACCCGAAAGGCCAGCTTCCTGTCCTGCGGATGCGAGGACAGCTTCAATTCCAAACCTTGATGTCCCTGCATATCCCGAAGACTCTAGAGTGCCGAGCTCGCCCTCCGCTGGAATGGATGGCCGTCATTTGCGAGATATGGGTCCGCTAATTGGAAGGTCTGCGAGCATAAGCCGGGCTATCAATCGCATGGGCGAAGGCACTGAAGATATAGTTCGAGTTGCGTCTGCGTCTGATGTTCGAACTCATCACGAGAAGGATAACGGGGCTATCCAGACAGATGTGGAGCGTCATGACGATACCTTTGCCTTAACCCCTGAGCAGAAGCAGAAGAAAGAGACCATGCAGGTCTACCTTCTTGAGATGGGCATTCTTTTCCACAGCGTGTTTATCGGCATGTCACTCAGTGTATCGGTTGGCAGTGAGTTTGTGATTCTGCTGATTGCAATTGTATTTCATCGTGAGTTCTCCGTCTGCTTGAACGGAGCAGTGCATTTGACTAACTCAACTACAGAAACATTTGAAGGCCTGGCGCTTGGATCCCGCATTGCCTCACTTCCCTGGTCAGAAAAGCAAATCCAGCCCTGGATCATGTCCCTTGCGTACGGATGCACGTAAGTTAAAGCCCCACTCGTTCCGGACTCAACGGTGCTGACAAAGGTCTAGCACCCCAATCGGGCAGGCTATTGGTCTCGCAACCCATACACTCTACAGCCCCGACTCGGAGGTTGGTCTGCTCGTTGTCGGCGTCATGAATGCCATGTCAGCTGGACTTCTGATTTTTGCTTCGCTAGTGGAGTTGATGTCGGAAGACTTTCTCAGTGACGAGAGCTGGCGCATCCTCCGTGGGAAGAGAAGGGTTTATGCCTGCATCCTGGTATTTTTGGGTGCTTTCTGCATGAGCATCGTCGGCGCCTGGGCCTAAATGCTCCAGGTGTAGATGCTCTGGAATATCTGGTCTGTCACAGGCTGGACAGTCGGATTCGTCCGTCAGTAGAATCGAAACTGGTCTAAGTATTGAGTGAAGCCTATATATAGAACATTGGTCGATGGCGCTATTAGAATTGGCTTTTCAGTATATATTGCAAAAGAAATATAGATATCGGGGAGGGGTTCAGTTGCGAGTCCCAGTGTCATGTTCGTCAGAGTGGCATGAGTGTGTTGCATCTCCCCAAGACGAGTTCAATAGAAGAGAAACCAAAGAAATATGGTTGTACCATGATATTAGAATATCTTGTTGGATAGAGCTACTCCACCACTATACCCCGAGACAAGCCGAGGGAAGAGACTTTGATGGTGAAGGGCTGGCATAGAAAACGTTGGAAGGAGCAAAAAAAGAATCCACCCCAATTACCCCTGGCGAGCATCGAAACCCTGACCCAATCTCACCATTGCTAAGCTTCCCAATGCGATATCAGCCGTGGTCATTTTTCCACCCAGCAATCAGATGACTCGTAGTGTCTGAAGTTCCAAGAAACCATAACATTTCTGCAAGACTTTCAAATTGAGCAAATAGAACCGAGAAAAAGTAAAAGAAGGTTGTCAGTCTGAAATATTCGCTCAATACTGGGGAGAAAAGACTTGTCGTTTGGCTTGGCAGATAGAGGCGAGATCTTTGTCCAATCCTAACCCTTACTCCTGCACATTCCTGAGATAACAGCCACCAAAACTGTCCTAAGTAAGGCATAGTGAGTCTGGAGCACTCCAACATGGGTTAGCTCAGACGTGAATATTGAATGCGGTAAGAGTTTCCGGTCTCTTTATCTCATCAGCGCTACGGCTTCGTTCCCGACCCTCCAATCAAAAGTGTTCTAATCATTGGATCATCAGGTAATGTGGCTTATACTCAGACATTATATGAAACTTTATCAAAGGTAAAAGCCACCCACTGTTAATATCTCCCGTTAGGTACACCAAGAGACCCAAAGACGGCAAAGAGGCGAAAGTCAAATCACACCGGGGCATTAGGGATGCGGGGAAGTGGATCTAACGTCTCGAATGAGATTGTCGGTATTCACTTTATTCGTGGAGGAAGTACTTACTTTCATCCATATCAATGACATCCATGGTTATATACACCGGTTTATTATATCCCTTGCCCCTCAATGTTTATTTTATTTCAGAACTATAAATCAAGCGTTTCCCCGATGGAACTTTGCACTATCATCTGCACGATTCCCCACTCTTTTATACTAGTTATGCAACAAAGATCTTTTTAGAACCATGTCTGAACCTGATACCTCTACCAATGTGTACAAACACGAGAAGGATATTGTCAAAGACGATACCAATGGCCTTGAACCGATAGCGACCAAAGGGGAAGCGGGCGTAGGAGAACTGGAAGAGACCAGAAATGGTCAATTTCATCGCTCGTTCTCGGCCCGCCAGGTCCATGTGAGAATCCAGTGGCGGATATTAGACAATCTCTGTTTGAACGTGTCTCACCATCTAGGAAGATCATTTCTTTAGGATCCAACATCGGCAGTGGTGTGTTCATCGCCACTGGAAAAGCCCTGGCCACCGGTGGGCCAGGCAATATGGTCATTGCCTACACTATGGTCTGCACGTGTGTATGGGCTGTGCTTCAATCACTCTCCGAGATGACCATCGCGTTCCCCGTCTCAGGAAATTATATCGACTATGCGGATCGTTGGGTCGACCCAGCTCTGGCTTTTGGTGCAGGATTTGCAGAGTGGCTTGGTATGTGGGAGGAACAGTGTGAAATAGCCTTGGAATATCTGTCACTGACTGCCAGCTAGGTTGGACGGCCATCGTCGCATCCGAAGCAGGATTCTTCAACGTGTTGGTTCAATATTGGGCTGAAGGGTCTATTCCATTGGCCGCGACAAGTAAGCATCCACACCATAAGCTGTGACATTTGCTAATGTCTTTAAGTCACTATCTTCTTGGTCGCCTGCCTGGCCATTTTCGTTCTGCCAAACAAAGTCTTCGCTTGGTTTGAATACGTGACATCTTTGATCAAAATCGTTATCTTCCTCATCATCATCGTTCTGTCTTTGGCGCTTGTTCTAGGAGCTGGACCTAAGGGCTCTATACATCATGGAGAGACTTGGACCACACTTCCCCCATTCCTCAACGGATTTTCTGTATGTTTCCCATAAGCCCGCTTCAGAGCTTGGACTGATGAATTCAGGGATTTGCCAACTGTGCACTTCTTGCCACATGGGCTGTTGGCGATCAAGTGTTTATTGGTATTATGGGCGGAGAAGCCGAAAGTCCCCGATTCTCCATGGCCCATGCGACGAAGCTCGTACCATTCCGAGTCAACTTTATCTATGTGATCAGCGTTGTCTTCATCACACTATTGGTCCCATCAGATGATAATCGCTTATTAGGCGGCAGCGGTGTCGCAGCCTCGCCTTTTATTATCGCCGTTCAAAATTCCGGAATCCCAGGCATTCCCTCGCTGTTGAATGCGGGAATGATATGCGGTGTTCTGGCGATTGCTGCTGAGGCTGTATACCTTTCGTCAAGAATCTTGAGAACCATGGCTCATCAGAAACTGATTTGGGAAGGCCTTGCCACTGTAGACTCTAGGGGGCGTCCCAGATTGGCATTGATAATTACCTCGCTGGTCGCAGTGGTCTTGGGATACATCCAAATTGCCGGTGAGCATTCCACTCAAATCATTTGTCAACTCAAGCGTATACTAAAAAATATCAGCTGGTGGTCTGACCGTTTTGAACTGGTTGATCTCAATCACCAGTGCCTCTTTCTTTACCAATTGGATCATCATTTCCTTTGTCAACTGGCGATTCCATCGCGTGCTGAAAGCACAGAATGATCCGCTTTTCACCGAGATATACGCCTGGAAATCCTCACTATGGCCCCTCGCACCGGCATGGCTGATGTTTATCTCTATCTTCCTGCTGGTTTGCTGTATATTCCTTGGCATTAAACCTCCTGTAAGGCCCCATTCATGTCCTATGGAATGATTTGAAGAAGTTCCTTGCTGACTTTTCAATGTTCACAGGGAGGTACCGGCTTTACTCCGTCAAACTTCTTCCAATACATCCTCGGAATTTTGATCATCTTCGGTTTCACCCTCGGATACAAAGTTATTTACCGAACTCCATGGCGAGATCTGAAGACTGCGGATTGCAGAACTGGTCGACGTCCCTTGTCAGTTGAAGAAATAGCTATGCTTGATGATTACTACCGACAACCGGCCTGGCGAAGGTTCCTAACTTATGTTCAGCTATGGTAATTGATATTGCGATATGTACTTGGAACTGCTTTGTGCTCAGCTGGCTTCAATTTACTGTAGTTTCCCATCAATTTCTTCACAAGACACTACTGGCAATGTCGCCGAGTACTTATCTCTTGATCTCCAAGTACATAGAAGGAGCAAAACATTACTAATTTTATACAATTTTAAGCTAAATTTACTATTAGTCCACATTTTTATAGTACCTAAAGCTTTTAATCTATTTATTAAATATTAGTTGATATGAATTTTAGTAGCGAGCGGCTATAAGTTTCTCCTAATACTAATATATAAGTAAAAATTAGTAATTTATGGAAATAAGTCAGTATTTTATGCATCTATCTTAGGTCGGTGCTATAACTAGCACTTAGTGCCGCAGCACCATACAATAGTACAATAGTACTAAAATCGGCTTAGTCTCGCAGCACCTCGCAGCACCATATCGTAGCATCAAAATTGCCCAGGTGCTACAGCACTTGTCAAGGCCTACTAAGGTAGGAGCAATTAACAAAAAGGATAACTAGTTAATATTAGATACATTTTTAGTTACTAGCGCTAGTATTTATAGAATAGATAGCTAATAAAGTGATCTATATATCACATGGCTAAACTATTCTATCTCTACTTTTAATTTTAGGCTAGAAAGTGGGTATATCCGTGCGCTCATTAAGCGTAGTCTAAATACTTAACTAGTGAACGCGATCTAGGTGCTAACTATGCACACCCTAAGTGTTCACTGAGCATAACCTAAGTGCTCACCGAGTATAACTTAAGTGTTCACCAAGCATAATCAGAGCATGATTTAAACATTATTAAGCATGGCCTAGCATTCACTAAACATCACCTTATTTCTTACTAAGTACTATTAAATGGTCACTGAGTAATCACCCTATGCTATGAAATACTCAGTGAGTAGGACCATGAGCACCCTCATAAAGCAGTGGCACCCCGATGGGGAAAATCGTGACCGCGGCCTAAAATCCGGTATATACTTTGCTACATATGTAGGTAAGTAGGTCTTACATGGATTGTTGACATCCGTAGGGTCATTTAGGTATATACAGTCAACAATGTTATGCTTTAAATTTGGGTATCATTTACGAAAAGTCCACTGGGGGGAGCTCTCTCTGTTCCAGAGCCGCCTGGACACTGTACTGCATGGTCTCTATAGCCTCTTCCCAACTTATAGTCCCCTCAGGCCGGGACCCTTGTGGCTCTTTAGACCCCTGCTGCTGCTGCGAATGATCACCGACCAACCACATCAACCAGCGCACCACCGAAACAGCTTTGTCCACATCCTTCTCTTGCAGTGTCACACTGGACAAATATTTACACAACGAAGCAACGTCTTCGCGGTATGGGCCGCCAGCCGCAAAGACATCATGCCATGAGCCAACAGCATCTCGCAGATCTGGTAATCGGGACAGGCGCTGTGATGTAAAGACGGGACGCTTGGGGAGAGGGGGTAGAGGTAGAAGTTTCTCTGTGGCAATTGGTGCAGAAGGGGAAGCTTCCTGTACCCAAGATGGAGGTCTTTGTGCAGGTTCAGTAGCTCGCGAGAGCTGTTGCATCCGGGTGCGCTTTTGTTCTTCAAGGAGTTCTTGTCTGATATCTTCAGGTAGAGCAGCAAGAAATTCGGCTGAAGCTTCGGTTGGGTCTTCGATGTTTGGTGACGCCTGTCTAGACAAGCCCTCTTCATCAAAACCAGCAGATACGGCCGCTGGGCGTGGAAGAACGAACCCAAAGCTTGATTGATTCAAAGGCTTGGGCTTAGGCTTGTTCGCAATCGTTGCCGACTGGGGTGGGCGGCCACGCCTCTTTTTAGGTGGTGAGACTGGCCTTCTCGGCTTGAGAGAGCTAGATGTTGATGGGCGCGACTCTGGTACTGCCGGCGCGGGCGGCGGCGCAGCGTTGGTGGCTGGGTTGTTATAATATCCCAATACCTCTTTGCGGACATCTTCAGGCAATGCCGCCAATGCATCTGGGTCCAGCTGGGACTGCGGGGGAAGGTCGGCTTGGGCAGGCTGTCGTGCTTCACGCGGGAGAGGACAAGGAGACCCAGAGCGAGAATCCTGGCGCGGCTTTGCTTGTGCAACAAGCCTGGATCTGATATCCGTGGGCAACTCGGCAAGGACTTTGGGATCTGGTTGAGTGGGCATAATAAACTGGGACCCCGAGATGTTGAGTGGCTTGTGCGCACTATCGCTGAGTACTGGATCCGCTTGAATCCGAACAGAGTCATCTTTCTGCGGACTCTCCAGCTCGTCGGGGTCTGCATCTGGGATGGCTTTCTTGCGAGGTGGAGACGTCTGGAAGTTGAGTTGTCGCTGACTGCTCTCGGGGCCTGAAGGGCCAGACTTGATTGGTTCAAGTTTGGTCATTTGCACACCCAGACCTCTCAAGTCTCCATGTGAAAAGTTGAAACTTCTCAACATCGAGATTGCTTCTTTCCCAATGACTTCTGGTACATTGGTCGCAACACCAAGAGCGACGCTCTTGTTGAATGTATCACATTTTCCATGGCCGAGATGCTTGACCGGTTCCAGTGGAGCGTCTATCGATCGACGCATAACCTTTAGGGTGAGCTGCTTCCCCTTCACCAGATTTTCCATCAATCTTCGATTCAGCTCCTCGCACAGAGAACGCACAAAGTCATCTGCTTGACCCTGATTGACAAACCGGATCCCCCAGTTGACCTCGGCCGAAACAGATTTCCTGATGGTTTGATCGCCGACTTCTGTTCGGTCGATTCCGCGAGCGTATTCCCACAATTTGATTCCAGTTTTGGGTCCCAGGCCAGATATAAGTCTCTCTTTCGGGAGATCTCTGATGTCTTTGACAAATTTCACATTCAGCTCTTCGAGTTTAATTGCCATGCTATTGCCCACTCCAGGAAGATCACGAACAGTAAGATCTCCAATAAAATCCAGAACAGCATCTGGTTTTAATTGAAACTGCCCAGCAGGCTTGGCTTTTCTGAGAGACACTTTTGCGAGCAGAATGTTGTTGCCAATTCCGACAGAGACTGCGCATCCGGTTTTCTCTTTGATTGAATCTCGTAAATTTTGGGCAATTTCGTCCGCTTTGGCTTGCTCGCGATAAATTGATCCTTCTGATATAGCCTTTCCATCTGAGCCGCCAGCTTCCACACATAGATTTGTGACATCAATCAAAGCCTCGTCGATACTGACACTCTGCACGGTGCCATCAATGGCAAGTATCGAGGTGTAAAACTTGCGACTCGCATCTTCATAGGCAGGGAAATCATAAGGCAGGACTTTGAGATCGGGGCATAATTGCAAAGCAGCTTTCATCCACATCCCATTCTTAACGCCTCGAGCACGTGCAGGATAATTACAACTAGCAATCTCGGAGCCTGGTCCAGAACCATGGGCGATAGCAACCGGCTTGTCTTGGAGCTCGGGGTGGTTTAGAATTGAGACAGCTGCAAAGAATGAGTCGAAGTCCACATGTAGAATGTACCGTCTTGATCCAGGCACAGGTTTCTTTTTCGATCTCTGAGATTGTGCATTTTCCTTCGTTGCGGTCAGCAGTTGGGCTTTCAGCTCCGCCTTCCAGGTTGACAAATGATGGAGGCGAGACTCCCTATAATACTGCTGCAGGAATTCCGGATTCGCAACAGAGGACTTCTGCATCCTTGAGTCAGAAAGGAGCTGTGCGTTGTATTCTTCAGAAGTTAAAGCGGGTTGTGTTGAACTTGTTTGGTCGAGAAGCGTTGTTGTTTCGAGATCAACCAGTGGATCTGGTGAAGTGGGCACTTGATCAGAATCCGGAGCTTGATGTGGCATTGTAGGTTGTGTTACGACATTGGCTGGTGTCTCTTGTTGATGCTGAGGGTCATGAGCTTCCTCCTCTTTCTCCATAGTGAAGCTAGGGAAGTCACCATAGTCTGACTGAGATGACTGGCTCCGCATGGTTGGTATGACCATCTGGGAGGCATTTGACCGCACATACGGGGTCACAAGTTTTGATGAAGAGCCGGGACCCTCTTCGGTTGTGCTCATATCTCGGAGCTGAGAGCTATACCAGCTGGCCCTTGATTGCTCTTTGTAACCTGTGCGAGGGCTATTCGTCTGACTGATAAACCGGCCATCATCAAACTTGAGCACCCTTTGTGCCTGACCTTCGTCTACTATTCTAAATTCATCCCATGGCAGCAGACGTCCTGCTTTGATACTGTCTGTCACCCACGTAGGTTTCACTATGCGGTAGCGGCGGAACTCCTCACGCTTCTTGGGTGTCAGGGCACTGGCAATGATATGAGTAGCCGCAGTCTTGCCATCTAGATATTGAAGGAAGCCACCCCCATGGCTGACAATCAGGTGGTGCAGGTCTTGCAGGGAGGGTTGAGTGTACCCATTGACATGGGCAACTACACCACGGAATATTGGCGGGCAATCGCCAGCTGATGCTCGAATTTCCGCGTCAAGATTCTGCAACTTCATTTTTTTCCGGCGCATGTAGTCCCCAAACCCGCCGAAGCTGGAGGCCTCATACTCCTCTCCTCCTTCATCGTTGAAGTCATCTAGACACGGTCAGATAAGAGCGGAGACTGATATTTAGACTAAACATACGATTTTCAATGCGTTTGCGCATTGCACTAGAGTTGATCTCATGACGGGAGCCCATTTTGGGCTACAACGACCATCATGACCTATAATAGAGTGTAAAAACAAAAGAAGGATGTTGCCCTTTCGCGCGAAGGTCGGTAATCATCACGTGGATCCAAGCTTTCAGGAAGCGGTCACTTGTGGCAATACATCAGCGGTGAACGATTCGTTGCTCTCATTGATCGAGTTTTTTTTTTCTCCAATTTTTTGCCGCATCTGTTGCTTGGTAGCATCTTTTCTTTTCTTCTCTTTTCTTTCCTTCATCTACATCCTTTTCCACGTGGTTCATTCTCTCTTTGAACTTGATCTTTTTCCATCTCGCTCAATTTATTCTAATTATTCACAATGTCTGCCGTTCAGCCTGTCGCAGTCTATGCGCTCCGGGTTCCTCCCGGTGCCATGGTTCAAGCAGTCCCCAACGCTGCTGCTTCGGTCAGTCTTGCTGTGATCATCAATTGGCTGATAACTTGTGCTGACCCTGAATCTAGTTCCGCATCAGCATGGCCGCTATCGATCCCGATGAGGCCCCAGAGTACGAGGATGACCAGGACTCGAGCAAGCCTTCCCGCTCCACCCTGAAGATTGTTCGCGCTCCTCCCGGTCTTGACCTCGATGAGGATGATGAGGATGATGAGGACTACAGTGATGAGGATGAGGAGGAATCCGATGACGAGGAGGAGTCCAACGGTGGCCCTAGCGACAAGGAGAAGGCCCGCAAGCTCAAGGCAGCTGCTGCCCTCAAGGACCTCGAGGACGCTATGGAGGAGGATGATGAGGAGGAGGAGGATGATGAGGACTTCGACCTGAAGGCTGCCATCTCCAAGCTCATCAAGGGTAAGGGCCCTGCCCTTGACGATGAGGACTCCGAGTCCGAGGAGGGCCTTGAGCTCGATGAGAACGTTATCTGCACCCTCAGCCCCAGCCAGGTAAGACCAACACCCTCTTGAGTTTCACAATATTTTGAATATTGTCGTCTAATACCCCCTATAGAACTACCAACAGCCTCTGGATATCACTGTCTGCGAGGGTGAGCCTGTGTTCTTCAAGGTCACCGGTAACCACACTGTCTTCCTAACCGGTAACTACGTCATTGGTCTCGATGACGGTCACGACCACGACCATGACCATGACCACGATGATGAGGACGAGGATGACTACGACCTGTCTCCCGATGAGGATGAGCTCGACATGGAGGACCTCATTGCCATGCAGGATGATGATGAGAGCGATGACCTTGATGACATTGAGGACCCCAGAATCACTGAGGTCGAGAGCGAGGAGGAGGCCCCTAAGCTTGTTGAGTCCAAGAAGGGCAAGAACAAGCGCGCCGCTGAGGAGGAAGTCACCCTCGATGATCTGATGGCCAAGGCCAACAAGGCCAAGTCTAACAAGGCTGAGGAGCCCGCCTTGACTAAGGCCCAGCAGAAGAAGCTCAAGAAGAACAACGGCGATGCCGCCGCTGTTGAGCCTAAGGAAGCCAAGAAGGACGCTAAGAAGGATGACAAGAAGGAGGCCAAGACCGACAAGAAGGTCCAGTTCGCCAAGAACCTCGAGCAGGGCCCTACTCCCTCCGGCGATAAGCCCACCGGCACTCTCGGCGTTAAGGAGGTCCGTGGAGTCAAGATGGACGACAAGAAGCTTGGAAAGGGTGTTGCTGCCAAGAGCGGCAACACTGTCGCTATGCGCTACATCGGCAAGCTCGAGGACGGCAAGGTCTTCGACTCCAATAAGAAGGGCAGGCCTTTCACCTTCAAGCTCGGAAAGGGCGAGGTCATCAAGGGTTGGGACATCGGTGTCGCCGGCATGGCTGTCGGTGGTGAGCGTCGCATCTCTATCCCTCCTTCTCTCGCATACGGCAAGAAGGCCCTCCCCGGCATCCCCGCCAACTCCAAGCTCGTCTTTGACGTCAAGCTCCTCGAGATCAAGTAAACTGCTCGACATTGTCATCCGTCTTTTCATCGGGGTGTTTGAGGTTACCGGTTCAATTGCATCATTCCTGTGATATCCATTGCTGTCTCTTTTTTCAGTTCACTTCCCCACTGTATTTGGCAGGGATGAGATGATCGCGAGGAATTTGTATCCCTGCATGGAAAAAGTGACCATTTATTGCTGTTTATTATATATTTTGTACTAGTTTCTTTATGAGTTGATCATATGATTGAGAATCTTTATTCCAGTGTAGAAAGAGGCATCTTTAACTTTTTTTTAAATAATATGAGCTGTATACCTCGCCTCCTTGCCCTTGCGTCGCAACAAATTCCCCGACATGAAACCGCATGTTAAATAAGATAGAAATAAGAGGAAATAAGGCTGCCTGATGCATGGTCTTTTATTTTTGTCTACATAAAACGTGGGTGTTCTTTGTTTCATATATGTAGTCTTAGGTATATTTTGTTAGTGGTTCCCTTTGCCTTTTTAAGGCTATGGAGGCGATCGCTGATCAACGTCATTGCCTCGTTCCAGCCGAGACCTCTACAGCCTCCAGGGCTCACTACAATTAATCACTTCAAATAATCCTTTGTTCTAACACGTTGGGCTATTACCCTCTGTGATACATTACCCCCCATCTCTTCCTGTTCTTCCTCCAATAAAATCATGGTCATCTAGCCAACTGTGATCCCTCCCCGCAGATAAGGCTATGACTCGTGACTGTTCTGGCGCTTATCGATTCTATCAGCTTCAATCATAACATCTGCGTTGTACAACATCTCATAACTCTCTAGGTGATTATCGGTCTGTATCGCGACATGGACAGCGGCGACCGCATGTTATGCCATGCCTGTGGCGGGGTTTGGATTAAGGATGGTGATGATTTGACGTGCCCGCATTGTGAATCTGAGTTCACAGAAATAGTACAGTGAATGCTTTCTCTCTTGGTTTATTTAATTCTAACACCGTCTCTTCCTCTAGGTTGAGATTCCCCCAGAACTGCCTTCCGAAGATTCCCCCTCACACCGTGCCGACTCCTCGTCGCCTCCACGCGTCAACCCGTGGATAGACCACAATCCATGGGAACGAGACACACAAGAACCGCAGGGCCCTGGGCTTCTCGGACATGGCACTTCTCCATTCTCCTCCATGCGCACATATAGATCGCCCGACGGTCGCTTCTCATTCAGCAGCGCGACACTTGATACTGGAATGCCCTCTGGTCAGCGCAACAATGGCCCGAACCCTATGGTTCCGATGATGCTGCAAAGCTTTGACACAATTTTACAAAATTTAATGGAGCCAAACCCTCGTGGGTACAGGGGATACGGAGAGGACCTCTTCCACCCTCAATCCTCTACCTCTCCCGACTGGCTCGAGGACGACCACCTCACAGGCCATCACCCAGGCCTATCTCCCCGCAATGCAGATGCGCCGCAACCTATTAACCGCAATCCGATGGACATAAATGAGTATGTAATGGCTCTATCTGTTGTGATTGTTACCAGACTAATCAAATCTAGAATCATGGATGCCATTCGCGCTGATATTGGGGTACAAACTATGCGACGCTCACGTGGAGCTCGTAGCCCGGCAAGCCCACATGCTCTTGGGATATTGTCCGCCATTCTCAACATGAGTCGAAGCGGAGATGCAGTATATTCGCAGGAGGAGCTCGACAGAGTCATATCACAACTGATTGAAAATACTGGGACCAGCACTGCGGCACCGCCAGCATCTGATGCTGCCATCCAAGCTTTGCCAAAGAAAAAGGTTAATGAAGATATGATGGGATCTGAAGGGAAAGCAGTGTGTTCGATTTGCATGGATAACGTTGAACTCGGCTTGGAAGTCACTGTATTACCATGCACGCACTGGTTTCATTTCAACTGCATCCACGCGTGGCTGACCCAACATAACACTTGTCCGCATTGCCGTCGCAGCATCAATTCAGACATAGCGTAAGTCTATGTGAGTTGTATGCACAAACCGATGACTTTCAGCTGACAGCATCTTCCACAGAGACGGAGAAGGCACCTGTGAGAATCCGGTAGTGATCCAGGATAGTCCTGAGCAGCCAAGTTCCCACCGGCGTCACAGTTCTGCTCGCACTATGCGCAGCGGTCGATCCTCGTTATCTTCATTGCAGAATCGGCTTTCCCCACGAATTTCACCACGCCGGTCCCCTACGCCGGAGGGAGGGGAATCTAGCAACCCACGGTCTAGCCGGGGTGAGGGTAGCAGTGGAGGGGGATTCACCAATTGGTTTACGAACCGATTTGGAAGCAGCACATGAGAAGAATTGATGCATCAATTATGATTTGCACGCAGCGGGCCTTTTTTTTCCCTTTTCATCCCATGCTTCATCTGTCAGTTTTAGCGATTCGGCAGGTTCGATTGCTTTTTCTTCCCTTATGCAGTTTTTCTATTCCTCCATACCCCTTTTCTGTGTGGCTTTCACTCCGTGCGACGGAGAATTGAAACATGTCTGGTCGTTCGCGAGAGTCTGTTTTGTAAAGTTGTTCCTTCCTCTGCCCAATGTACATACCCATCTCACACATTGACATTTTCCCTTTGGACAACCAGTGCATATACTATTGGAATATTCTCTTTAGTAGCAGATTGTGAAGATTTGTTTCGTCTCGAAGACGGTACGGTGGGTAAGGCTGTAACATTGGGATCTGCCTCTCCTTGCATCACACCTTGGCGATATGACTATTCTGGTTTGTTTATGGTTCATGAGTGCCGTTTCTGTGTGTGCGGAAGTTACCGTTTGATCGTTAGAGTTGGGATTATAGTCTACTAGGCACACTTATTACTACGTAACGTTGATAGTCGGGGAGGATGAAACATCGTACCCTTTTCATATGTGACACCATATTTTCTGCTTTAGATGTGTTTCTGTTCATATATCATTAAAGGCTCGCCTCTTCCATCGAACTGGGCTTGTGGTTTAGTGGTATAATACTCCCTTAGCATGGGAGTGGTCCGGGGTTCGATTCCCCGCGAGTCCATTTTTTTTTGCTTTTGCTCCATGTTACACCCTCTCTAAGATGGGTGAATACTCTTTTTCTATGTCTTATTTTGTCAAATTAAGCTTAAAAGGCATCATTTTATGTCAAATATACTATTTTACCAATGGTCGGGTGTTTTTCATCCATGGATGCCCTTGGCTTTTGTCTTTGTTAGCCTACACCTGTGTACATGGGTACTTTGTACTCAACAGCGCCAGCTCCCGTCTACTCTTGCTTTTGGTTTCATTTTATTAATTCTGCGCGTTATTGCTATGTTTCCTTTCCGGTCGTGTGCATCTCTTCGGTATACGTTTTGTTTTGGTTTCTTATTCGATGTTTCGGCTGGTTATATATTTTGAACTCTCTAGGGCTTGCTGGTTGGTGTACGTAACTTTATAATTACACCATCGTATAATGCAATTTTCCTCTATTAAGGCTTACTCCGGACACTTCTATTCATTGCATAGCGTGAATTGTCACTGTTCGTATAAAAAAGGGCCAACTCAAGGGAAAAACAGGTCAAAGCCCTTGGAAATATCCACCTACAGGTTCCCTTGCAAAAACCTAAAGCTACAGGCAAGAGAAAGTAGATATCAAGCCTTTCTTACTAATTTCCCAAGAATTCGACTATTGGATATACTCTCGAATGCCTAAAAAAGATATGGCCTTCCGAAGAAATTAGATTTTATAGCGAACCTTGACATTATTCCCATTGACTTGTTCGATATTCGATAATAAACCAACATCGACACCCAACGCAAGCCGGGGATATGATTCAAACCTTGGAAGCCCCATCGGTATCATGGTAGGTCAGATTGGTCTTTGGGCTATAGACTAGGAGATAGCCGTTGATATTATAGATTGAGCCTGCGTAAAAAAGTGTTTTAGCCCTGACTTGACTGGTTTTTTCGCCGTTTTCTTTCCACCTGTGTCCCCAGAAGGAATCGTACTCCGCACAGTTGCATAATCTCAACGGGTTGCTCTGCTATAGGTGATGGGATCTGCATCATGAAACTGACCGCAGCGGCAACTGCCGTCGTATGATCTCGGACTGGCTGTAGGGTCCGACATTCCGAATTGAATGGTGAGGTGTCTCAAATTCTTTGAAGGTTGCTAAGATAGTGGCGTACAAAGGTCAGATTTCCTGGGCAGAGTGATTACGACTGTCTTATCTTATAGTGGCTTATGTTAACGCCTCCGATGAACCGCACCAATGACTCGCTGAGTACATGTTTCTTTTATATGCCGGAGACACTTACTTTTAGTAAAAACCACGGTGAATGACTCAAGAAACGTACGACTAGATACCCAGGTAGTTCGTCCACTTTTCCTCTTTTTCCTGCAGACTCGTATTCGAAATAAGTGGATGTTTCCCTCGTATTTTACACGATACTATTATAAGCCCCACGGGGTCAAACCACACACACAAGAGTCCAAAAACCTGCCCATTTTCAAGATTGGCGCATATGGCGTTGAAACCCGGGCGTTGACGAGACGAGACGAAATCGCCTATGCGGCGCGCAGGCACGTGATATTAACATGATTCAAAGCAAAAAGCAAGTATGGATTGTTTAATTAAGATAGTATTTCATTTAAAATATTACCAGCAAATTTGAAACCAATCCAATATCTCAGACTTGCTTTGCCTTTGCCTGACAGCAGAACCCGTTATTCGACGACTTCATGTCTTCGGCCCCACGAGGGCTGGCTTGTCATAAACCACGACCGAAACGGATTTAGCAGTCTCTGCCGTCGAGCTGCTTTGCGTTCTCGCTCGTCGCGCTGCATGTCCATCCAGACAGTTGGAGTGATGATGCGAGGCGGTGGTTGGGGGTAGTTGGAGTTGGGTGTTATCTCAAAACTCGAACTGATCCTGTTCAAGTCTTCCTCAACCTTTGATGTGTCTGTGACTGGCAATCCTGAAGGGGGCTTCTCGACAGTTGTTGAGTGTGATATTGGTGTATCGTCAAGATCCGTAGATGGGCGTGATATTGGGAATGCGACGGTGTTTGGTCTGGGCCTTGAATGGACCGTGATGTGCTCGGGATAGGCATGGGAACCCGAAAATTCAGATGTGTCGTTGTTTTTGAGAGTCTGATCCGTGTGAGAGGACTGTGTATGTTCCTCTGCCCACTCCGTCCCCATTGATAAGTCGAACTTCCTACTCATCTTTGTTGTCCCCGATAGCGTAAAATTTTGACAGAAGGTAGCGTATGACTGATGAAGACGCATCTCTCTCGCTGCTTCCACGTCGAAAATAGGGCATTCCTCTTCAATGTTTTCGTGAATAGGGTCGTATATTTTAACCTCATGAAACTGATGAGATGGCAAGCATAGGTTGTGTGGATCAATATCTGTTGCGTCGTTGAGATTTTTGATATTCTTTTCGCTCAGCGCATGTTCTTGAACACCGGCCCTGAGGATTGTTTTGGATATTCTCTTAGACACCCTTCTTGTGAGCTGGACAACTGTGTTTCTTCGACGGAGTGAGTGTAGTGGTTGTGGTTGCTCTATCGAGTCTTGAGTAGAGAAGGTATCACTCGAAGCGAACGAAGCACTGTCATTGACAATGAAGATATCAGGCATTTTGATGAGTAGATTGATTTAAACGGTGATTGAGAGAAGAATATCGAAGGTCAGGCTGGGATCGAAGGTCAGGCTGGGAATAAATAATTTCTCGTAGCAAACGGTATGCAGTTTTATTGCGCAGGGGTTGAAAGAAAAGAGGTCGAAATCGCAATATCCCATACAACGAGCAAGAGAGAGCAGAGCGGTGAATTCCCATGAAGTACCTGGGAGGTACTCCGTACTTATTGCAAGTTTATTGTATAATAAGAAGATAAGAAGGCCTAGATGCTCAAGCCCGTAGGTACTTCATACGATTAATACGATTCATATCCCCAAGGTGGGACAGATCTTCTATTAAAGTATTTTACAGGTGGATTTGGGTTGGAATATTACCCTACAGCAAATCTACACAAAGAGCATGTGCCTTGCCTAGGCAATATATCTGACCAGTTCGCGCTTTGCCTGTTATCATCAGGATGGCACCAGGGTCTACCGCTAAGCAAGCCACCATGCACAGCGAAAGTGGAAGGACGTCAGAGGCACTGAGACCAGAGGAAAACGTGCGATAAGGCTTGTCGTGGTGGTGTTGGGAAAGTCATACTTTGCCTAGTCCTATACTGGAAAAAGATCCTCTCCATTCACTTGCATTTGTGCGAAGACTTTTTCAAGAATAAACGAGGTTGCAATCTAGTAAGTAAGACACCAGACAAAGGGGCAGTGAGACATTTAGTCACCCCGCCATCGCCAACGGTGGCGCTACTCCGTTCCTAGCAGTAGCCTAGTCTCGGGCATTGCGTTCAATGCACACCGGAGATCACTGGATTGCCTAACTAGGCTCTTATTGGATATGGTTCACATGTAGCATGTGGCCCATGATGTCCGTGCGTTATATATTCGATACTGATAATCATTTGTCCACGATGAATCCGGTTCAAGCCTTAAGAGTTTAATTGGAAAGGTCATAAGAAGGCCAAATCATATTATGAAACTATTTTTATTTACAAAACCCTTTAAGGCAGGTATAGATGTACCGGAAGACAATAAAAGTACACTCGTGTCACATTATCCAGACACGCCCTCGCGCCCGAGCCCCCAGCGACCAACCTCACGCATGGCCTCATCGCCACCTTCAGCCAGTCGTCCGTTGGCATTGGAGGGGTTGCTGTTTCCCAGGACACCAGCCACACATTGCCAGCCATTGCGGCCACCACCCCAGCGGAGGACTTCGTTCTTGTATCGCTCACCGGCGGCACGATCAGTTGCTGCCTGACCAGAAAGGAAGACATCCTGCCAGAGTTTGTTCGCGATCGCGCGGTCAAAGATATAGCTGTAGTACGTGGCACCGTAGCCATACAAGTGACCGAAGAAGCCCTGCCAAGAGGTGCGCGGCTGGACATTATTTGGGTCGGGCAAACTGGAGTACTCAGAAAAGACTCGATGATAGATATCGGTGGAGTCAATGCCAGTTGAGCTGATTTCAGCTGGGATCGAGTGATATGCCTGATCAACGAGCGCCATGAGAATCTGTGCTTCATTCTCAACGGCGCCATAGATGGACCCATGCGCAGTGCGGTCTAGCTCCATGCTCTGCATCATGCTCTCAGACAGAGGTTCGTCAGTCTTCCAGTGTCGCGCGTAGAGGCGCAGCACCTCCGGCGCAGTCGCAAAGCTCTCCATCAATACGGAGGGAAGTTCGGCAAAGTCCGTGGCGCACCGAGTACCGGAGATGGATTGCAGAGGCGTTTGGCCCAGGATGGAGTGGACAGCGTGGCCCATCTCGTGGAACAAGGTGCGAACACTCTGCTCGCTCAAAAGAGTTGGCTGGCCAGTGCCACTGGCCTGAGGTTCCTGGAAATCACACACGAGGGCAATGGTTGGGAGTTGGCGCAGAGTGTTAGTTTGCGGATCTACACCAGTGGCCATGCCGTCATTTGGGTGCGCAGATTGGTTCATAGAGGCACACTCGGTGATCTCCTCTGCCGAGATTTCGCGCGAGCAGCGCAGAGTAAAGTGAGCCGGATTCGGGTGTTTGCTCGGCCGTGTAAATAAGTCACAGTAGACGACTGCAATATGATTCTCCGATTCATCCACCACATCCAATCGACGAACGTCTGGATGCCAAGTCTCGCCGGGAGATGCTTCATGAGGGACTAGACGCACACCATACAGACGGTCAAAGAGTCGAGAGAGACCTTGCATCACCGTTCCCAGAGAAAAGAACTCATTCATAACTCCCATGTGACGAGAGCGACGAGCTTGGGAATACTCTAGAACGCGTTTGTGAACATAGTAAGCATGGTCCCAGGGCCGCAGGGAAGCCTCTCCCTTCAAGCCCTGCAGCCTATATAGCTCTTCCCGGACTGGACCTTGGTTGCTTGACACAAGCGAAGTCAAGAAGTTCGATACTGCTTCGGGTGTCTTGGCCATTTTGTCGCCGAGAGTCATGTGCGCAAAGCTATTGTAGCCCGTAAGTTGTGCCAACTCTGCCCTCTTCACTAGAAGCTCTTCCAATCTTTGAATTTGGCGCTTGCTGGATGTTCGAGTGGCGAGGTAGATGTCTTTGCGAACTTCCTCATCGTGCACCGAGCGCAGAGCAAGTCGAGGGACAATTCCCATAGTCGGAACTGGCGCTTTCTTGTTCCACCGCTTGATTTTGGATATAACCATAGGATCCAATCCTTGGAGGCTGTTGGCACCAAAGATCACCTGGGACCTTGCAGGCTCCGCGCCATTCATGAAATCGGAACCTAGCTGGCTCACATCATTCGAGAGATTTACAAATCGCTGTCTCACATTGGGCGGCATATGAATTGCAGAGTTCGAGAAATCCTTGTTGAGGATCTGTGCCACAATCCGTTCTGCCTCGGTCCAGTATGATGTCACGTCGGGGTTGTTCAAGGCCTTATTGAGCTGTTCATGAAGCCCCGTGGTTGTGTTCAAAACGTTCATATATTCAAACATAAGAGCCCACGCCTGCGTGGCTGCTTCTTGTATCCGCGGATCGGGGTGAATGGTTCGAATGAAGTCGGACAGATCGATGACGCGACACAGGAGATCGCTCAGCTGGTCAAGGTCTCGTGCTAGGGCCCTGTATTCTTCGACCGTCGAGGCGGCAAGCACCTTGGCTACGATAGCCTGGCATCTCTGCAGCGAAACATTTGCGAATGTCCTAAAGCCCTCAGGGCTTGTCAGGTATTGGTTTTGCACCAATCCAGCTCGCCTTGGGACTGTGGTGGTGCGCTGCTGGGAGAATTCATTCCAGAACGGTTGTGAATCAAAGACTCGGCGCAGAGTATGGTCATCGGCCTTCTTCCTTGGTGCACTATGATCTGCTGGAATGTAATCAAACGACGTTGAGGGAGAAGATGCGGCGCTCTCGAAGGCTCGAGATTGGGGCCGCAGATGTAGGCATTTCCGACATGTCCATGTTCGTCGCAAAGGGCGAAGCATTGTAGATACTATATCAAAAGCAGATTAAAACCATCGGAAATCGTGGATTCACAAATCCCCTATTGCAAGAAACATAGAGTCGAAGGAGAACGGGCAATGACGGAGTTTTCTGGAGATTCTGCCGAGCCGAAGAATTCCCGTCCTGCTCCAACACGACTTTGCTTCATCCTCACTACCAGCTCCCCCCCCCTTCTCCTCCCCCCCACACCTTCAGGATGTCATTCCGGCCGATGTTGCAACAGGTATGCCTTTGTATAATTGCTTCCTTTCAACTTGGATGCAATTGATTGCCCAATATCCCATTTCCATGCTGACTTGTGGCAAGCGGGCTGTGGCTCCGATCGCAGCCACTCTCCTCGCGGGAGGTATTGCTCTGTTCCCTAAGAAGACCGCATTCGCAGAAGAGCCCCGAGACAATGTATGCCCAGATCAGTTCCTATCTTTATTAAATGTCTGAGATTCTTGGTCTGACACACGACTGCTTCCCTAATATAGCGGAAACCTATCTACGATGACTTCCCGGCCGACATTCCTGAACCCTCCAAACCCTCTCAGCTTGCTGCGCCTGCCACTCCTAAGCTGATCGCCGCGCCGGCTGCGCAACCAGCTCCCTCTTCACCCACCCCGACAGATATCCTGACCGCCCAGGTCCGACAAGCTCGCCTCTTCCTCTACTCACACTCCCTTGCCGCAGAGCAGGGCTTCAACAACTTCCTGTCTCGGGCCCTCAACATCGAAAACTGCTTCACCAACACCGTTGCCTCGCTTGCACCTTCTGCCGAGTCCGGCGAGCGTCTCCTGCCCGGCGGTGTCTACGTCGTCGTAACCGCCATGGCCGGCTCGATTGTCTCGCGTAACCGTGGCATCTTCCTCCGCACTGCATCGCCGCTCGCTTTCGGTACTGCGGCCGCCTACACTCTCCTGCCCGTGACGATGCGGAATGTCGGAGACTTGGTCTGGGAGTACGAGAAGAAGGTCCCTGCCGTTGCGGAGCAGCACTTGGCTGTCCGTGAGCGTGCGGAGCACATCTGGTACACTGGTATTGCGCACAGCGGAATGGCGCGTCAGATGATGGAGGAGAAGATCGGTGACACCCGGAAGAAGTTGGAAGAGCTGGTGAGCAAGGGCCACTAAATATAGCCCGGCTGTTTGGGGCTATAGAGCGGATTTATTTGTTGCATATGTACGCTTAGAAATCGTAGATCCGAAGACATAACCGGATTGGTTCCTTTTGTTTCAATCGTTCAGTCATAAAGTAGGTGACCTGACAAGAGCATCTATGAGCGTACACTTGCAATTGGGAATAGGTAGCTTGCGATGATCGACATAAATTGATTTCGTCATACTCTACATTAAATTGATTTCTGATTTCTAGGCTATTCATTCATTCTTCTTGCGCAGGTCCTGGTGATCCTTCCGGCGCAGCGCTGTCCGTGTGAGAGGGCGAGGCTCCTACCTTTGGCGGCGGAGGTAGAGGAGTTCCATGCCGTGACGGCGCATAGTCTTGCTCCCGACTTTTCTCTTCACCCTCGGCAAAGTAATCATCAAAGGCTCTGTTGGGCGATGCC